GCAACATCCTTTATTTTGACACCATAAACTAGTTTTGTCCACAGAGGTGCAACTGACTGGGCAATGTAAGAAATGTCAGCGTGTGTTTGCTTGTAAATACCAGGATGTTCCATGTGGTTCTCTCTGGGGAGGTTTTACTGATGCTCGCCAGTTTCTTTCGCCCATTGGAGCTGCAGTCAAACAGAGTCAGGTAGTCCCCACTCTGCTCCTGACTGAAAAAAAAGAAAGAAAAAGAAACGTACACACACAAACCAGACACGTTTATTCCAGAAGCTGAACAAATGTAATTTAATCTCAGCGACTCCTTAAAGAGGATGACACGGCAGCTTTAGGCCAACGCGGGTTTCGGTTTTGTCTTTGGATGTGAGCCACTGCAGCTCGTCTGGTAGATTTTCTGACAGCTCGGATCATAGCAGCTTTTTGTGATTAACCGTCGTCATGGCAGCTGGATAAAAGGGACCCCTCCCATTCTGTTTTTCTGGAATTTAGTGTGCTGCAGCTGACGGTCTGTTCGGGAGAAACTCTGTGATGGATTCCAAGTAAATGTGTCCATATGTTGATCCTGAGGACCTGGAGCCTCTCGGGCCACAAAGAGCAGATGCTGGGTGACCCCCTAGTCTGGCTGAATATGTCTTAACTGAATTCATGGGGCTTTGGGAGGAGGCGGGGGCGCAGCCAGCTGGCCCAGTGAAAAGCTATCTGACTCCACTATTCAGGCAGCACATTCCTCCAGTTTGTGCTCGACGATAAGAGATGGATGCAGCAGGGAGGGGGTTTTGAGTGACCCGCCGAGAACCTAAAGAGACTCCATGGACTCTGGGGGGTATTTTCAGAGTCTCTACATTTAAAGCCCCCTCCTCCAGCTGAACCAGAGAGAGAGGAGGAGGCTGATAGCAGCTGCCGGACAATAGAATGTGAACGTGAACACACTCTTCTCTTTTTACTAGCTTCTGGCAGAAGGGGGTAACCTGACCCGAGAAGTCCAGGCCCTCCCCCCTCTAACATGGAACAAAGAAGACCCGGAAACCCTCCAAGACCCCAGCAGCAAACGCCCGACTTCTCCCCACGCTTTAACTTAGGAGCACAACTCCTATTGTCCGAAACGATGAAGTTTCGGGGCTGCCAGCTGTCGCTCAGGCTTCAGCCTAAAGAGCTCCACAACAGAGCTGAGGGTCTGACACAATCACAGCTCACAGACGGTTTGTGTTACCTGAAAAGTCCAAATTCTCTCCTGACATTTACACAAAGCGATTCCTTCAAATTTGGCAATTTGTTGCTTCGTAGCACATGCGTTAGACTCCAGGTCCAGGGGCTAAACTCGGTCTGCCATAGCTTTTATGTGGCCCGTAACAGCTTCCAAATTACATCAATCAGTCCCTCTAGCATTTGTGGAAACTCCTGTAAAATCAACAAATCCCTGCATTTTTCAAAGGAATGCGTAATTGTGAGTCCATTCCAAATTTTTCACAAACATGGTCAAACCAACTGGGTTTAATTGATGCCAACTTCCACCTGCAAGGGGCGGTATTTCTTAATTTTATTACATTGCTCCCTCAGCCTCTTTCAATTTCAAGTTATAGCAACCAACATTGGGAGTAACAAAAAGTCACCTTTATCATACACAAGTGCAAATATTGCAAAATTCCTAGCAAAAGTTAGCACCATAAAATATTTGATTTCGACTGGAAAAAAAAAAAAATAAATTGCAAAATCTTGGAAAGACCGATCGATGGGAAAAGATGTTCAATATTTAATTTTAACGACTTATTGGATGCAGACACAGCTATTTATTACAATTTTAACAGTTTGTTCAGGGGTTTTATCAATACATTTGAGCACAACAGGCCCTTAAGAACATTCATGATCTTGATATGTCCCAAATGATTTTGACAGCCCTGCTGCAGAGGCAGATTGGAGCTGGCTCAGCCTGCGGCTCTGCAGACATGAATCAGCACATCTCGTTGTGATCACACTTTACTGTGTCAATGCTAAAAACCGGTTTGATTCAGAGAAATAAGATAAATGGATATGAAAATAGACACTCCTGCTCCAAAATATGTGTGTGTGTCTTCACCTCAAACTAAGGTTGGCCTGCTGGTTGACCTGAGTGGTGCTGTTGGATCGCCTAAGGTTCTTGATGGAACGGCAGCTCCCGGAGTTGGTGTCACTCTGTGGGCAGAGAGACTTTGTTGGGAATGGCCAGGAGGAGTCGATAAAAACAAAAACAAACTGTTCTTAGCAGAAGCCCACCAGTGTGTTGCGCTTCCCTCTGCCTTCAGCAGTCACAGACACCGACACAGACCGAGAGAAGTGCTTCCCTGGAGACGCGCTGCTGGGCCGTTTGGATACGGAGAGCTGGGAGCCCAACAGGCAGAGGTCCACAGCATCTCCAGAAGAACATGACGGGACAGACGAGGGGCTGCGTGTCGTATGCATGCTTCTAAAATCTGGAAAACATTGCAGAAAGGCATTTTGGAGGGCATTAAATAATAAACAATGGAGATATTGGCACTATATATCAAGCAGATCGGCAGTAGTTAAATGTAATGTTCAAAAGTTGTGACATTTTAATATTTACTACTTTGCTTTGGTAACAAAATTCTATCTGAACATAAATCTTTAAAAAAGTAAAACTTCGGAACAGTCAAAACAGTTTTTCCTTATCAGCCAGATAAGGAAACCATTAAGTTAATTAAATTCCAAAAGGTAATTAGATTTTTATGGTCGTTATAACTAAGTATCTTCAGAGTTATATTGTGAAGCGGATGCTCAAGGTTGTCCACTATGTTTATTTTATTATCTTATTTTTATATTGTTGACATTCAAGACGAGTCCTCTAGTGTCAAGTCCATCTCTGCAAGACCCAATAATTGCAGGATCATTTATTTCTGCTGCTGACTTGCACTTAAATAATATTCAGAGTTAAATTTTAACAGCTTGTTGAACCACAGAAGAACAGCAACCTGTTGGTCCCTCCGCAACGCCCAACAACAAATCTACTCACTAAATTCCCAGCCACTGCGAGAACATGGAATCCTTTGGTTACGTTTTCAAATAGTTTATAAATCTACAATCTGATTTGTGACCTAAATAACTTAAGGTATTTATGGTGTACTACAACTGAAGGCTGATAATACTCACTAAAAAGCTACTGTTCGGTAGTTCTTAACAACAAACTTTGACCCAGTCAGTAACAGGAACAGTTTTTGGTAAAGAAACATTTAGTTAATAGTGTTGCAGATTAATTCAAACTCTGCGTCAGATGCATGCTATGATACTATATGCCTGCAAACTGCTGTGAAAAGACGGCCTGGAACTAAAAACATCTTTAACATGCTTTGAAAGCCTCCAAGATTTGAAATGACAACAAAATTTGGTGCCCATCAGTCACCATAGCTCAGCTAACATCTTTTTTATATTTAATATTTCAACGTTTATACTGTCATATTTTGTGCAAAACAAACAAAAGACAGCACACAATAAAACACAGTGAGCATAAAGTATAATCTCATTTGCCACTTGACATCTATGTAATAACACTTTAAGAAAATTTCCGTTCTTGTTTCTAGAGGTCAAATAATAACAGAATGCTCCTTTAGTCTGCTGCTATGTATTCTTGCTCTAAACACTTTAACTGTGACGTGTCATCACTTCAAAACCAGCTTTTTTCCTGCTATTGCAGGACACAGTTTCAATTATTCTTGTTGGTAGATATACTTAGACTATTCAATTACAATTTTCATTCATGTTAACAAAAATAAAACGTCATTAAAGTTTTGCTCCAACAAAAAGTATTTGATTTGATAAGAAAATTTTAAGACCTGCACTTCTAAAGCTTAAGTCTTTAAATTTATGTTGTCCAATACCTCCATAACATTTGTCAGGAGAGATCTGACAATGTCTAACTTCAATGTCAGGCTTCAACCATACTGTCAAATAATGGAATGGCATTCTGTTTCTCAGCTGGATTTAGTATATTGTACATAAACATTACTTTTCGGTTGAATGAGGACACTATTACAAGTTAAATACTTCATATTTATGAAACCACTAATAAAGCAGATCATTTATCAAATTTTTTTAATGTTCCTTTTAAAAAAAAAACACTTTGTGATTATAGGTTTTAACTTTTTATAAGCTTTAGGACTACTTAAAAGGCTGCAGCTTTTGGGTAGAAGATGGACAACTCCAAATATATCCAATAACTGTTTTTGTCCAAGAAGTGCTGAATAAAAATATACGTCACTGAAAAGCTGGCTTCTGTAACGACAACGTTCGTGGGAGATCCTGAACACCTGCCTGGTTTGCTTTTGGCTCGGCCTACCTCTGAATCAAACACAAAATTACACTTGCAAGTTAACATAACCCAAATTTAAATATGATCACAAAAGGGTGCATGCTCCGTAAGGTTATGATGATATTTAAATCACTGGTAACATTTGTGATTTCATAACTCGAGATTCAGTTAAAATGATAACAGCGCAAACGCGTCTTATTAGAAAAGTACTAAAAACGGTGTTTTTTAAATGAAGTCTGGTGGGAGCGTTTCAAGCTAACTGTTCCTTTAACGGCCGAAAAGCCAAACGCAAACCAGCTTCTCCTCCGGAGGAAAGACTCACTTCACGGACGGGATGGCGTCATGGTTGATAATCTGCGATGTGCTCCCACTGCCGTGACTTTTATTTCCAAAACAATCCTCCGATAAACGGCGAAAGTCCTCCGTGGACAGCGGAGCAAATAACGCGTATCATCATCTCTGTGGTAACAACACGAATAAATCCCCACACCCCGCCGTCTGTCATTGGTGGACACGGAAACATCGTTTGCGTGTTCTTTCATCTGATTGGTCGCAGGGAAGTGTCAACCTAATGTACGGATTCTAGGGGGCGTGTCTTCCCCAACGGTTTGGTTGACTTTTAAACCAACACTTTCTCAAACTGAACCTTTGCAAACAATCACGAGGCAAACTTTCATTTATAATTTTTTTTATTGACCTTGTAAGGACATAATTAAGAGATTTAAAAAAAAAAATTAAACGATGCTGCAATATATACACAACGGAAAGGATAATGTAATCATAATCAGGTCCACTTATTTAAATAAAATGCATCTGTTCCAGGTTTTCTATCTCCTTTTAAACTCCACAGCAGCTCTCCATACATCAGCTCCTTTCCCCAGCAGGATGTCCTCTGGTAAATCCTCCAGCCCCTGCAGAGGTGGAAGGTTTTTCTGCTCCAAATGGCTCTCTAAGGTGCACCTGATGCTGCAAACAGCAGGGAGGGGGAACAAGGAGAAAACAACTGTCAGCTCTGGATCTATTGTTTTCACCCCCTGCATTCTCTTTGAGCAAAGGCCCAGCTGCTGCTTTAACAAGAGTGAGCTGTGGTTGAGGGGGTACAACTTAAGCTTCTTTCTGCTGACAGATGGCTGCCTGGAGGGGTCACGCTCCAATCCTGGAAGTCAAAAGGCTCCAAATCCCTGAGGGACGGGAGAGTGCCAGCAAAGACTGCCACACGTTGCTCTGATTAAAGCTGTCAGGATTCACCAAATTCCTTCAGATCATGGTGGTAATCTTTAACTGACAATAGGCACACTTCCTGAAAAAGTCCTCCCAAATCTGGTAAACCAAAATCATAACTCTAAATTCTTTAGGGATGGTTTTATGATTTAGTGGCAACCTCCTCCCAAAACCAAACACACACACATTGTAAATTACATTTCACAGAAGAAGAAGAAATGTTGATCCTTTTATCTTACTCCCACTGAGGCTGGTAACGCTCTTCAGGCACAGCACTCCTCGTCTTCAGCAGCAGGATTTCATGCAGCTCCAAAGCAAAACTTTCAACATCTGTGACGGTGAAGAAAGCCTTCATCCTTTTCCTCTCATCCTCCGACAGCCTCTGCTGGAACTCTGACGGCAGCTTTTGAAACGGATCCTGGAACGAACATTCAGAAAAGTCATTACAACCCAAAACCATGTGGTTTGGATCTGTTCAGAATCACAAGTAAAACGTTTAGGTGTTTCCACAGAACTTCACAAGGTTTTTGAAATTGTTTTAGTGAAAAAGATTTTTATAGATGAAACTATCTCACAGCCTTACAATCTTTAAGTCTATGAGAGAGACATAAATATATCAAAACAAATAATGGTCCACCCATTATTTTTACAAATTTCGTTTGTATAGATAATAAAGCATCTATTTGTTTGTAAATGTAAACTGTTAAAAAAAAGAATAAATTTTTTAAATAGTAATAATTACAATTTTAATTAAAGAAATAAGTCAACTTTGCAAAGCTGCTTCATTAGTTTTACAAAAGTACAGATGCGTACAGTTTCTCTTTCTACAGTGACAGGGTTTCTTTTCTTTAATTTTCTTAAATTTATTTAGTTTTATTCATTTATAATATGTCTGAACCTTGAAGCTTTCAAAATATTAATGCACATTATTTTTTAAACCTAGATTTTTACCACAAAAGCTGTACATTTTTCATACAAAATTTACAAAAACTTGCATTATACAACTGAAGCTTTCTGGGTTTTTTCAGACTTACTTGCTGCCTGCTAAGCATGAGCTCTGATTTCCAAGAATTGAGAAGCTGCCAGGTGAAGATGCTGTGCTTCAGTTTGCTTTCCCCGAGACCCTGAAGGAAAAAGATGCCCCCAAAGCTTTAAAATTAATCAGAAATGTGAATTTTGTTCAGATATCTAAAGAACAGCAGAATGTCAAGGCGGTAGCCAGGGAAAAAAAAACAAAAAAACAGGAAGGGACCAAAACATCTCCCACAATTTTTGGAAGAATTAAGCAATCTTTTAATTTTACAAACATTTTTCTTCTGACTAAAAATAATGGTTTTGAGAAATTAGATTCAGACTCTGGAGGGACCTAAAGATAAGAGTGATGGCAAAGAGTCCTTCCAACCACAGTCAACATTAAAACAGCGGAAACATCCTGATCAGTAATCAATAGAAAGTTTTGATTGCTCTAATAAATATAGATTCATTAATTATTGTGAAATGCATAAACAGTTTTTGACATCCCATTTTTATCAAACTAATTCAAATTAAAATAACTTACTGTTTTTCAATTGATATTCCTTTAACATTACCTTTTGTCTCATTCTCAATCAGAAACAAACTTCTTGGTTTTATATCTAAATCTTCAGGAATATGAATACTTTTAGGTCTAACTAACAATTATTTTAGTAAATGTGCTTGAATGAAATCTATTCTGTACAGTAGCAGTAGAAAATTGTTTAAAGTGGTTATTTAGAGCTGATTTTATGTCCAGTCTTAAATTTAAAATGAAATGTTCACATACAAACATAAAGAGATATCCTCCACACTTTCTAAACATTTTGGGGATAGATTTTAAATGTTCCAATTATTAAGTAGGGAGAAAATTAGTTTTGCACAACATGAGCTGTTTATTTTATTGGCTACATATTCCAAAGATCTGAAGACAAAGTTGTCAAATGCATTTTTACAGGATTAATTGCAGAACAATATTTAGAATATTTAGTGCAGGGTAACTTAGATAAGTATAATTCTGAAATCTCTGCATCATCATCTGGTGTGCAACAGAGACACCAGATAATGGTTCATACCTTGGCAACAGTGTTGGAGATCTGCGGACCCATCTTCAGGGAATCTGTGAGGTAAGACAGCAGCTGACCCTCTGGATCTCCACCTGCTTTTCCCAGGAAGCGAAGGCCGATCTCAACCACGAACACGGCATCACAAACATCAGCGTACGAGCGCAGGACAGCAGTTGTGGTGCTGCTCACCGAGCCCTTCAGGACTTCCTGTGACAGAAACAAAGAGGCAATGAGCAGAGCAGAGTAGAGCATCAGATGGAGGGAATCTGACAGTCTGGACTCACAGAAATCTATCAAGAAAATCTACTGGAAACATTCTGCAGCTGGCATTACTCAGTTCCAGGAAAAAGAAAAAAGACCAACACTGTAAAAAAAACGAGTCAGTGAAAAAAAAAAAAAACATACCTGGTGAATCTTCCCTCTAACTTCAGCCAGAACCACAGAGAAATCCTGCAAACTTCTGTTAAGGTACCTGGAAGTGTCCTGATTCAGGGAGAAAATATGGAGATTAGCAGAAATTTCACTGTTTTGCTATTTGCAGTAAGGATATATATACAGTATTTACTGCCTGGATGAGCGGTTTTCCAGCCAGGAAGCGGCGAGCCAGTTGGGTTTGGATGACCCGCAGGTCGTAGCTACTGTCCGTCTGCCCGCCTTTCTGCAGAGTGTAGCTGCAGTTTGCTAAAACGAGCGGAAGCAGCTCTCGCTCAGGGTGGCACAGAGTCAGCTGGGTCTCAGAAATCTTCTCTAGTGGAACTCTGTAATCACTGTGAAGGCAACAGGACAGGGAGGAAAACAGCATCTCAGATGTTATGGATGAATCTAATATCTACATGAATAAAATAAACATCACTTTCTAGAGTCATCCCTTGATGCCTGGGTGTCCAAACATTTTGTCAATTGGGCCAAGGAAATAAATAAAATGGTTTTTTTTTTTGGGTTACTCAACATTAAGTTAAATGTGCAACATTTTAACAAAACAAGGCATCTAAATTTTTAATTCTCTTGGGCTTGATTGAACAAATTTATTCTGAGTTACAAGAACATAATTTGGGTCACTTTCCTTCAAAAAGCTTCCTATATTTAGCCAAGTTTAGATAAAAGCTGATTTTTTGGCAGCCAAGTCGGTTTTTCAGTAAAAGTCTTTGCTCCGACTTGGTTCTGCTTATGATAAAAACTTGATTATAAAAAAAGTTAATATTTTGTACTGAACTTAATTTTCCTTGTAATAAATTCACCCTTATTACAAACAAAAATAAAATCTCAATCTGTAATGGATGGGCCAAATTTGTATCATTCTTGAACTGCCGGTTGGGAGCCTTGCTAGGCCATTCTAATATACGAATATGTCGTGATCCAAATCATCCCAGTGGGCCGGAAATGACCTCAGGTTGCAGTTGGTTCAGGACTGACCTGTCCTCCTGGCCGCTCATTTTCTTGGCCTCCCTCACCAGGCTGTTGTGAGTCTCCAACAGGAAGTCGACCAGAGTTTGGAGACATGAACCAGGGCCACGTCGGCATGGCCGCAGATACTCACTGGAGCTCTCAACCGTCAGCTCCTTCTCACAAAGATTTACGTCCGCCCCCAAATCTGCAGCTAAACACACAAATACAAACACAGATGAGCCAGCAAATGCAGAAACATCAGCACTTTTTTGGTATTGTTCGTCAAATAATGTTCATCCGGCTTTTCTGTGCAGAAAATAAAATAAATGACACATTTGAATCAAGCAGCTTATCACAAAGTAATGGAAAAATCACAGAGCAACATGAGGAGTGTTGTTTTTTTTAAACATGAAAGCAAACAAATACTGCAAAATGCAGTAAAGTTCTTCTAAAACCATTGGTGTCAAATGATTCCTGTGAATTCTACATAAATGTAAAAAAAAAAAATAATTCTACACATTTTAAAAACTGAATCCTGCACCATAATTTGTTCTAAAATAGGAGTTGAAATATTTATGCCCTCATCTGTAAACCTTTCAGTTTCACCTCAGTAGTCATCAAGACCTTCTCTATTTTCACAAAGCTGTGAGTTTAGGAAAATAAGGATAAACATGTTGGAAGCATGTTTCCACATCATGTTTCCACATCAGGCAGCAGATTATGTACAAAGCCCCAACATTCCCATAATATTATGAAAGCAAATACTGAAGACTTAAAACCGTTTACCTCAAACACAGGAAGACAACCAGACAGTTAAATTAAACCCTTATGTTTGAGGGAAATATGAGGGTTTATATTTATATTTCCCTCAAATATAAATCCTAAATTATCCGGATTACTCTGGATAATTTAGCAGCCTGCTGTAAAGTCTGGTTGTTGTTTTATTTTATTGGCAAGTCCTTTGTTGAAAACTTAAAATATAAAACTTATATTATTGACATAGTAATTCAATAGTGTAACAACAACATTTGAAGAGCTGCAGCTGCTCTGCAGCCTAAAATGTGAACGGCTGCACTCTTACAGTTATTTGCCACCTCAGCTCTGAGCAGATTCCACACGCTGATGAATTTGTCCACCCTCTCAGCCAGCACCTTCTGGAACCCTGATGAGGATGATGAGAGACGGCTGTTTGTGCATGCATTCCTGCATTTTGCTGCAGCTGCTGAGTCAAAGAGGAAATGCTGGTTCACCTGCAGGGATTTGCTGCAGCGCCTGCGCGACGGTCTGAGAAGCCGAGCTTGCGGACGTCAGAGGAAACACCCTCAGAAGGTCCGACTGAAGAGCAGCCAGTTCAGGCAGGTGAGGGAGCTGCCGCACACAGTGTACCTGAAACACACACACACACGCAGAGTCTGCTTGAGCTTCAAAAAGAGTTGAATAAATACCAAAACCGTAAATGTATTTTTTCCACTAGAGTGAAGTCCTCCACCCTCTCCTACCACAAATCTTTTTTAAGTGTGTGCCATTATAATTTTAAAGATAATAAATATTTCCACTGTTCATCAAATGTCAAGCAGCCAGTCCACATTTACAAAAAAAATTAATTTTGTGTCGATCAATTGTGCACAAACATAGGAAAGAAGTATTTATATCAGTTTTGTTTCATTTTGTTAATGTGTGTGTTAGTGGGACAATGTGACTTCTGGTGAACACAGGATATTTTTTTTTATCTTAAAAACTATAATTGTACAAGCAAATGTTTTGCTGCACAAAATATTCCAATGTAGCTCAGTTTGACTGACAACATATTTTATTTGACTTTGACTGGCTGGTTGACCTTTGATGACCTCTGGAAACACTGATCAAGGTCTTTAAAATAATAGATGCAAAAATGCTAATTTCTTTGCACCACAATTGTTTAACACCAATGTGATTTAATTTGAAGAAGTGGGGGGTGCCAATATTACTCGGGTGCGTTACCCTAAATAAGGACATTAAAATCAAACCCAAATGGGTTAATAAATGTGTCAGATAAGTGTTACATCACCGCCAGAGTCAGTTCATGAGCACAAAAAGAGAAGCTAAAAGTTATATTTTTGGGGGGTGATATTTGTCAGTCCTCTCCTCAAAAACAAATGATGGCAACATGGTGCCCATCCACCAGCGAAGCGTTCAGTACCTTCTTCATAAACAGGCAGAGCAGCGGCAAAGAGTCGCGTCCTGACATCTCCCCCACCAGCTGAGAGAAGCGCTCCACCGTCATCGTTTCACGTAGAGTCCAGAAGGACGAACGATCCGTCGGGCAGTCAGAGGGCAAGGACAGCATCGTCCCAGGATCGGCAAACAGCAGAGTTATCAGGGGGCTTCCAGAGAGTCCGTCATCTGAGGCGACTCTCTCCTGAGCTTCCCCAAGATTCCTCTGCAGATCCTAAAGCAGGAAAGAAGGCAGGCTTTCCATCACTCATTGTCGAAAATGTTTCAGAGCTTAAAACATGGAAGTTTTCAGAGTTTTTGGGGTTTTTTTTTAAACACACCTTTACGAAATGAAAAAACATTTTATGTTGGTCAAAATTTGAATATGGGAACTACAAGAATCAGAGACATTACATAAACAAATGGACAAATCTCATATTAACCACCTTTTGCTATGCAGTTAATCTAAAAAAAAAAAAAAAAATTAACCACACATTGTACTGATGTTAAGTCAAGCCAAAAGTGTCATGATGTGTGGTGAATGGGAAATGCAGCATGACTCAGGTAGCAGTGAAATGATGATTTTAATGGTGAGAATATCCAAAGTGACACAGTCCAAGGAACAATCCAAAAACTGTCCACAAACCTGACAGCACAGCAGAGCAGACGGCTCAGCACTGTTAGCAACAGGTTTTACAAATGACCAAACAGACGTGCAACAACAACACTGAACAGACCAGGACCCAACGAGGAACAAGGAACACAGGTGGGGTTAATTACACAAAGGATAATTATAGAACGAGAAACAGCTGGGAATAATCAAGGGCAGACAGGACAACACTGAGACACTGAGACACAGAAAACTCAAAATAAAGACACAGAAAACTCAAATCCTGACAAAAAGGGTATTTCACATGTTCATGTCAGGAGAATTTTATTCAGCTGCAGATGCATCATTTACTACCAATGTTCCTTAAATGAATATTCCATTCTTGCATGCTAAGCAACTACATTTTTATTTTTTTATTTAAAAACATAATTGAATTATTGTTTATTTGTATTTTTTATGTATTTCTAGAATTGCAATAGATTAAGCTTAAGTGGTTAAATATAAAATATGCAGAAAGTGCCATTATTTTATCCAATTAACTGATTAATGGTCAAAATAATCAATAGAATAATTGATTTCTAAAACAGTGATTAGTTGCAGCCTTACTTCCCCCTTTTTTCCCACTTTTTCAGACCTGGAAAATATTCAAGTCAAATTCTACATTTTCCATTCTGCATACCAACCTTTGGATTTCTAACTTGTTTATTGCTGAAACACCTTAAAGCTTTTTTACCTGAAGCACCGGGTTGATGGCAGAATCACAGACGAGTTTCTCCCAACGCTGCCGTTCCTGTCTGGAGGACAGATCTGGTCTCGCTCCCCTGGAAGCTTCATCAAATATCGGTTCTTTAAAAACAAGTTTTCACTTCATGACCTAAACGCCAATGAAAGGTTGTTGTAAAGACGCCTCTACCTTCAGGGAATCTTGTAAGGATGAGATGAACCATAACTGCTGTGTTGTCCCTGTTCTGGTCCAGAGTTTTTCCCAACACTTCCATGTCCCTTTGCAGGTGGTCCCACAGAAATTGGAAAACATCCAGCGGACGGGGATGGATCATGTCACTGACTCTCTGACATAATAGGACATGGGTTGTCCTGTATTAATATGGAGGGATATTTTGAAAAAGTGATGAGAAATATGGGATCCAGTCTCACTCTGTGGTTCTTCATGGCTCCTTGAAGCATAGCGAGGTGCATCAGCAGCCGCAGGATGCTGGACTGAGCCGAAGTCATCTGTCTTTCAGGGGCTTCGGACCTCCGATGAGCCTCACCAAGGACATGTCCTGTCCGGGTCTGATCCCTGACATTTACACCAAAAGAAAGGGATCAAACAAAAACGTACAAGTGAAACCGTTCATATAATTAAGTCAATCGAAGGTCTCACCTCTGCTGGTTGTGCTGAGTAAAACCTTCCACTGGGACGTGTCCTACTCCACCAATGGGAAGTCCACAGTCAAGACAGAATGACCTCACCATTGGCTTTCCACACTATGAGACAACAGGGGATTAATGACAGTCTCACTGACGCTCATTTTATGCTGTTAACAGTGTACGAGGGATTAAAACAAACAATGAATGCCTACCTCTCCCACAAAGCAAACATGTCCATTTGCACATTCTAAAAACCAAGGAAAACATCACATTTAAGAGCTTCAATAGTGATACGATGATATGCAGACTATTATTCTATAAAAACCTTTACCAATGTTCCTACTAATCTTGACCATTTCCCAAATCAGTAGTGATAACAGTATTTATAGCCCTCCAACTTCTTCACATTTTGTCAAGTCACAACCAGAACATTCAATGTGTTTTGTAGACATTTAGTGTTTTCCTTCAGAGTGGATGCGACAATTCAGAAAAAAAGCTGCCTTTGTTAGATCATTTGAACACAACACTCACTGACTCTTCATTACTGTTAAAATGTTTCTTGTTTTCTCCCATGATTCTATAGTTTCCTCTTGTTTATGCAACAACTTTCAAGCTGTCAGGGTTTTTCTCCCTTTTTACTGGGAGAAAAATAACCACTATTTTAATAATGCTATATAATCTGAAAACTGATGTGAATTCATTTTTATTAACTTGATATGACATCATTATGTTTACACTTACTGTACATCTGGAGTTTCTTCTCTCTTAACCACTGTCTAGCTTCATTAGTGTGATCATCTGGCATAGTGGGAAGGTACAGGTCCTGGATAAAAAAGAAAAATGAAAACTAATAATAATGATGAAGGTACGTGGTGTCCATAAAGTAAATAACAGAAGTTATTTGGGATTTTTAAAAAATAAAGAGTTTTTGCTCTCATAGAAGCATGCGTAGATATGCATATTTTGTGTCAAATAAGAATTTGTTCATCTGTAACTATGAAAAGTGATATGAATCTATTTCTTTTATGCAGATAAACAAGCTTCTCACTGGGATGTTCTCAGGCTGAAAGGCGATCAGATGAAGTGGAGCCAGAAGACGATTTCCACAGAGGAGCACAGAGTCCAGATGGACCAGCAGCTCCAGGAGAGTTTGTCTCAGACCCGACAGATTTGAGCTGATGTGAAGATTGGACTCTGTTTGGCCGATACGATTCATCAGAAGAGCCGAGCAGAACTCCCTCAGCTCATTCCGGTTGATGTTTCTGAGGACAGCTTTCAGTCTTTCTATCTCCTGTAAGATTGTACAAAAAAGGCAGTTAGAAATATTTGAGAGCAGGCATTTTATTAGCAATTTACATAACCAAGAATTGGAAAGTCAGTAAAACATTTTGAACATTCTCCTAAAACAAGCTAGACAAGCCATACAACGTTTCATTTTAATCTTAATCCTTGAATAATTTCAGGGATTTTTTACCCTTTTAAACTCCTGCAAAGTGTCAAACAACATAGATGAACTTTAGACAGGGTGTACCTGTGCAGAAGGGTGTACGCTGGCATTAGGTGATCTGTACCTACTGGTGACCAGTCTAAACAGAGCCAGAGCCACCAGACTGACCTGAGATCCTCTCAGCTTCTGCAGGCAGGAAGCACAAGGAAAAAGATACTTTATTTATCCAGAAGAGGGAAATTCATATATGCAGCAGTAATGCAATAAACAGTCATAAAACTAATATGCACAAATACATGTACATTAGTATGATTTTAAACATAACTGCATACAAACTTCATATTTAGCTTCAATCTGGCATTAATATGGAATCGCACAAAAAATAAATTAAAGTCACAACACACACAAAAAAACATGATCAATGTCTGATGATTACAGCCAACATGTGACCACTCTGTCCTGCTGATGCTGTCAAAACTATCATCTCTTTCACTCACATCGGATGCTGTGGTAATCAGTTCAGTTACTTCTTTCCAAAGGTTAAAATGATTAAGATTTGCTGGCCTCTAGTGGCCATCAGGAGACATAAAGCTGCATCAGTCAGCAGTTGCTTCTGCTCTAGAGTAGCTCTCACCTGCAGCTCAGTCACAAAGCTGTCGGACCGGTTCTCCAGGAGAACCTGACCCACAGCATTTCTCAGATCTCTGTAAGACGTCCCACAGCAAAGGAAGTAGTCTACGTTTGTTGGAATCATTTTCTGAGAGAGAAAAAACTTATTGTTTTACATTTAAATTCATTCCTTAGCAGCACAGATACAACCTACGATATCATTAGGAGTCATTGTGAATTAGTCCACAAAAGAATAATAAAAAAAAGATGTATCAAAGTGTTGCACCTGGAGCTGCAGTAGAAGTGCAGGGAAGATCCACCTGTAGGCCGGGCTGTTCATCAGTGAAACGATGAAGTCCATCCCTGAGCATCTGTGCAGGGCTCGCAGCAGGTAAACTCTGAGCCAGTCATTGCTGCCGTACTCAAATAACCCTCTCACCTGACGCAGGTATTCTGTAGCCACCGCCTGTTCATCTATTTTATCAGAAAAAAAAACAAAAACAAAAAAAACATGCGTATTCGTCCCCAGAGTTCTAGCATATTATATATGTGCAACTATGGAACAGTTTTAAAATCAGATCACCTTGAGCTGTAGCTTTCTCCAGCAGCTTGGCAGCAGTGCTCAGGCAAATTTTCAGCCTGGCCATGTTAAGGAGGAACTCTGCTGGGTCCTCTTGTCTGTCCGGAGTTTGTTTCCTCACAATCCTGCTCAGAAATTTGACTTCTGCTTGATGCTCTGCAGCAGGATCCACTTCTCTGGCTGCTGAGCACAGCAAGGAATCCTGAGAGGAAGGAAAGAAGCGGTTCATATTTGTGACAGCAATCAAACTGTCATCAGTACAAAGTTTCAATTTATTTGTGAACAAATTAGCAACGCAATAACAATGTCTGAAAGATGGGGAACCTGGAAGCAGTTGGCAAACAGCAGGTAGAGTTCTGTGCGGTCCTCCTGGTGCCAAAGGTTGTTCTCCAGATTCCTCAGGTAGTTTTGGATGTGAGTCTTCACCTGGTCAAAACTAAGATATGTACTTTGGTTAAACTTCTATAAAAATATGCTCTTATATGTTTGTTAAAAGCATCACTTTGTTGTGACAGTTTGGTTTGTGACAGATAATTAAAATGCACTGCTTTGTCAGAAAAAATTAGCAGAACCAGGAGGAGGGTCTCAGTGCTGCCAATCTAGCTTGTGTACATGTTGTTCTCTACTAAACTACAGTTTCTCCCCATCAACAAATCCTGGCACACCTGCTCAAGCTAGTTAGCATCACCATCGATGATGGATCGATAAATGGTTTTCCTGAAATGGTAAGTTGTTTCTCCATCACTAGCACTCTGAGCAGCGCATACACAAATTGATTGATTGACAGCGCTAAGACACTCCTCCTCACTCTGACTGGATGTTTTTCTGCAAACCGCAATAGCAGCACATTGCTGTCATGACATGGTGACAGTTTTAATAAATATGTAAAAAATAATTTTTTATCATAGTTACATACTGCAGTTTTAAAGGGTGTGTTTTACTACACCATGAGAAGCTGTTTACGCCTTCTCTCTCACCTGTACTGCAGCAGAAGCTTTGGCAGCACAGATCGGACCATTGGACTGTTATCCACACACTCCAGGAAGGGCGTGAGCTCTCTGGTGCAGTAAACGTCTCCTGCAACAACAGCAGAGTATTTGCAAATACCTGGTGTGTGTGTTCACTGACACTGACTTGTTCAGTCACTGACCGTTAGCAGAGACGAGCAAAGAGAACAGCAGCTCCACCACGCCCTCTTCGGGCTTCTGCCCCTCTGACAAACAGAACCTGGACACGACCTCCAGGAAGAAGGAGTTACAACAGCGTCTGATGGCTGCCTGCTGTTCGAGTGCCACCCTGAATTACATTTAAAACAGAACAAAGATAAATAAAATAATAAATTTCTGGGGTAGTTTTGTGGCCTTTCTTTACAAAGGCTTTGTGCTGGTTGGCAACAGAAGTGAGCCAGCAGCAAAAACTAACCAGTGATAGATGCAAAAAGCTTGCTAGCAAGGGTTTATTAGCGGGTAGTTAGAGGTAGGCTAAATTTTGAGTCACAGAATGAGGGCGACTCAAAACTTTTTCCTGACAGAAAAGTCCTTGAAAAAAAAAAAATTAATTTCCTTGCCAATATTTAAGACATGGGATTAAGAAATTAATTCCAATCCACATTTTTTTATATAAATGTAAGACATTTAAGGCTTTGATTACAAACACATACATTTAAGACTTTAAAAAATGCAAGGAAACCCTGAAAAAGGTTATAAGGTAGATAGTATTGGTTCAGGTTGGATCAGCACTTTTCAGTGCAATTATTTTGCAATTTATTTCCATCAGTAAAATTCTGCCAGAACAGGACATTCGAGGGATTTTGTATTACTCTTTTCAACTCACTTGACACTGTGGGAAACAGTTGCCGTGAAGTTGTTTGGCAATTCTGCCCTGCATTTCGGGCAGGAAAGTCGGTTCTGCTGAAAACATTTCTGAAGACATGGTAGACAGATGACGTGGCGGCAGGGCAGGACGGACGGCTCAGTGAACTCCAGCAAGCAAACTGGGCAGGAGATTCCAAACCTTCAACAAAAACAGCCATGCACATATTTACTGTTCATAGCAGTCTTATATTCAATAAGTAGGTAAAATCTCCTAAATTAGACGAAACAAACAAAAGACACAATCTGACCTGAGGTCCCTGCTGATGCACTCATCGTGGAAGGAATTGAGTATCCGGATCAGCTGCTCCAGCGTGTTTACACTTCTAACATCAGGAGACGCCTGCATCAGCTGTTGAGTAAAAAAACAGACTTTGCAACAAAAACATTTGACTTTATTTTAGCTACTAAAACTTTGAAAAGTCTCTGGCAGGCAGCAAATGCATATGATTATTAATATGACAGAAAACTCATTAGTTTAGACTCCATTTCCTAACTGAGTGTAGGATTTAAACCAGTTTAAGAAACATCAGAACCAATAGAGATGCTAAACCACTCTCTGACGTACGTTCAGATGAAGGTTGCAGTGTTTCAGAGACAGTTCTTTAAGCTTCAAGTCATCTTGTTTCACTTTAAAAGTGATCTGCTGTATAAAAGATGCAACAACAAGCATCCCATGCCACAATGACCTGAAATGAAAGATGATCTTGGATTAAATAAATGTAACAAAAACAAACACTGTTCCTCACATGAGAATTAAACTTTTTTCCAGATTCAAAACTCCAGTTCTTTTTAATTGTTTTCCCATTTTACAGAATAACTACAAAGGTTTAGAATATGTTTCTACACCAGTTGGGCTACAAATATGAGACCATGACAATATCTGGTAATTAGAAAATGTTTTTAAATTACATTGTTTTTTTGCATATTTATCCAGAAGAGATATATACTTTAAATATAGTTTCCAGACTATGTCAGATATTACACAGTGGAGTCATAGACACACAGAATCAATTTTTAAAACTTTTTTAGACACCTGATGGAGGCCAGATGCTGAAAACAGGCAGCACTACAGAGAGCACTGTATTTCTGGCTGAAGGCTCTGTCCAGACACGGCTGAAGTAACTCCACCCTGTCCACAAATGACCTGCATTCATCGAGGGACGTCAGAGTCAAAAGTTTGACCTGTTCAACACAGATCCCGAGGGCCAGAATATCCTCCACCTGCAGAACGAAGAACACATGACAATAACCTTCAGATTGGAAAAGAAATGCCTCAGCATTGTTCTTTAAGTCAGAGATAAAGAAGATCAGTGTCACCATTTCTTTCTGCTCGCTCTTTATCGATCCCCGCTGAAGAACATCTGCAGCTAGCTGTGGCTGCAGGAGGAACATGTGGCTGAGCATGTCCAATCTCACTGCAAAATACTTTGCGGCTGCCATGATCCAAGCAGGAGAGAGATCAGGAGCAGTTCCAATGGACGTCTGAAGCTCCGTCAAACAGCCCGGCATGGCTCTGATAAACACCTGTGCATGATATGTATGATCAGTACAGGTATACATGTCCTTGTATACATGGACACTGTGTTGTTAAGCCACTTCACAGTGATCTATGACAGAGGCTGCTAAACTTAATAGATGAGACAGGAAAAACTTTTATCACCTTAAGGAAGTAACATTTTTAGAAACAAGTTGGATTTTCTTTCTTATTTCTAAATGTCTTGACTCTCAGATATAGTTGTAGGTTGTTTCATTAAACCCTGACACCATTTCTCTTCAACTCAGCTTGCTTTGACAGCAGATCATCAAAAACTTGGAAAAAAAAAGCTTGAAAAAAAAAAAAACCCTGGAGAACTACTGATCAAAGCTGGTGTGACAAAACTGTTTGAAACATTTTTAACTTAGCTGTATTTCCACTGATCTTATAATTGCACAAATTGGAATTATGAAAATAAAGGCACTTTATGGAAAAATGCCAATTTAAAAAACAAACATGTTTTTATTAGTTTTTGCACTACGATGAGCTGGTTTTTTGGCTGTATTAAATGTCAATAAGGTTTTACATACATTCGTAACAGAAACACAGTTTGTGATTTTTCTTTTGGCTTAAATCAAGATACAGCATCTCAATGGGTGAAAATTACTGAACCTTGAGTTCATCTTTGGACTTTATCTTCAGAGAGAGCAGCAGGAAGTCCTGCAGGAACAGAAGACCATATTCCCATCGCTCCTCCTCAGAAAGCTGCTGGAGGTGACGGCCCGGTCCGCTGCTGGAGAAGCTGCTCACAAACTGGAGAATCCTCTCTGTGCTTCCTTCTTTAGATACTGTGGAGCACATACAAATCAGATCACAAAATATTTCTAAATATCTGATTGAGAGCTGGTCTCAAACCTGGCATGAACTCGGACTCCTCCCACAGGCTGTCCAGGTTCATTTTAATGATCCAGCTGAACGGAGCCGAGCACGACTGCTGCTCACTGTCCAACAGGAAGTAGTGCTGCACCAGAACCTCCTGGTCTGAATCACTGGGAAATGCAATCAAAGAAATGTTTTCATTTTAACAAGAAATTCCGCCAGTTAAATAAAGCAGTACGGTCGCTCACAGAGAACCAGAATGAGGACTGTAGTGTACCCTGTAAAAGGCAAATCATCCAGTCGATACCTTGGATTTGATGGAGGTGCCAGGTGTAAAACCTGCGAGTCTTCCAAGATGTTCATCCAGAGCTTCATGAGACCCGGACTGAGTCTGTCAGCAGAGAGCAGGTCCAGATTGGAGTACCGATCTATTACCTCCAAGATGCTGGCTAGCACCGGTGTCACGGTGGACTGGAGGCAGCGCCACAGGGTGTGCCTTCACACACACAGAAAATACGCAGGTCATCACAGTAAATACTTAACATTACACTTAAAACCTCAAAGTTTTACCAACAATATTACATCGGCATAAATAAAAGGAAAACCTTAAGAGACTTTGAAATTTCTAGTCTTATTTTACTATAAAGAGCATATGTTTTGCATAAAATGCAAATTCTTGTTTTATATAATAAATTACTGACATTTCCACCAAAACCCTAATAAAAAACAATGCAAACTAGATAACTTATTTGCATAAAATAAACAAAAAACAAAGTCATTTTTAGTTTAAAGCAATAAAAAACTAATAACTTTTCACTTAGGAGTTCAGAAATCAACATTTGGTGGATTAAGTAAAATTACTATTATGTTTAATTGAGCTCATTATATAATAATTTTTCTCAGTTTGTGATGCATGAGACATTACCTCAGAGTTCCTCCTTCCTGCAGAGCCTGGCGTTTCTTTGCCTCTCTGCTGACCCACTCTTTAGGAGCGGCCATCACTTCTTCTCTCTGAGCCAGAGTCTCAGCCAGCCGACTCAGCAGGACCCTCTGGAAGCGAGCTTCAGGAAACACCAGAGTTGGATCAGACCCAACAAGCAACAAAACCTTGGATCATTTTGTTTTGTTGGCTAGTCAGTGTGAACAATAAATCCATCATACGTTTACCTGTTGTTTGATCGGTCGACAGGTGTGTCAGCAGGATGTGCATACGCTGCAGGCCTCTTGATGTCAGATTGTCGGGGTCTCTCAGTAAACCCACAGCTTTTTGGATACAAGAACGGACTAAGGACGGGCTGTGAAGGTGTGCTCTCGCCACCTGAGAAGCAGATTTAAAGTCATCATAAAAAATGCCAACAATATTTTTATTTTAAACCACTTAGATCAAATCTTACTTTTCTGTTGTCTTCTGAGTCGTTTATTAAACTCATTCCTTCACTGACATCCTGATTTTCTGTTCAAAGTGTAAAAAAATTACTTTTATCCACACTGCATTTCAGTTGAAAGAAGTAATGTGCTAAAGTGGAAAAGTAATGATGCATGGACTATAAAACTTTTTAAAAATAAAAATGTGAAAAATCTGTTTCATGTTCAGACTAGAGAGAGCACATCTATCAGAATCAACATTAAAACCTCGTCAAATATTATATTAACTGGGAAATCCTGTAATTCTCCGCACACTACAATATTGATTACAAATTAATCTACCTCTCCACCATCGTCCCTGATTGATTTGTTATTTTGTGCATTTCAAGTGAATTCTGGCTGAAATTGGAGTCACTGGATTTATTTAGGAGCATCAGCGTGAAGGAAAGTAAAAATGCTGAAGGAGTTTTAGTACTTTAAAGAGGTACTGCAAGCTTTTACATTTCTAAAAGCTGTGAATAGTTGCCCCTAAAATCAAATTTTAAATGTGTTATTAAATGTAAAATATGACACAGATAACAAAGGCTGAATGCAAATATTCAGAACAGGGCTAAAGTATTTAAAGGTGACAACAGCTAAAAAGCATTTTGCACGTCGGCAGCAAAAAAGCTTCACAGCTTCGAATTTCAGTGAAATGTAATCTTAGTTGCATTGCATTTAAACTTTATGCGTAAAATAAACACAAGACTATTAAAATTAAATTCAAACTTTTCCAGTAATGTCTTTTGTTTGAGCATGTCGTTCCCACTTACCCTAACACAATTAAGAAATTAATGACAATTTGCATTGTGGTCTTAGACTTTGAAAATTCTGAATAACTTTTAAAAATAAGACTTTAAAACATTTAGCTGTTCTTCACGGTACTAATATAATACATAATAATTCTTGATCTGACTTTTAATTTAATTTGTAATATAAAATTATGACTAAAACCCACACAAGCTAAGTGTTTTGTACCTTGCTGCGCAGGTTTGAGCAAGGTGCTGATGAGCGTTCCACAGAAATCCGACAGATTCAGACTCATGTCCTCTGAATCCCTCAGGTCATCGATGTGAACTGAATGCCAGAATCCTTTGAAAGAATCACAAAAAATAAGCTTTCAGTGTGTTATTAACAACACAGCAGGCACACTGCATTCACAACCTCCTTCCTTTTGGTTCTCACCTCCTTGGAAACCAATGTACCGAGACTGGCTCGAAATCCTTGAGACCTTCACAATGAAGATCACCCAACACATCTGAACATCCATTGAAGCCATGTAATTCATGGTGCAGTACCTATCGGCATTAATACTCATGAACACACCTGCCAAGTCAAACATCCACTGTGCTTAGTAAAGAGGAGGCCTGTACTTTGCTGATGCGATGAGCTCGTCGCTGCACTGGGACTCCTCCAGGTCCATCTGGATGATCAGAAGGTGAAGCGAGCTGCCAGCGTTTTGGAGGAACAACCTGACACATACAAACACAGAAAATCAACTTATGCTATTTTACAAAAAAAGAAACAAACTGAGGCTAAGTCTTGAATTCACCCAGTTATTTTGAGAATATGTAAGATCTATTAAGCTTTTTGAAATGAGACATCAACAATACAGCTAACACTCAAGACATACATTTATAAATAGCTTAGCCTGGGTTTATGAAACATAACAGGCAGGTATCAGACAATCATTTTATTTTTGATTTTGGTATCTTCAGATTTTTGCTAATAGTTTGATCGCATGCATAAAAATATGCAAAGATGCATGACTCAATGAGGTAAAGGAAGCAGCAATCTGTTTTACCGTATTTTATTGCAGAAAGAGACTTCAGTGTCAAACTGGTGGAGCGAGAGCAAGAGGATCCTGTCTGTATTCAGTCCTAATGCAGGGGCTACATCCCTTACATCTAATTTTGTCAGCAAGCTGGAAAATGTTGTGATCTATAAAAAAAACAACATAGAGCAGTGCAGTCAAGAGTTTTTGTGAAGTCTAAAGGGAAAAGTGAAATTGGAGATTTCAGCCTTACCTCCAAGAACTTGCTGGAGCCCTGGTGTGAGTTCAAACAAGCTCCCAGAAAATCTCGGAGTGAGTGGTGATGTTGCTGCTGAAAGTACAATCTCTGAAGTTTCTCTTTGTCCTGATTAGATAAATCTGAGTATTTGAGCCTCACAACAGCATCGGGGGTGGCACAGTTTAACAACAAACTTTTCGCCAAGCTGAAGACCTCTTCCTCATTTTCTCTGGGAGACTCGTCCTTTTCGGTCTCCATCATCTCTTCATTTTCCAACATGTTTCTATCATCAGTAACTTCACTGGATTCATCATTCTTACCCATTATCTCAGTTTCTTGCTCAATGTCCATTGCATCAACAAACTCATTGTGCTCCATCTCAGCCACTTGGTCCTTGTCATCTGGCTCAAGTGTTTTTGGTTTGTCCTCTTCCTCTTGTTCTATTCCCTTGTCAGAAGCAGTGTGTTGTCTCTTTTCTAGTGCTTGCAATAAAGCACTGGCACATGCATCACCGTGGAAGCCAATGAAAATGTCAGAGGGCTTGAAGTCATCATTGGCCTCTCCAGAGAATTCCTTTACCCACTCTCTCAGTTTGTTGAGAACGCGGTGCTGCCATGCCTCCAGATCGGTGCTCCGATCCACTCTGTGTTTTTCCAGCCTGTTGATGAGGGGAACAGGGAAGTGCTCGTATACCTTGTTCTGGTCTTCCACCACAACCAACCGGAAGTTGGTATGAACACGACATTTGACTCTATGGGAGCCAAGACCCAGATCAACGTACTGCTGCTTACTGAGGTAAACGTAGTACTGGTTCAAGGCATCATAAAGGCTTTCATAGAGATTCTGCATGTTAAGGAGGACAACAGTTCTTCCGGTCTCCATGCAGGTTTTTACTCGGTTGACATTCCGGCATATTTGAGCGTATTCCTGATCTTTTGGGAATCCAGAACCAAAGATGATTTCGGGTGGTGGATAGTCTCCTTTTGCAAAGACCTGTTGCTGAAGGATATGCAGAGCTGCATTGTTTGTGGTGAGTAACAAGAGATAGCGGCTCTCCTCTTTGGTCCCATGATCAAGATTCCTTAATATCATCTGCAAGGTTCTTGGTCTGGGAATTTCAGTCAGATCTTGCAGAACGTCTTGGAAAAATATGACTGGGTCAAAGCTGTCTGGCTGTCCACTGAAGTTACGTAGGATGACCTCTACAAGTTGCTCACCATTTGGCTCTTGTTGTGTGGCCTTCACTCCGGAAAACAGCATTTTGACTAGGCTGTAGTAATCCCTCAGGCCAAAGAACTGATTCTTTGAAGTCTCATTGCAGATTTTTAAGAAGGCGCTGGCCAGTGATGGGAAGAGATGTTTTATTTTCAGGAGAATCTGATTGGAAGATGAACAAATGCCTTTGGCTGTCTGCACAAGTTCATCCTCACTTGGGTCCCACCTGGACACAAATATTCCTCGGTTCATCTTTGCTGGGTCCAGAGCCCAATTGGAGATGCCAACAAACCCAACTTTCATGTGTGGATCTGGCTTGTCATTGTCAATGCATCCATCCTCCAGTAGAGGATGAAGAGTCTTTAGTGGCATCTGTGGAGAATCTTCTGCTAGTCCTATCTCATCTAACACCACTACTGAGACGTACTCTTCCATATTTTTGTCCTTTTGGAAACGAGCACAGTTCCTGAATGTTCCTATGATGCCTTCTGGACTTGAGTGAGGGCTGCATTGAAAAGAGACCATGTGGACTTGTTTCAGTTTCTTAAATAGTTTACAGTGGGAGTTTTGGCCCTGCATGGCGTCAGCGACAACAGTTTTAGCAAGAGACTTGGAGCTGCCTGGTTTGCCGACCAAAAACAGTGGGATCCTCAGTTCTATGCAGACCACCATGAGAAACACATTTTCTTTGAGTGCAATGTTTTTGGCAATGGTCTCCCTTGTCTGAACATTCTGAAGGAAGAGGTCTTGACAGGATGAAATCTCCACTTGCAACGCTCGAGCACAGTTCACAGGTCTTGGAAAGTACCTGCAAATTTCTTCCAGGTAGTCCTCTTTGGCTACAAGAGATGGATAGTAGCATACTCCAACAGCTAAGATCAAGCACTTCAGGGTTCTTTCATCATCACTGAGATTAGCTATGTCAGTGAAAATGTCTGGACTGTGTTGGTAAAACCAAACTAACACTTTCATGGACCTCTCTACATCTCTCAGACTTACAAAACTACATTCATTTTTACGACTTCTCATGTATTTCTGGGAGGCAGCCAGCACATTTGAAATGATGTTATTGCACGATGCTGGCAAACGGTGATCGGAAACTTTCTTCTGGACAATCTGATTGATGTAGGAAAGCTCAGTTAAATCACTCAACTGGCCGAAATCCCACACCAAAGACACCATACTTGGTGGCAGAGGGTGAACTCTGTACACCAGCTGCCTCAAAGGAACTTTGCCAAGTCGGTCTTCAGTTTCATTTGCCTTCACTCGGTACCCCAGTCCTGCACGTTCCAAACGTTCCACCATTTCAGGTGAGTGTTTCCTGTACGGATTGCAGGCAGCTATTATTTTTAGGCCACTTTCTGGCCTCAGAGGTTCTCCTTTCATTGTTTGGTCACACAGGATTTCCTTGATGGCAAAAATGGCCTCTGTTGTGTTGGCTTCGTCAAAGAACAAAATGGTATCAAGGTTGTGCTGCCGCTGATTTTTGCGGGCAAGAACCTCAGCCTCCTGCACCTTTCTATAGATCATTTCTGCTGTGGTTCCACCATGTACTTTAACAAGAACCATGTTCTCTACTGGTCTTTCCTCTCTTTGCAAAGTACAGAGGAAACGGACCAGTCTGGTTTTTCCACAGCCAGTCTCACCCATGATCACAACTGGAATCCCACATCGGAACCTCATGTGTATGGCCAACATCTTCATCACATTGTCTGCAGTGAGCTCATAGGTTGGGTCTGGATCAAAGTTTCTGTCCATAATTCCTCTGGTTGCACCAACAACACAAGAAATCCTTTTGATTTTGTCTGGTCGGGGCAGCTGATCAAAGTCCTCAGTAAGCGAAATCCTTTGTCGTTGCAAGCCATCGAAAAGTTCCTGTGACATTACGCTCTCTATGAGAACCTTATTGCTGTGAGGATCAACTGCTCTGAGTGTATTTCGCCTTGGACAGAGCTGCACATTAAAGCCAAGGAAAGACATTGAAGAATGGTCAGCGTTGAAGAAAATGTACGGATGTGATTCATTCTCCCATCGTTTTCGAATTGACAGACGAGTAAGAAGGTCATCTTCTAGATTGCTTTCGATGTGAAGAGTGGGACTTTCATCAGATGTGTTCAGAGACGGCGAGGCAAAATCTCTTGCCATGTGAATCATAAACTTTACAATGAAGTCCTTAAAGCCTGGCAGATGGTCTGCAAGAAAGTCTGGATCACAGAAAACAGAGACTTCACAGTCTTCCAGCTGCACATTGAGGAACCAGGAGAAGTTCTTCAGTTCACCCCAAGATGGATTTTCCATGCCACAGTGAAGCAGCAAGAGACGAAGGCAGTCTCTGGTATCCCCAACTTTGGATCCTTTTTGATAGTTAAATCGATCCAGACGCTGACTCTGGAAGTAGCGTCTTAAGTATTGATAGGGTCTTTGAATTCCCTCACTGAAAAACTCCTGTTCGTCTACAAGTGGATCAAATCTGTTTTGTCCAATGAGCCTTGGACTGCCCAATAGTTGCAAAACTTCTTTTGGAGCTTTGCAATGAATGGTGGGCAGAATTTCCAGAAGTCCGACCCTCACCTAAAGAATCAAATTGATGACATAAATAACACATAACATGCAATAGTCTATGTTAAAAGGACAACAATATTGAATAGATCTGAAACACATTTTGCAAATGAAACTGCAAGTTTGATTCTGTAATTATTAGAGATGCGCTGATCCAATATTTATATCTGTATTGGTTCTGAAATTGAAAAATAATTCTAGATCAGATTCTAGATTGAATATTGGTGACATTGTGCCCAATATAATTCAAGATGCATTCCTAGTAATGATGTATCAGTATTTAATTTATAGTCTATGACATAAATGTTCTGCAGGAACAGGCTTCAGACTGCCTCTAATGTAAGATGCTAAAAACAATTTCTACCTCTTTTGCCTGTTTTTGATGGCGTGTGATTGCTTTCAGAACTTCCACTGTGATCAGATGAGCCTTATTCTTTCTCCACAACATGCCATGGCTGTCACTCAAACAGCCCAGAACCAGCAGACGGAATAGAAGCTCCTCCAAACCTGAGCGAACCTGAACGGGGAAAAAGGTTGGATTCCTGTGGACTTTCAGCCAACAACAAAACGAGCTGTCTGACTGTGTAACGTATGGTTACTCACGCCTGCTGAGTCGATATGAAGGAGAACAGGGTCCTGCTCTCTGAGCTGGGACAGTCTCTCTGTCAGAGTGAGAACCAACGAGTCAACGTCCACATTCGCCTCAATCAGATGGATCCTCACATGTTTTGCTCTTGGAGATTTCTGCTGGAACTTCTCAAATAAACGCTTCACATAAAGGGACTTTCCTGTCATGTGGAAAATACTGATGTCAATATATATTTTTTATTAACCCTGTTAACTGAAGCTTTTTCACTGCTGGAAGCAGAAAGAAAACATTTCTCACCAACTGCCGGGCGTACAGATGACACCATCCAGACAGAGAGCTGATCTGGAGAAACCAGTGCGACTGGGTCTTGGGACAAGGTGCTTAGAGTGAAGTGATGATGAAGGTATTTTCTAGCCCTCTCCTCTGACAGATTCACACCAGTCTGCACTTTGTAGTTGCTGAAGTAAGAAGGAACACATCTGTGCTGGTGCACAACAGGACTGACTATCACCAAGCAATAATGCGGGCTGGCACTTCTCTCGAGACCTTCGTAGAGCTCCACCAATGCTTCGCTGGCTTCATATCCCAGCACACCAGGATTAACCAGAGAATAGATCTTCTGACATTTTTCTCTAGAGACTTGGCAGAGAGCTCTGCGCAGAAAGATCTCCACCTCTTCTCTGGTGGTTTGCTCCCTACAGACCAGGACCTCGTCAGAAGACGGCAGAGGTTGCTCTGGACTCTCCATGTAAAAAGACAGAGTGGTGGTGAAAACTTCAGCGCTCGGACAGAGGACAAGGTTCGGCTTCCCCACCTGGAGTCCTGGTGGGAGATTCCTGATCATGTGGAGCGGATTTGTTTCAGACAAGCACTCCAGGAGCTGAGCAAGTGTCAATATGTCCAGAGACTCCTCAAGATACTGGGACATGTTTCCCTTGAACCGCCTCCAGAGATTATCAAGCTTGCCCTCAGTTACATCATCATCTTCTTCTTCATCTGTTGAAAACTGCATTAAATCATAATCCTCTTTCGGGTCTTCTTCTGCATGCTTGGATGCAGCTGTTGTGATAGCTTCATAAAACTCCTCTTCATCATCAGAGTCTTCATCATCCTGTGAGCTCATGCTCACTGCATTTTTGTAAGCAACCCTAATATCATTCACCATGCACTGAGGCTTTATGGGAAAAAGCAGGTGCCACAGCTGCTGAGGAACCGACGTCTGACGTTGACACACCTTGTGTATCCAGTGGCACAGGTACACCAGCTGCTCTGACGTGAAATGGTTCAACACACTGAACCTGGAACGCATCTCGCCGATGAAGGCACACCATTCTTTGTGGCATGAATCCATCGACTGAGCCAGTTTCCGCAGCTGCTCTGTCACCTCTCCGCTGTACAGCGTCTGCTCGCCGCTGAGGGACAGGAAGGTGATGCTGATGCTCGGCTGCTGCTGCGGGCAGCAGTGGACCTCAGCAAACCAATCCCTGAAGAGCATGTTGCCAGATGTCTGCATTTGAAGAAGGATCGATCCAACTCTCTGAACTCCCTGGAAAACCTGAATAACACGTGTGTGTGTGTAGAAACGTTACAAACATTGGACAGACGTGTAGAAATACATATTTCCAAAAAGTAAGTAAAAGTAATATGAAAATAATTAGAGCTTAATTTTTCTTATTTGTATTCTTGGAGGTGTCATGTCTTACACATATTTCATACTATAAGCGAACATGTTTTCTTTACATTTCAATTTGTGGAGCAATGAATTCAATTTTGTTATCTAAAAAGATACAAAATTGATTTTAAGACAAAAATATTTGTTTAGAGTATCAAGTGATTCAATGTGATGCATGTTTGCATCACCTTGATATGACTAAGCTACACGTTATGTTGGTCTTAACTAATTAAATAAAAAATTTAATAATTAATTTAAAACAAGCAGAAAATATATCAGAGTTTGTGTTTTATTGGTTTTTATTCACTAATGAAGTTCTAATTGTAACAATGAAAGTCTCATACCTCTGTGAATCTGTTGACCTGTTCTCTGCCATGTTCCCCTTTAGATGACATCAACATTAGTTTGTTCTGAAGCTCCAGCAGATCTTCAAGCTTGTAGCTTTTCACCTCATTTCCTGCTTTTACTGTCACCAGAACCATATTTTGAAGACATCTCTGAAAATGGACAAAATCGGTCAGAAATGTCTCAAATACAGCTCCAAAGTGTATTAAGTAGGACTGGCTCTTTACCTTCTCTGTTTTTTCACTAGACCATCCGATGTGATAAACTCCATGTGTGTTGATGGAGGAAGCGAGCGAGAGCGAAGACTGCTCCACAGAGCCGTGCGTCTCCTTCAGAGCCTTCAGCCAACTCAGCAATCGGGTCGACTCTCTCTAAAAGACAAATCCAGTACCGTCAACATTACAGCTAATCCAGAACCTGAACTTAATGAGCCTGTGTACAGTGCTGTGTAAAAGTTTCAGACCAACCCCATTTATGTCCATTTTAAATCCAAGGAGAGATATAACGAGGGTATGCTTTTAAAGAAGATTAAATGAAAGGATTTCAAGCTTTTTTTGTTTTGTTTACTTTTTTTGATCTCTGCAAAGTTGGCTGCTACGTCGAGATGCTATGCTAGTTTTTTCTTTTGCTCACTTTTCCAGTCGATAACTTTAATTAAAGGTCACCGAGTATGCTTCTTTTAACAGGTTAGGATAGGCCTATAAAAACAAAATGCTTATTGGATAATGATTTTTCACTCTGCTCAGTTTGAGCAGTTTCTTTCTGAATGAGCAGTTTTAGAGCCTTTGTTACTTTAAATCTATATGAGCTGCATATTTCTCAACTCAACACTAACACTCGCATGTAAAAATGGCTGCAAACAGATGTGCAATAACTGTACATCTTTGAAAAGCATCCTGCACAACCAACAAGATTGTAGCAAGTGGTGTCTAGATGCTAAGTTGACAACAGAACACTTGTCTTTTCCAGCAGCCATTGTATAAATCAGGTTGCCAAATGTCCTGGAGCTCAGCTTTGGTTGCTAGATGATGGACAGGGCTTTGGAGAGATTGCTAGGTAACGACGCAGTGTCCGTCAAATGTGACTTAACAATTTTGAAGTTTTTGAAACATCTCATTTTCCAGACACCAAACAACCTAAAGTTACTACCACAAAACAGCAGGTGGTTTTTTCAGTGTTTGTGAAGCCATGAGAATTTTGAATAATGTACCCCTTTAAAAAAAACAACAAACTTTACAAACTGTTAAAGAAAATTAAGATCCGTGAAGTGAAAATCTAACAAGGTTTGGATCAAGAAGAGACTCGGTCAAAGAAAGTATCTCAGTACCAGTTTGTCAGGGAGCTTCTCGTCTCTGCTCTGGGCGTCCCACACCTGCTGAGCACAAATCATGAAATCCTGGAAGCTGGTCTGATGGGAGAGGGAGTAGAGCAGGGGGCCGTATCCCATCACCGCATCATGAAAGCAGGCCACCTGGTCAATCTCCGTGTCGTTTTCTCCAGCAGATATTGAAGCTAGCTCAACATAAACTTTGACATCGCTCATTGCTGGAAAAAGGACACAACAGAGACAAGTACCACTTATAGTTGCTTCTTGCAGGATTAACCTGAAAATTGTGATTATTATGGTGTCAACCTACTTTTGAGGTTCTCTCTGACCCAACTGATCAGAGGTTGGCTGTTAAGAAACTCTTCCAGACATGCAGTGTTTTCCCTGGTGACAGCAGAGAGCTGCTGCCTGGCATGAAACATGTCGTCACTGAGAGAGCTCAGGACCTGCTGCTTAAATCTGTCTTCATCCTGAAGAAGAGACAAAAATGTCACAGTAGAGTATTAAAAGTGAAAATGATCAAACATTTTTCTAGGAAAAATGACGACAAAAGCAGGTGAGTCTTAAATAACCATAAAAAAGGCACTAATATCCAGGATTTCAAAACATCCCAAATGTAAAAGATAATAAACTATTTTGTTTGTAATCATTCTTATACAAAATATTCATTCTTTTCCAGACTGAATTTAGACAATAATTACAAATTTATAGCAAATATTTTTTTACATAGCAACAGTGGAGAAGAAATAAAAACAAATAAATACATAAAAAAATCCGAAGATTTTTCCAAAATCTATAGTTGATGTTCAGGCCTGGGAAGTGGTTGGACTCCCAAACCATTTCCTGAAGGTTTGGGAGTCTTGTTTTTGTTTGTTTAATAGTTTGTTCTATAGTGTAAACTTTATATTTAATGAACCTCTTATTGAAAGAACTGGGATCTCTGATTGCAAAGCAAAAAATTAACAAAGCAAATTCACAGTTAAATTTTATGAGGAGCATTTAGTTTGTTACCAGTTGCCTGAGGGAGCTAATTTCGCTGAAGTTTCCGGAAAGCCCCATCATCTGGGCGATTCTCAGGACTGCTCTGGCTGCAGCCGCTGCATCGTGCAGCTGTCTGTACTCCTGGATCCGATGCAGCCTCGTCTGGACCCAGTCCTTCTCGGCTGTGACTCCTCCTGCTGTGGAAATGACCTCTGACATGAGATCCAGCTCCTTCACCAGCAGCTTTCCATCCCCCTGATCACCAGAGTCCGCTAGCATCTGGTCGAGCTTCCAAAACCTGATGTTTGCCTCAGCGATGCTGACTCCAAGGTGGAAGAATTCCTCCAGCAGAGGTGTCCAGATGCTCTCAGAGACCTGAGTTAGAGTCAGTTGAACCGGAGGCGAGGCGGGAAATCTAGATTCTGCTACGGATGCTGCTTGTTTGACCCACGAGGAGAGGATCAGGTTGCTGTGATGCAGTTTGTGCATCTCTGAGGACATTTTCAAGACATTCATGCTGATTCTATTCCACAGGACTGCAGGAGGACCAGTCTTCTGGAGCTTTCTTTCTGCATCAATGGCCTGAACAAGCACCAGTTTGTTCAGACTCACAGCATGGAGGTCTGCGCTGTGCTGCGCTTCAAGAGTCGACACCTCAGGAACTGATGAATTATAAAAAACACAATGTCAAAAGTTGAAGTAAAGATGACAATGACATACGAATGGAGAGTCTGATATACTGACCTGTGATGCTTTCCGTAATCTTCGCCAACATCTTTATCAGTGTATCTATCTCCTGTTTCCGCTGCATAAAAGCATTCAGGTCCTTCTCTCTCTGAGTCAAAACAATGTCAGCATCAGCTGGAGCTTTCTCAGACTTGGTGTTCTTCTTGTCTGTGGAAGAGATTTTTTCTGAATTAATATTCTGTTCGGATGAAAGTTTAATTTGCCATTTACTGACAGACGCTTACATTGCTGGTAAAGTCGCTTGAACTGCTCTCGGTATTTCAGACATGTCTGCAAGTGTCCCAGAAACACACTTCCTTCAAGCAAGGACGCCACCAGGCGATGGACAGCTTCCACACAGCTGTGGACAACCTGTCCCGCCATATCGTCCACCTGGATTGATTTCCAAGACCCTTAGAAACAAAACGATGAGGTTACTGTAAAAAACATGTCAATGCAGAGCTTTGACAAAAAAAGAAAAAATTTTTTGTGCGATTCAAATAAATGTCCCACAGTTAGAGAGCAGGAAGTTCACAGCTGACTGAGGATCCAGCAGCTGGACCACCATGTTGTCTCTGAACCGGGCAGCAGACTCGACCACAACAGCAGACGTGACTGTAGGAGGAAGATCTTTCACATTCGCAGTCAGACTTCTCATCAAGTCTCCTTCTTTTCCTCTCTGTGAACAGAATGAATATGACTTAACTGCTGTTAAAGGTACAGAGTCTAACTTTTATAATAAATGTTGTTTTTTTTGCATATTTGTTACAAATGTCACTTTGTTGTGAGCTTTTCTTCCTCCCTCTGCTCCCAGTATGCAGAAATACACTTCTTGATCAAGAGCAACCAATCAGAGCCAGGAGGAGCATTTTAGTGCTGTCAATGACATTTGTGTACATAACGCTCACAGTCTCCCTGTTGCTCTCTGCTACATGACAGCTGGTTCACTACAAAGGTGCTTGCAGTGAGTGCTAAGGCTAGTTAACATGGCCAACGATGAAGCCATATGAATAGTTTTTCTGGAAGTTGTTTCTCCACCATTAGCTCACTTAGAAGCATGTACACGAGGTTGATTGACAGTGCTAAGACCCTCCTCCTGCCTCTGATTGGTCGTTTCTGACAAGGAGTGGTGCGTTTTTGCACATCATATAGTAGCTCAGGTTGATCTTTTCACAGATTATCTGTTTCATATCAGACTCTTAAGACACAGTGGCAGTTTTAACAAATATGTAAAAATAGTTACAGTGCGTAACTATTTAAAACCAAGTTACAGACTGTGGTTTTAAATAGTGTTGCATAAACAAACAGTCACTTTGTGCAGGGTAAATGTAAATGTCTAAAAGACCCAACAAACCGGACCTGTGGCCTGTTTCACTTTCTGGCTTCAGGTGGAAGTTGATGAATAATAAAACAGGAACAAACAGGTTTAAATTCAGTTTTTACCCAATGAAAGTTATTGAACTGAATAACTGGCTGTTCTCTAATTTAGTGGGAATGTGCAGTAAGCAAAAACTGTTAGGAAGTCTGAATACCCCTTATATCCTAATTGTACTGAAAATTATTTTTCTGTATTGTGTAACTTTTAAGACCACATTGTGATCTACTTTATAAAATATTTCTGTCATTTTTCAAGAAAAAACAAACATTTGCAGCTCCACAAACTGAGTAAATCACAACTGATCTCTATCCAGTTCCATACCTGACAGATAGTCTTGATGGCTGAGTGAAACATCTCGTTGAAACAGTTCTGGACAACATGGTGTCTTTTGCCCAAAGCAGCCACAGGTGAATCCAGGCAACAGATCAGCACTTTATCCTCGTCGCTGACCTACAAAGACATGTCTCAGGTGAGCAAATTGTTCTCATTTTAGATAGAAAAGAGTATTTCCCACTGTGGACATGTTTACCTCATTTATTCTCTTCTTCAGATCTTTCTGAAGCTGTGCCGCCCATTTTGAGGAAACGTCTTCAGAAAAATATTCAACCTTCAGCAGCGTGTCCCACAGCTGCTCAATCAGCACAGAAATGATGGTTCAGATAAATAAAAACAGGTTCAGTAATGTAAAAATGAGTTTACTCTAAACATTAAGTTGTATGAAAGCAGTTAAATATGACCTTGTATTTTCACCCATTACTTTTATTTTGTCTTTCACAGAAATAAACTATTTCTAAACTTTTTACTTTATTTATGTTATATTGGACTAACTGCTAGCTAATTTCCAGACCCAGTTTCTGGCTGTGGTTTTCCATTAAAAAAGAAATATATTAATTTTTTTAATGTGGAATGGATATTAGACAACAGAAAATACTGAAAATGTTTTGATTTAGTAAAGATTACATTTTCAAGTGTACAAAAGAAAAAATATTTGCCAAAATCAGGCCTTTGAAGTTGTCGGCGCGATATCTTGTAATTACTTTTAGTTGAGGTTATAAATGTCTGTCAGATTATTTCCCTGAGTTTTCTACATTTATTGATTTTCAGGCGTGTTTTTGAGAATAGGCTGAAGTTCCATTATTAATTTACCCAGAAAGCATGAGTATAAGAAAATAAGTATTTTGTTTTGTTCATTTTAAAAAGGAGCAGGTGCTTTACAAAATCTGATTGGAAACCAGTCAACTATATCTGATCAGTGCCAGTTTACAGTCTTTAGTATTCTGATTTCTAAATATTTAATTGTAACAAAATAATATATCAGTATTGCAATTTTTATCAGCTATATACCTCAATTTCCCTTGGATATGTGAGTGATTTTGCAGATACAAGTGGTTTCTCCAGCAGTTTGTCTCTCCACTGACTGATCCACTCCTGCACAGCAAACAACTTCTCCACAACTCTCTGCTCCGACGCCTCATTGCCTTTTTCAGACTAAACCAAACACAAAGGGAATTAATCACAGATAGAAGTTTAGGAGGAAATACAAGTAAAAGATGGATACCTCTCCTCTCAGCTTCATCTCGATTATCTCAGCCAGTTTCAGCACCAGCTGCAGGGACTGGACCACAGTTTGGTACCATGGAACAATCCTGGCAATCTCACATGTGCATTTCAACACACTGATGCTGCTCTCAAACGCTGACTGCAGGCTCCCAGATTTAGCCAGTCTAATTACAAAAACAAAAATAAATTTACACACAGTAATATAAAGCCTGAGGGTCTGATGAATATTCCTGTACCTGTCCTTTTGTTTATCTGCCTCCATGAGGATGTGGCTCAAAGATTTATCAGCCAGCTGCATGCAGACAAGATTATCAAGCAAATATTAGAAATATACAAGTTCACCATCATGGCTCTAATTCGATCTTTTCTTACTTTCACATTTACTTCACATTGTTTGAGAGCCATTTTCTCTCTACATGTTTGCAGCCGGTACAACAGGCTCTGGATCAGGTGTTCTGCTCCGACTCCAGTCAGGCGGGAAAATTCAGGAAGATCATCAAACGGGATCAGAGCCAACCAGCTCATCAAGAGCAGAGGCATCTCTGCTGCAGCTGCTGGTAAGTTTTTCTGGATCAATGAGAGTATTCTCCTGCAACAGAGCAAAATATGTCAAAAGAGATCAAAAGAAATACAGTTAACCTGGTCCGAAAAAAGGACTCACCCCCTTTTTTCAGTGTGGAACTGCACATTTTCTCTGAATCTGATAAAGTCGATGCCTTTGAGTCCTGACCAGTCGTGCTCTTCAACATTTGGACCCACTTTAGTTGCATCAGCTCCCGGCTGTATGAGCCTGAAGAGCAGAGGAGGGAGAAGGACGAGCTCTGCCACAGCCTCCCGGGCACAGAGGTTCATCAAACCTATCACCGTGCTGAAGGATAAAACGATTGGATAAACAATATTCGTTCACTAAGTAATAAAGCAAAAATAGCAACATTTACCATCTCTCCAAAACTGCACCTTTTTTTTAAACTACTTTCCAAAAGTTTAAATATTACAAAAACATAACCTACAACTGAGGAACTTCTAATGAAGTGCTCAGCTCCTCGAGGTTCTTTGTGTCCATCGCAGCCTCTGAGGTCACCAGCAGACACAACTCGGCCCAGCCTTTCACTCCAAGGTTGATGTTATTTGCGACCATGAAGACAGACAGACCCAGAACCAGAGGACTGGAGCGTCTGCATTTTTCTGGGAATTTCTCCTTTGACTCTTTTAAAATCTGCACCAAGGTCTCTGAAATCAGGTCTGATGCCTGCAGATACAAATGTTTGTTACTGATGAAATGTTAGAAGTACAAACTATAATATTTTATGCTTTATTAGCTTCTGGAGAGCTAACCTTGACTATAGGAGGTTTGGAATGGTCCTGGTATGAAATTCGACTGGGAGCTGTACTGAAACTCTGTATAAAATGCATCAACTGGTCACACAATGTCTTAGTGCTTTGTCTGTCTGATGGAGTCCATTTCTGGAAGATGTTATTCAGAAGAGTTGATGCTGAAGTCTGCCACACATTGGAAATTTCATCGCCTCTAGATTTCTTCCACCCAACAAACTGTAGGCCAGTTTTTAAAAAATTCTGTCCATCATCGCGGCAGATAAAGCCTTCATAAACGTGCAGTTCTAGGTAAACACACACAGATCTGTCATTAATTTACATGAGTCCACTAAAGCCAACATGAATGATTTATTTTGGCCACATCAAGTTTTGTGTTTACCTTTTATTGTTGGGTCCACTGGAATTTGTAAAGTCCTGTAAGCTGCTCCAATAAGTTCCTTTTTTCGCTGCTTAACACCGTACCAGTATGTCAGCCAAATACCTCTGTTCAATTTACTTTCTTCAACGGAGAGATGCGCTTCTACCACGTAGCCTTCCTGCTTCAAACCACTGAACATAAAACATTTGAGGTAGCATAATTATTACATTTCTGCAAGTACGTAGTTTGGAATAAAAATAATAATCTATCCTCAAATTATTTATCTTTGATTTGACCAAACGGTTTAAAAACAGTCAATTCAAAACACTTTATATTTTTATTTTCTTAAATCTACATAATGTATATTTTTCAAGTAAAAAAAAAACCAATTTGATTTCCTAAAGCACCACGACTTTTATCTGGTGGCTTTTAAATATGCAAAATGATTGGCAAGTGGTTTACAGGACAGTGAAACAAAGCTGAAATGGTTTGAAAGACTGGTCAGATAGGATGATAATAGAGTTATGTTTTCATGTGGTTCACCACAAGCATCGTACAGTATCTAAACTGTACCCTGCCGATATTGTGTAAATTGCAAGTTTGTGCAAAATTATTGCAGTGATATTGATTGCAAGGCAGCTAAGTGCTTCTTAAGAGAGTTGTTTTGCTTCCACTGACCCAAAATGGTCTACGCGATAGTTTATTTCCTGCTTTTGGTCTCTGGTCCTCTTGCATTCACATATGCATTCAAACTCCAGAGTTCACTTCAACCGAACCAAGAACTTGGTTTTTAGATGGACCAGAGTTTATTTTTTTGGTCTGCATTGGAGTTTGATTGCGCATTCACACCTCCTCAAAAAAAACGTACCTTCTACACAAACAATCTGGAGTTTGATTAAAGTGTACTAAACAAAGCTGATGTTAATGCACCGTCAAGCTGAGAGGTTTATGTAAATTTTTTTGTTTTGGCAAACTTTGCCATTTTGGTAAAAACAAGCGTAAAAAGCTAAAAAGATTATAAGATGCAGATTAGTATTTTAAAAATGGAAAAAAACAATAATCTTTAATCTGTTGTAAATGTTGCTGTTCATTAATAATAGATCAAAGTCAAAGGTATGAAGTAAGTGGGTCTGAGCATCACTGAGAATAATACTCACACAAAATGTGTTATTTTAAAGGACAGAGATTCTCCTTCTTCAAAACACATTTGGAGTGTGTCGTGTTCTTGGTTGAATCTGAACTTCTTGTCCAGAACAGTGTAGATGTGCAGTGTGAATATGGGAACTCCAGGAAGAGGCCTGACTGGGCTCCTATCTCTGTGAAGAAAAAAATAGTGAATTTTTATTTTTTAGGCTCAGCATCAAAGATGAACAAAGCTGCCGAATTCAGACACACCTTGTGCTTAGAGGTTGTTCAGCGGCTTTTTTTGAAGCTGTCAAACTGGACTGTTTCTCTCCTCCTTCCCCACCAGAGACTGCTGTGGCGTATGACTTTGGTTGGCAGTCTTTATCAGACTGAGATGTTGCTGCTTCAGCAGAAGATTTCCCAGGCTGATCGTTCTCATTTTTAGCCATTGACTCTGTTGTGCTGCCTTTGACTGGATCGTCTTTTGGCCCCGGAGTAGTGCTGCTTTGCTGCAGCTCGGGTTCAGTCTCTGCAGGAACAGCAGTGGCTGGTTGAATCTCTTTACGCTGCATGTCATCTTGTTTTGGATCAAGGAAGTCTGTCTGTGTTTCCTGGCTCTTCTGAGACACAACTGCAGTCTGTGTGAATTTATTTATACCTTTATGCTTCTTTGTTTGTGTCTGAGCTTCCACCTTCTGTTCATCTTTCTGGAATTTTTCAGCATTTTCTTCTTTTTGCAAGTTTTGTCCAGCCTGGAGAGACTGTTCTTTGACAAACAAGCCTTCCTCAGTTTGGGTACTTGTGGTCTCAACAACCTCATTCTTATCTTTTTCTGTGCTTTCACTTTTCACATCTGAGATGCTCTTTGTTCTCCCCTGGGATTTTTCAACATTTTCTTCTTTTGGCAGGCTTTCCCCGGCCTGGAGAGACTGTTCTTTCACAGCCAAGCCTTCCTCGGTTTGGCTACTCGTGGTCTCAACAACCTCATTCTCATCTTTTTCTGCAATTTCACATTTTAAATTTGAGACTGTCTTTTTACTTCTCCCATGTCTTCTTTGTCTTCTTTTCTTTTTCTGAATGTTCTTGGTGGGATTTACAGATTCGTGCTGCTGAAATATACATATAAATGGTTTAAAATAGTTCTTATATGTAGAAAAATAACGGAATAAAAACATATTACATCTGCAGTTCTACCTCAGTTCTCCTTCGGGGTCTTTTGGTTGCAACATCGTCATTTTTCCTGGATTTCTCCTCTGATTCAGTGGTACTGTGGAAGTTTGCTCCCCCGTCCGCCATCTGTGGGGACAACTTTCCACGGACAACCTCTTACTCTGATCTCTACAGCACAGCAAAAGTACAATGTCTGCATCCACTCAGTATGAAAATGACATTATTTTGGTCCTTTAATAATGCATTTGAACCATACTTTTCCAGACTCTTTTAAATATGACTTCAACATGCAGCTACACACACTGACCAGAAAATCTGGAGAAAATCTGGTCTGACTAATTGGACAATGTTTGACTTGAGGACACTTTTAAACCTAATCAAGCCTGATTTATGCTGGAAGCTTTTGATGCCTAATAATAATATGCAGTTTCTCAGCAACTTACTTTAAGACATTTAACCAATCTGTGATGGCATGATATGCACATATTTGAGCCTGAAATTATAACCCTACAGTCTGTAATAATAAATTCAAACGTAATTATTGTTTCTGTTGACTTTACTGCAGTATGAAAACTAGATTTATTACTTCACTAAAAGGTCAGAAAAGTTAATGACAGATGTTGTGTGCATGTAGGGTGAACTTTGATACTGAATGAACTGTAATAAAATGAGATCATTTGGTTTTTAGGTTCATGATTTAATTAATTCAAAGTCTTTGACAAACTCCATCACAGCTCTAAATGGATAATGTTTAAGACTCATTTTCCACCTATAATTAATAATAACCTGCTTTACTTGAATAAAAAAAAATAGAAAATGACACATACTCATAATGTTACAGCCATATAACGAGTATTGAACCGTTTTAAAACTACAAAAGCTCCAGACTTTTAAGTTTTGTTGTTTAAGCTAGCTAAATGCTAGTGATGACTTTTAGAGTTAAACACAAACTGATTGAGGATGTTTATCATCTATGCCGTCTGTCGTTCATCAGTAAAACTACCAAATCTGAGACTGAATAGAATCTAAATCAGATTTAAAGTCATATTTTGCTTACCTGTGCGTCTGTCAGCCGCAGGTCGAGTGTAAACAGAAATGCTCTTGTGATCGTTTATTACACTCTAACATCAAGGGAAGGGACGGTCCGCAAATGTGTCGTCTGTCCTACAAACGGGTTATTTTATCTACCCGTCACTTAATAAGGTTACTTAAGATAAACTAGTTTAATATAAAAACACTTGTGCGCAATAACTAATACGAGTATATAGATAAATTGGGCGATAACGCATAGCTTTACGTGACTTTCTGTTGTTGTTTATTGCGTAATTTTCTGACAGTCCCTAGAGCACTTGAAAGTCTCTTCAGTTTCGTTTCTGCTTTGGTCTCATCGAAGAAGAAACTTACGCTGCGTTTGGAAGTTTCGACTTTGATTTTCGCAAAAATAATTGATAAATTACCGGCTATCTTGCTTTGCGGCATGGTCTATCAGCTCTATGTTTTAAAACATAAAGCTGATAGACAATGTGTTTGTATTCGAGTCGAATACAAACACAATTCAGAAAATTCTTAAAGAAAAACATCAGAAACTGAAATATTTATTGACAAAAACAGACGTCTAGGAATAATCGGTTCACAAGTTCTTAAAAGCAAATTTTATTGTTTAATTTTTCCAAATTAAACAATAAAAAAATAAATTAAAAACACAGAAAAAAGATATATGCCTTTATTCATATAGTATTTTTTAAAAGAAATACATTTTTAATGACTCAAAGATAAAGAAAACTAGAGGAAAGTATAATATATTCCTCGAATTAGGGAAACATAATCTAAGTAAATAATGTACTCAAAAAATTATATAAATCAACATAAATCCATAGTATTAAAGTTTTCAATCTTATATCCAAGTAGAATTTGACAATTCACATAACTCTAAATTTAAATGTATGTTGCATTTTTGACATCCTATAAAATCATACAAGGTCACAAATTTTAAATAGTCTAATAAAACAGAAGTGATTATTTAAATCTGTTTGTGAAATGTAATTTTCAAAATTACATTTCCAGTAAGGAGGAAATTATAACACAACGTAATTTATCCCCCTAACTTGTGAAAAATGTCAAATGATCGGAAAGTGACTGTAAAAGAAATCCCTCCTCTCAAAGAAAAGCACAAAAACCTGAATGAAGTTTGCCAGACCAAAATTGGCCAGGAGGATGTAAAATTTAATTTTTGGGACACCGGAACAGACGCCACGTCTGATGTACTCTAATTACAGCATTTAGAAAAATAACCTCATACCAGCTGTGAAGCAGGCAGAGGTGTCATGGTTAGGAGACGTTTCTCTGCAGAACATGACCAACTCACCATCATAGGATCCTTAATAAATTCTGCCACGAATCAGTGGTCGCTTGAAGATAATATGAGAGGAAAGAACAAATTAAAACAGATGGATGACTTGAAACTCTTCATCATCTCTGAGCTGCTGATGAGGAGTGGGGTAAACTGTCCTCAGACCTCAATAAAAAAGGTTATTTCACTCAAAGGTAGTAAGACTAGGGTGAAGAAAACCCTTTTGTTGACTTGTTAAAGAAGAAAAGCAATATTAATCTTTGCAGTTAACCTGTAATAAAATCAAATAAAAATAAAATTACAGATCAATCTGTAAATATTCGTTTATAAAGAACAGAATAATTGATAAAACATTTACTCACAGCTACAAAGACTCTAAGAAATCTCAATGATTGTGGAAATAGTTTCTCATAGGTAAACTACAGCTCCAAAGTGAACATTTTGATGTCATCATTGCTGTGAGCCAACAGGTTTCTGGATTCGCCGAACTACGACCCTGCTCCTTCTCCCAGCAGGTCGGCTTGCTCCTTTCGCTGCACCCTCCTCTCTTGTCCACCATCTGGGTGTTTGCGGATCTTTACTTTGTGCTGCAGGTTTCCTTCCAGACCGAGCATCGTCCACGAAAGACTCGACGTCTCCAAACCTGGCAGTGAGCTCGACGAGACGCTCCTTCAGGGCGTTGAACTCTTTGTAGAGATCTCCAAGAGCTTCTGACAGCGGCTGAATCCTGCAGGAATGCAAACAGATTTATCCCCTTAGACACAATTAAAGTAAAATCTACCACCGCTTAGAGATTACAAACAAATGAACAGACCAGTAAAATATAGAAAGCTATAAAATATTTGGCAGATTTTCCCACGTATAGCTGCTGCCAAACAACATCACAACCCAAAAAGAGTGGATCTCTACATTTGAACTCTGGTAATGGGTGAATGTTATCATTTAAAGAGGGAACAGCTCCCAGTTGATTTTCTTAGAAGTCTGGGACTTTACTTTGGATTTCAGCTTTTTTGTGGAGAAGAAAATAGGATGTGCTAAATGTTAGACCTAATAAAAGAAAAATCTATTTATAGTAGATGAAGAGTTTGTGAAATCATCCAACAAAAAACTGCAGAGACTAAAAGATGTAGGATCCCATCGCAGATCATCAGCTATGTGTGGAAACTAAATTCTGCTTTCTATCCATCAAATTGTCATTTTAGAGAGATTCAACTTATGAGGCAAGTGGGTAAGACAATTATTGTGATAGCTTGATATTCATTTTAAAAATTCATACTTAAATTACGTATCAGTTTGGTAGGTAACAAATAAGGTACATGATTAAAAAATGTTTTGAAAAGCAACTTATAGCCACTCAGAAAGCCTGGAGAACTTTGGATCAAGCCTGGAGCTTCCTGACCTTCCGTAGTCGGGCAGTACAGTGTTGTGGTCATGCAGCAGCAGATCTTTGACCTGCGTCATGATGGCGTATTTCCAGTTGTCTAGAACCAGCGTGAGGTTTGCGCATCCTTTGCTGTTCATCTTCTCAGCTGCAGGTCAGCAAATCAATTAGACAAATTTTATTGAATTGTTTGTGTTAGTCTCAGAAATAAAACTCAAATAGCAGAAATGCTCTGAATGTTTTTAAAGATTTTCTTGTCTTTTAGACTTGCTTGTTTTCTTTCTTTCTTTTCTTTTTTCACAAATTCCAGGTAGAGTAGCAGCAGTTTTATACATTATTCAAAAACTCTGAAATAAAGTTAAACTTGTCTACAAAAACATGTTTTACCTATTAAGCAAATATAGTTTTACATCATAAATAAGTCACAGAAAACTGTCTTAAATTTATCTGAAGATAAAATGTTTACAACTTACAATAGATTCTCCCAAAATGCACTTAAAAACTATTTGCATAATAATAATAAAATGATCAAATGTCACAAGCCATAGATGTCATACAAATGGAGCAGAGACAGAGTTGCATTCACCGTCCAGCGCTGGGGCCAAACTGAGCAAAGCTTGTGGATGGAATCAAGTGAGGCAATGATTGTAGTGCAAGTTTAGCTTTTCATTCTTTCAATCTGTACCTAATCAGTTTCAGTCAGTTTATGTGCGACTGTTGGCAGACTCACATAAACATAAGGTAAGCTGCAGCATGTAAGCAGTTAAAAGGGGCTAATAGAGACAGAGGAAAAGATAAAACCTACCACAATATACTACAAAGACCAGTCAAATAAAAACTAAAATAACAACAACCAACTCATGCTGTCAGAAACCTACTAACAGAAACTCGCTCCTTAATTCCATAACTTAGTAGAAGTTCAGACCGAGATGAGAAAAAAGATTTAAGGCATCACAGTAAAGACAGAAATATTCATCCCACTGACAAATTAAATTTTTTTTTCCTTCAGCCAAGTAAATTTTTAAGATGAATGAGACAGAAGTCTCTTAAAAACAAAACAAAAAGAATATCAGATTTTTTAAAAATGTGGTTTTGTGGGCATTACAGCAATAAAACTTGTTTACCAGCTTATTGCATGTTTCATTTATATTTCAATGATTTATCTTTGCCTTCACCCTAACGTATCCCCATCCATTGATTCATTTTCAGATTCAAGTTGCCACTCTAAAACATTACTTCAAACTGTAATCTGTCAGGGTTATTAACAATTGCAGGCTCAAGCATATTAGACAACAGTCCATATAATTACCAACGACATCTAAATGTTTAAAACCAATCATAAATATTTGACAAATAGGAATTAATCTGTAAAACTATGCAAGTGTGTTTCTTTTCTGTCATCAGATGTGTTATCAGATTTTACAGTTAAACACCAGTAATTAAAGTTTTTTTTTTAGTTTTTTTTTTTGTTATGGACTTGCCTTCATCGCCGTGATCCAGTCCTGGTTTCTGTTTCTGAGCGACTGCCAGAGTCACGGACAAGACGAGCAAAACTCCAGCCGACTTCATTCCTGTTTGAAACAAAACCTCCTTTAATTTCTGATCATAAAAGTATCAGCCTGGAGATTAAAGTCAGTGTAGAAACTCACTGGAACAATGCCGTGGTCATAAAGAAAACACCTGTTTTAAATCTGGCACACAGGGAGGACCTTCAGTCTCCTCCCCTCCATCAGAACCACAGAGCTTCATGTGGGGGTTTCTGATGGAAGCGTTTGAAGTTTCAGGTCAACATTCCTGTTCTTCATCTGCTGCACATCTGCAGATCAATTCTAATGAATATTCTGAGAGTTAAACGCATCAAACTGATCCTCTGTCCCATTTCGTCTGAGAATTTAGCATCAGACGTTTGACTCATTAGAAAGCAAACAGATTATACTTAATAGATGTTGACTTTTAGAGAACTTGACTCTCAGGCAGTGATTTACTGCTGTAACGGTTCTGCTTTAAAGCTTTTCTTGAATGAATTCCTGGCTGCAGGAATTTGCTCCCATTCAGACAAAACAGCAAAATGACGACAGCAGACGATGAACGATGAGGTCTGGAGCCAATGTTTCATTCAGAATCAGTCCAGTTGAAGCTGGACGAAACACGCTCAGTGATTCATTGATGTTTTTATAAACTGGCCGTTAAATCACTAAGAAACTCACTGGCAAAAAAAGTTATGGAATTGAGGAGAAAACTACATATATTCTGATGATACGTATTAAGAGTATTCAATTTCCTTTCACATTTTGCATTTTATCATGTAACATCCAACTTCAGCATTTAGTTTTTTTACTTTATATGCAGGAACAAACACAAAGTAGGGAATCACTGTAGTTACCTACCACCCCAACTACTGGGCTTAGCAAGTTTCCTGAGGGAAACCTTGAGTACCATACAGAAACATAAACCAACTATAAATGTACTCAGATTTCATCAACAGAAACCTCTTTAAAACTGCTATTTTCCCAGTTGTATATGTTTGTGTTAAAATAAATAAATTATGATCATTTGAGACTCATTTAAACAGATTTGCTTTTACATTTTTGTTCTTCCTCAACAAGCATGAATAAAAAAAAAACATGAACCACACTTCTGATTGTGTACTTTGTTTCTTTTATTGTTTTGCTTCAAATCCAAGTCAACAGCATACAACTTTCAGGGTCCTCGGTCAGCTCAGTGGAAAGTGAGGACGGGCTGCAGCTCCAAGAGCTTGCTTGCTCAGCAAACAGCCCCCAGATTAATACAAAAGGAAAAAGGTCAAAGCCGCCTTAGTGTGACATCAGAGCAATCACACCAAATTAAATCCACACGAGGGGGCAAAAGGAGCAAAAAGCATCAAACTAATCTAAAACTATAAGTATCCTCTTAATTGATGAGGGCAAGTTTACAGATAAGCCCACATCTGATAAATTAGTAAACATGAGCCGCTCGGGACTCGCCCTCTGGGCTAGAGAGAGGTTCACTGAAAACATTCCCAGTTTGGATCTTTACTGGAGTGACGCAGCACACATTCATGAACGAAAATCAAACCAACCTGAAAATCGTTGAGAAAAAAGGGACTGAGTGAGATTCTGGATGCTTCTGCTAGTTTAGCACTGCTGTGATCTGATTGTTTGTCGGAAAATAATCCATCTAATCTTCTCTTTGTTATTTTACAGAGGCACTTTTTAACTCCACACATATTGTTTACCCTTTAAATGGCTTTAAAAGAACAGATGGACACCAAAATGTTGAAGTTGAGCTCAATGTGAGCCTGAAACGCTCAAGAGCACCTGTGGCCAACTTTAAAAAAAAAAAAATCATCTCACTCATATTGGTCCCAAAGTTGTTAAGTCTGTAGGAAAAAGAAACAAATTTCAATCGACGCAAATGCCCAAACTGAATATGTTAAAAAAAGTTAGCTATGATATTTTTAAAAGAGAATTAGTCTGTCTGCTGAATTTACTTTTAATCTGATACAGCAAAAACACAAAATCTTACCAAGTATTTCTGGTTCATTTTCTCGTGCAAATATCTCAGTAAACTTAAAATAAAACTAACTTACAAGTAACTTTTCAGCACAATATCAGAGATTGTCTTAAATAAATAATGTTTTAATATTTATAAAAAAGTACTGTTATATGACGGTGGACCAAGACTTTTTGACTTATGGAAAAAATGTCTTATTTCACTTATAACTAGCACTTTTTAATCAACATTAAGGAATTATTGACTGGACACAAGCTCATATTTCTTGCTGAGAAGTTACTTATGTTTTATGTTATTTCAAGTGTACTAAATGTTTGCACTAGGAACTATATCAAAAATACTTAAATCAGATTTTGTGTTTTTGCAGCGTTTAATTTGTTGCACTTCCTCAATCAAGATAATATGTCTGAGCAGAAGAAGAAAACATAGATTGAATAAATCCACCATTTAAACATTTGCTTAACCTGGTAGAGGTTAAACTGTCAGTTCAGAAAAACGTTTAGGTTTTCTTTAGACAAGCATTCTTCGATAGCTCTGACGTATAACTGATTGAGAGGCCTTTTGGTGCCATTTAATGTTTTAATTTTATGGTTTGATTTCCCCAAAGTCTGCTGAAGGTCTATTATTGGAAGTAGAGTTGGTAGCTTTGAAACGCCAGTGTTTCTTGACCATCACAATCCATCTTGGAAATTTACACCCGAGACAATAGTTTCAGGTCTTTCCTCCTGTGGAGGAAAGTCTTTGAAGTCTCTGTGATGGTTAGAGCATAAAAACAAAGAAGAAGAGGAGGCGGCTCTACTAGGAAGGTGAGCACCAGTTGTTTCTAGAGCACCCCATAGCAAATGGAAATGAAATTAGAAAGTGTCCCGGGATGTTTTTATCAGAACAACCGATTAAATAAGCTACATGTTCTGCTGCTCAAGTTCAAAACCAATACATTTAAAATGAACCGGATCTGCTTTCTGCAATCATTGGAGGCTGCTTCTTAAAACTGGGGACTAAATTTAACACAAAAATATAAAACTCAGAGCTATAAACTCAGCAGCTCATGGCCTGATGAGGTCGAAGCTTTGAGGAGTGATTGTACTGTAAAGGGCTTTCCAGAGACCAAGAGCTGTAAAAGTGTCCGATCAGAAGAATCAAAGTTTAAGTTACACGCTATAATCTGGTAATAAAAAAAAGAAACTCAATTAAATAACAGCATCATCCATCAAAGGTATTTATACACAGCAAGATTTTCCAGAAGTCACTGTGAGAGCAAAAAGAGAGAGAGAGAGAGAGGGGCGGGGGGGGCACTGATGTGAAAAAAGATCTGAAAGTTGGGCTCTTTGCTGTCCTCCTGCATCACAGCAGGTTTTATTTGAGTTATTAGGGGAAATATTTAACAGTTTAGGCCCAAAACAGATAAAAGCTGCTGAAAAGAGGGATAATAAACAAGATTAAATCATGTCTGGTTCAATTTTTCTTTTTATCAGACTTGTGGATGTAAACAAACGCATCCTTCTGCGCCTTCAGCAACAAGGGGAAGACCAAGGCGTCACTGGGAGTTGGACAAAATAACGAAAGAGAGGGTCTGAATCTTGCAACTGGATCTGGTGAAGTTAGGACTCTCAGGGTGGACGTTCTTAACTGCGGGGCAGGCTGCAGATTTCACAGTGCTCTGTGCCGGGCTGGTTCATGAAGGTGCAGTGGAGGCAGGACCACATGGCTGAGGAGGACACCGGCGCCGTGGGGCCGCCCATGGCTTCGTAACCCAGAGAGCTGGATGGCTGCCCGCCCACCGTGCCTGAGGAGGGCAGGAACAGGTTACCATGATGATGCCATGACGCAGAGCGGGCAGGGCACTGATGAGTAAGCGCCAATTACATTTTATGCCAGGAAAATTATGGTTTATAAAAATATGCTAAGTACAAAGTTAATTACTCAGCAACTATCTAAACTGTAATAATATTGTAGCATTTACAGGGTTTGCACACTTTTCTCAACGTAAAATCCAAGCACTTTCAAGGTAAGTTTTCAAACTTTTCCAGCACCACACTTTAGAAATAAAATAGAAATTAACTAAAAAAAATAGACAGTTTCAATTCACTATTATGTGATATAATTTATCACTTTTACTAGTCTTGTGTCTACATCCTACAGCGGGGACAAGGTAAGATTAAAATATAGTAAAATTTTATGTTTTAAAACGTTTCTCTGCCTGGTTAAAGATCAAAACAAACTTAATCAAAAATCCCCTAATTTCAATAATGTTACTTGATGCATAAAATATAAGAAAACCTTTTATGTCATTGAGCAATTGGGAATTAAATGCTTAAACTCAATATGGAAAGAAAGTCACAAACAAAAATAATCAAAAAAAAAAGAAAAGTACATTTTCTAGAATTTATAAAAATATAAATAATTTTGATAATGGTTACTGAAATAAAACAGGACAAGTTTAGTCTGATTTAACTTCAGACACCGAGACAAAAATGTGTCTGTCTTTTCATTAGGCGTATGTAAAGATTTGGTTTTCACTATAAATAACGTTCACCAAATTTATAGGCTAGTTTTAGTGAAACTATAGATTACACTTTATGACAAAAATGTACAGTTTGAATACCAAGCACTTTCAAGGACTTTATACAGAAACCAGGCACTTTCCAAACCTTGAAAACAGTTAATTGAAACTCAAAACATTTTTAAGCGATTTCAAGCCATATGAATAGTGAATTTAACATTAAAAAGGAATGAGTACAAGAGAAAAGAAGCATATTTAGTAAAGGCTGATTCAACTTACTGCAAAGCTGCTCTATGGTGGCCCATTGCTCAGACTTCTTCCAGGTCTGTGCCAGCTCCTCATTGGACGTCTTCACTGCTTCCAGAAGAAGGCCAATACTGTCCTGCAATAAAAATAAAAAACTCATCGTCAGTGATTCAGAACACCAGGCGAAAAAAACTGAGTTTTATGCTCTTCTCTTTGAGTTTCCAGCAGGACATGCAACTGTGATAAAACATTTAACTGCATATTTTCCTAAAGTTTTTCCAAATTATCCTAAAGATGCAAATGGAGTTAATTCCAGATGCCAGAAAAATCTGGCTTCAACTCCACATCACAAAATAAAAACAGCTGGAAAACGGGAGGAGTGATTGGGCGTTGGAGCATCGACTCACCCTCAGAGGCATGACTTCGTTGGTGACGAGGAAGAGGAGCAGATGAAAGTCTGACACGATGTCCAGGAATGACGCGGAGGAGCACTGGGACAGGTACGTGGCTAAACTGTGGAAATCCTGCAAGCGAACATTCAAATTCACTAAGAAGTTTCCTTCTCGGTTTTTTTCCCTTTCATGAGATGAAGTCACCAGACATTAGAAGTGGTTGAGAAAGCAGAAAGCACTCACTTGTGTCTCTCCAAGGATGTCACGGTTTTCAATTGGGAAGCGTTGTGTGGAGGTGAAGGTGTACTGAGGGTCCTTTGGGAAAGTTGTGGTTATCTAAAGAGAATACATTTATTTAAATCATGTTAAAGACTTGCAGTAATATACATAAAACAATAACACAAACACAAAGTGAGAAACAGAAAAGTGTCAAACTCACATCTATGATAAGGTACTCCACAGGAAGAGGTCGCGCTAGAAACGTGACATCGTTCCCAAATTTATCTTTGTCCTGTTGTGTAAAAATAAACAAGAAAAAAGATAAACGGAAATAAATTTACCATCTGAAATAAAACAAATCCTACCAAGTCTTCTGCAGTGGTTTGCTTGGCACCGATTGATGAATCTCACCTTGTAGAAGACGTCTGGTACGTACTGCTCAGGGCTGGACTCCTTGGCGTAGCCGAGCTCAGGAGCGTCTTTGCAGGGCAGCAGACACTCGTCTCTCACAAGAGCCATGCACTGATTGGACACCTGGTAACCTTCAAAGTGGACCTGATTATCTGGACCACCTGCACAAAGAACATGCTTATAAAGACAGGTCTACATTTTCAGAAATGCTACCAAACATTTGTAATTCTCCCTTTTCAAAACCAAGAGATTAAAATTTCCTCAAAGCCAATTTCATACAACAATTTTCTTAATATAACCAAAAATACCAGACCAAAGCCAGCATGTTGCAAAAAGGTTATTCACTCCTCTGTCTAAAAGCTTATTAGCTGTAACTTAGTAAAAAAAAATGTTTTGGATACAGAAAGTGAAGAAAATGTATACACATTGTATCACTGGACACAAAATCTAGGTGATTAGCACGAAGCAGGTTTGTTCCCAGTGGTTCATTCAAACAGATGACAGATGAGTTCACTGCTGGCTCTGGACTAACTTTATTCTACATGTTTTGAGTTAATTCTTTATTCATGATCAAAACACTGTAGTTCAAAGCTATTGAAGGTTGATTTCCACTGGCAAAGTAATTTGTCATTTTAAATTATGCTCTTTTCTAGACGTTTATTACTACTTTAACTTTCTGTGAACAACCAATCGTTAGCTTAGGAAAAGTTCGGTTAAGCAAGTTTATAAAGCAAAACAGAGTGAGACTAAAATGTGTTAAATATGTGAAACAATCAGAACCAACTTTCAGCTTTTATCAGCATAAAGAAGTAGCTAAAAGAGACCAAATGGAAAATGTTGCAGAGGGAGAAGTGAGTCCAAAAGATGACAAAATTACTCAACAGAAGGCTAGAGATGTTTATAAAAAATTTTTAATTGATCTGATCTGCTTATTGAGTCATATCTGACAAGAACAGTGAGAAACTGGGATGAGTCATTTACATTTACAGCATTTTTATAATAGTAAATGGTGAAATCATATTGTGTAAAATGATAAATAATAATCTCTCTCTGACTGACCGAGCGTCAACGTTTCTATAACCTGTAATTAATTAGTAGTAATCCACATATTCACATTTTTTTGTCATACTTAAATGACACAAAGTTGAAAAAATGGTATGATTTATATATTATTCACCACTATTTAAAGGAAAAGTTAAGACGATGAATAAAAATAACCTAACCTGTAGCAACAACGGTCACAAACTTGGATCCAAAGTACCCGTCTCGAGACAGCCTGCAGGGGTTTGAGTGTTGGTTCTGGAAATATCCGGACGTGATGCATTCCTCAGCACTCAGGTAAAAAGAGTCCTGTCGGATGTATGAGAACATTTTGATCAAACAGGAGCACAGCAGCATCAGTCAGACCACCTTTAACTTGGGCCCATTCTCACCTGGTTTCTCGTGTAGCGGACAGTTCCTATCCTTGTGTCCTCAGACAACAGATCAGTGAAAATCCAGCCCACCTACGAAACACAGAGGAGAAACTATAACATTACCTTTGTTTTGGTAAACTAAACTAACAAAAGACATTCAAGTATGAAAATAATCACATTTCTGTTGCATTTTCCAAGTTTGAGCAATATGTTAACAAAGCATTCTCATTGTGCAGATTGACAAACATGAAAAACTGACTCAAGTTACTGACGCAGACAAAAACCATCCACAGCTTCAGTCTACTGAGCTGCATAACAATCCCTCATCCTCAGTGCATAAAGTTAAATCACATTGTGTGCAGGAACTCTGAAATACAAAGGAGATAAACGTTGCAACTGCAGCTTCCCAACACATCAGTCAGGTTTACTGTTTGGAGGAATAAGAATGTGATTCAGCAGGTTTAACTCTTCACTGTTTGAGACATCTTAACCCATTTAGAGAGAGCATAAATCTGCCTTGAGCTCTGAGAGCAACACTTTCAGACACAGACCTGCTGCAGAAAAAACAGACCCACCTTGCAGAGCCCCAGTTTGGCAGCAATTTCATCTACAGCTGCAGCTTTGGGATCCTCCAACAGTTCCAAACTGTTCTGGGTCGCACTCTGAAACAAAACGAAAGCAAAGTTAAACCTACTGAACGGCAAATTAATATAATAGGTTAGATTTATTGGGTGAGACTTTCACCTGCGGGGGCTCATAGATGGCCGCCACCTCGGCTCTGATGCCCAGCGGGATGTCTGTGTGCTCGGTGTACCGGCCGTATAGGTAGCCCATCCTCTGACTGCCTGTTTTCCTCCAGAAGTCCAGGAATCGGTCGGCGATGGTGTGGTTCTCAAACATGATGTTGTCTACATGTCTGTATTTCTGGAAGATACATTCAGAGAAGACAGAATTGCTTTAAGGGTTGCATGTGCAATGTTGTCTGCCTAACATTATTTTAAAGCCTCTCAAAGGTTGGATCTAGTTTTATAATCTGTGAAGTGATGCCATCTTTATACACCCCTCACAGCATTGTGTATCTGCACTGCATTCACTGGGCATAGGAAGATGTTCTCCAGTATCAGCTTTGTATTTGCCAAACGCTATCATACAAAATCTGATCTTCAGTTACATTTCTCTTTTATTTATTGTTTTTTGTTGTTGTTTTTTACATTAAAATACCTTCCAGTTCCAGTGCGAAGGGCTCTGTACAAAATCAAAAAATTATTAGTCTTTAACAAAGCAAACTTTCAATAGAGCAGGCCATCATCTATGTACTACTTGAAAATGATTTAAATGGTTTCAAAACAACATTATAATTTACTGAAACAACTTCTGGGACAATTTATCATCCAGTCCAATTTGTTACTGACAGATTTTACTAGATTACTCATTATTTCTTATGTGTTACTGCTGTTACTGTATTTAATGCATTATTTGCAAACATTTAGATTTAATAAACTTTTAAGATTATTAAGATCTGATCAAGACATCCAGTGATGTTCCATAAAAATGCACAGAGGATTCTTTTTGGCACTGGGTGGGGTGGCGCACCTGTCTGTTCAGAGTGATGGCACTGGGCTGGCACTTGGTGCAGATCCCCTCAGGCCAGGGAGGATGACCCTCACATCCTGACTTTATCTTACAGCTGATGTTCTCCAAAGCTGCAAACTTCCCTCTGTGGGAGATCAGGACAGAGTTGTTCTCTCAAGTGGAGATCATGAACATTTTTTCTGGTAAAATGTAAAAAAAAAAAAAACTTCTCACTTGTCAGCTCCACCGGTCAGCTTGCGAAGGTACGCGTGGAATGACATGTGCTTCACCGGTGGGTCGAGGTGGTTCAGATAGTCTTCGTCAAAAGGCTGGAAAGACCGCATCCTTCAGGGTTAGTCATGTTTACGTTTGATCCCATCAGTTTCAGGAAACTGGTATAAAATTAAATTACCTCTAGCGGTACACAGTGCACACATTTTCCAAGGGCACCGTGACGACATCTGGAAGAAGAGTTAAAATTTATGAAGTTTCCCCATTTCTGCTTTTGGTTTAAATGTTTGCAGCTGGTCGGCTTTCCGTCTTACAGCTGTGGGTCTCTGTTCCTGTAGATCTTGCCGTCTTGTTTGGCCAGATACTGATCGATCTGGTCCTCCTGTACCTGTGGTGCCGAGGAGGACCGAGGGATCAATGAGGACGAAGACGAGGATGAAGAAGAGGACGAGATGGACGGCAGGGATGAAGATGTGTGTGGCGTCGCCGTGTCCATTACCTCCCCTGAAGAAGAAGAGGTTGCAGAGGGGAACAGAAACAACATGTCCCCATGCCTGTAGTGAAAAAAGGGATTAAATAACATTGAAAGTGGGAAAGAATAATAAAAAGAACAGTAACATTTTAAAACATTTTCCGCAACATTCATAAATGTAATTTCATAATAAACAGTGGGTTCCTGTACTTTTTTACTAATGTAAAAATGTAATAAAAATATAAACTCTACAAAGCTTTTTAAAAAGGAAACTAACCTCAATGTGTCAAATTAATGCTCATAAAATAGCCAGACCATGGTTTTATTACTACATTTTACATTTTTAGCTTTCTATTTTTTGAAACCAAATGTATTTCTTCTGAATTGCCTGTAAAACAATTCAGAAGAAAAATAACCGTCAAATTTGTTAATGGTGGCATTTTAGAGGAGAAATCTTTCAATAACTTGAGCTGAACTGAGAGACGCAAACTCTCTCAATCTTCAGTTTCCTTGAACTTACTTGATCTTTAGCAGGTTGAGGGATTTGTTCTGGGACAGAACTTCTCCGGTCTTGTTGCGGTTTATATAAACAGAGAACCCGTTGGAATTGAACCCAAACTCTTTGGCCACCTGTGGGAGACGATAGCTGGTTTTAAATACTTATAAAATGTTCACATTTTTGAAGACCCACCTTCTAAAATGCAGGTATCAAACTCATTTTCATTTTCGCCACATTAAGATCATGAATGACTCAAAGGGCCAGTTGTATTGATAAACCTACCTATTAATACGTTAAAATATTAATAAATAACCATTCCTCAATTTGATGAGCACTTCTTAAAGTTAGAAAATATCTTTTCACACTGATGTTATTTGGCAGAATGCGGATGAAAACAGCTTTGATTTCACTAATGGTAAAACAATATTTAAAACCTAACTGTTATCTTCAGGTTTCTACTGATGCAGGCTTCTGGAGCAAGAGTTCTGGAAACTAAGAATCCCAAGCCACAGGTATCTCTCTGAACCTAACACAACGGCTCTCAATACTTTTATACACCTTGTAATAATACAGGATCATGCAGCTGAAATAACAAGGTTTTTCCTTCTTTGTCATGCAACAATTGCATTGAATTGAACGTTTATTACATTGAGTTTTTGTTTTTTAGGAGGGTTTTTTTTCCACAACATCTTCCACAAATACCAAGATCTCACAGAAAAAGATTTGCTCAACCTTTTTTTTAACATTTTTGTTTAATTTAAAACCCCAAAACAGAAATAGAACAATTTCTTTAAAAAATGACAACAAAATTAAATATTCATCTATATCTTTTTTTCCAAAAGGTCACCCAACATTTTCTGGACAACCTTGCTGCAGACTCTTGCTCAGAGTGTAGAGGGCCACATGAAAACTTATGGTGTGCCAGATTTGGCCTGCGGGCTTTGAGTTTGACACGTTCTACGTGTTTTCTGAACAATAATAAACCATTCCACTAGTTCTGTGAAGGCTAAACATCAGCCACTCATTCAAAGCAGATTAGCAGAGACCTTCCTGGGATGAGAGACACTCAGCTGGTTAATAGTTGCTCCGCTCTAACCCAATCAAGCTACAGGAAGCTCAGAGCGCAGGAGGGCCTGCTGTATATCCTATTACAGGTAGAACAGCAGAAAGTCAGGCGGAGGCCAACTGGATGATGATTATTTAGGAATTACTGAAGCATTCACATTCACAGGTTGGTTTTGTTTTATCTGGCAGCTGATCGGCAGAAATTGAAACCCGTTCCTCCCATCGATCTGAAGGCTACACCGTCCTGCTGCATCCCAGATACATGCATTTTTGATGAGGCGCTGCAGCAACGCTCTGCAACATCTTTCTATTTTTCTATTTTAGATCTATTTTACAAAGCAAATACTTCAAACGGAGCTATAATTGTTCTGCTAGGTGCTTTGGAGAGAAGTTTAAAAAAAGGAAAATGAGAAATAAGCAAACCCAAATTCAGGGCCAAATAAGTCATATCTGAGTCATGTCTGAGATTTTTTTTTTTAAATTGTACAAAAAGCCTGTCCAACCACTGTGATGAGAAGTGTGGAAATATTCAACACACAGAGTGAAAATTTTTTCCCACAAGGTCAGTACTGAGACCCAGAACAGAGCTTAGAGGAGCGGTACAGGATAGACCTGCTATGAGGCTTATTCCTCCAACCATCCTCCACTGTGAAAAGAGAGAAGTGACGAACTGAACGAGGCGACTGTTCACATTAAATCAATATTTGAGAGTGTGGCCAACACGGACTTCGTTCTTCTTCTCTGCTGGTATTGCTAAAACTACAGACAGACTGCAACTCCAAAGCAACGCAAAAGAAAGATCAACGTCATTGTTCACAACTTCTCCTTCTGTTTCTAGTTGAAATTCTACCAGCGAAATTCACTACAATGGGAGACAAATAAAACAGCAGTGAAGACAGATGAGAATCAAGCAGAATTGTGTAGGAAAGTCAAGGCCAGGCTACATGAGATCTGGCTCTGTTGCTTACGTTATCGCCACCCGCTTTACATTTCCAGCTAAACAGTCTGTTTGGAATAAGGTTTCATACTGTGAATTGCATCCTGTCACCAGGCTTTGGATCTTTTATTTGTATTCCTTTTAAACTTGACCACCATGTGAGAGAAGGATTTGAGTAAAACAAGAAGAGAACAGTTGCTGTAAGTTTTCCAGACAAAATCCTCAAATCCTAACAAATCTTGTTGGCATGTTTCATATTTATGTCACGTAACTGTTCAGAGATCATGCTTGTCCGTTTCTTCCTTGGAGAACTTCTTTAAGAATCACCTTGTTAGCGCAAAAGTAACATAATAAGGTTAGATTATTTTTTATAAATTCAATTACACATGTAACAAGCTGATAAACATAACTTTTTAAATTATCCATCCATCCATCTATTTTCTCACACCTCGTAATATCAGCTTGTTACACTCTGTATTATTGAATAAAGAGCAGAAAAGTTATGTTCTACTCACTTTGCTTAGTTAAATCTTAATAAACATAGCAAGTGTTCACTCTTATGTTCAGGTCTATGTTTTGAATCAAGCAAATATTACAACAGGAACCCTGTTAACAGTTGGATTCTTTTGCAGTAAAAGGAGTAATTGTAGTTTATGCTATACATAAATGCAGTTTGGCTGACTGGAAAGAAATGAAGGGTGGTTTAAAATCACACTGGCTTGATGTAAATGAGTAAAAACAAATAAGAGCTCATCTTTTTTTGACTTGGAAGAGCAGAGCACACTACACATGAGATTGTTTTATATCTGCATTCTGTACCTTTTTCAGAAAAGTAGCCGCTGTCTCCCTCTTGGTGGAGGGAATTTTCTTCATCCCATCTGGGGACTGCACCCTGATAATCTGCATAATCAAACATACAGGTTAATTCACTTATTGGTGCAATGGTGATTTTTAAAAAGCATCCACAATTGTTTATGAACTAAAGCCTCCCCCCATGTCAGTTTGTCTCCCCTTGGTCGCCAATAAAGCACAGACTTTAGTCCCCCTCTCTCCCCGTCACTACAGTAGAGTCATAACACTGACTACAATGACAGTGCAAAAAAATCGCGTTAATGCTACTAATGGCCATGAAACCACATGTTGGTCACAAACAAGATATTGTCCTTAAATTTCACTACTTCTGTTTCTGCTAATTTGCGCTGGTTTAATTTAAACCAACAGATCAGTTAGCCTCTTTTAAATCCACCAAGCAGATTCCTGCTAATGTACAACTAAAAGGACTAGATACATAAAAATGTGACTCGTGTGTTTCTATTATAAAAAATATTTATATAAATGTCTCAGTCCTTGAAGTTTTCGTGTAAACAGCGGTCATTTCTTTTACTCGGATGTCCTAAGAGGAGCTATGAGCTAAGTTTAGACAGTGAGCTGAGTAGGCCTCAGCCACTCTGTGCTAACGTTAGCAGACGAAGCTAATTCTGCTGCCTCATCGCTCCGGACGCCAGCCGTTAAACGCACCAAGCCGTCCAGATACTTACAATGTTATCCCCCATGACGCCCGGCTCGGAGCTCCAGGTGGACACCGCTGCGCTGCGACACGGTCACTGCAAAAGTCACGAAGCGTCACTGAATAGCAGTCAGCGAAACTCCATCACACCAGCTCAAACACCGGTGTTACACTCATAAGTGCCCGACGGTTTACGCCAAAACACAGCGTAGCTACGCTTCAGCCGCATCGACGATGCCGCCATCTTGAGCAGGGCAAGTTAGGGCAGTTTGATGTCCTGCTAAATAGCCAGGTCATCATATTTGAACGTGCATTAGGTCTTTCTACTGTCATTAATGTGTAAAAGTTGAAAATTTCTACACCTTTTTATGTCAAAAGTTTATGCTTTCCCGAGTCATACTAAATGTCTGTTTAGTCCATTCATAAGGATGGACTAAACATCCCTATGAATGATGTTTAGTCCATCATTCATAAGGATGTTTATGAATTTATGATTTTAATAAAGGAAAAATCCACACAATATCTTGAGTGTTTCTTGAAAAAAATCAAACCATTTAAATAATTAAAATACATGACCTTACAAATTAGCTATGAGATCAAAATCACACTTCTGCCACTTTTAGTTGAAGTCTTCGAACTGATTACTTATCAGACCATGAACGAATTTCTAATAAAATACATTTTACCCATTAATACATCATTAGAAGGCAATGTTTTAGTTTTTTAAAAAACTGAAAACTGTCGTGTTTATTACGCAGTACAACAGCGTCACACGTAACCCACAAAGCATCGCGAGAACGTCCACCATATTGTTGGAAATGCAACCCTGTAAACATAAAAGGCTGATCTGATGAAAACTGCCAAAACTTGGTGCTGTGAAGACAATTCAAGTCAAAAGGGTATAAGAAATGAAGCAGAGCAAAGTTAAGCGGTGCATACGGATAAAAAGAAGCACGACGGCAAATGTTTGAAAAGAAAATGCCCTTCTCCAGGTGAGTCCAGACACAACCACGCTGACTGACTCAGCCAGAAATCAGAAAACTTCTCTTCATGAATCACATGTTTGAATGCACTCTAAGCAGTTTTACATGATGCATGTTTTCTTTTTCTGTGGAGTCCAGAGGAAGTGCCAGAGTGGGGTGAAGAGGTTCCTTAGGAACATTTCTTTCTGATCAAAAATGTAAAGCAATAAATTATTTAAACTGGACACAAAATAGCTGTACAAACAAAAAGCGTATCTGAAGTTATCATGTCACATATAGTTGGGTAAATAAATAAAATTTATTTACCCGAATCAGAATGTAATTATTAAGAGAAATTGTTGCCCTTTTTTATGCTCACTGTCTTTATTCACATTCACATCAGCCTTTTAAAAGACCCAACCGACCAATCTTCTTGAGATCAATAAGTAAGATTTAAAAAATTTATATTTTTTTGAAGAAAAACAAGTTTCGTTTAAAGTTTACTTGACTCTGGATTAAAATCTCACTTTTCATCCCGTTGCACAGGTAAAAGAAGATGGCCGATGCACAATGTGATAGCAGTGGAATCTCAAAGTCAGCGGAGAGAACGTCTGTGTTTGGCGAAGAAAACACCAGATCTTCACATGAAGGTGACTGTCTTCTGTCTGAGTTGAGCACAAAGCCTTAAGTTGGGTCTTCCTGGGGATCCAGGAGAGTTAAAATAAGCAGCTGCAGAGATGAGCAGTTATGTAAATTTTAATATTTGTAACCTAGCTCACTGTATGACTACCATGCAGCAAAACAGGAAGAGCTGCAGGGTAGATTCTGAAAGCAAATTGTATGCACTTATTTTTCCAGAGATCTGTTTGAATAAAACCAAAGAATTATTCCTCTTAACTCTGTGAATGTTCCTCTTCTTCCACTTCAGCAGGACTAAATGTTTGTATCTTAAACACAACATTCAAATTCAGTCACTCATTATTGATTTAAGCAGCTTATTTATAAAGTTATTATTATGACATAAATACTTCTGTCATCACAAAATCCCAGTTAATCCTCAAATCCATGTGTCTCCTGAAGGTGATCAGCAGATGTTAGTGGTCAAGGAAGAGGTTCCTGATCTGTGGAGCTCTAGTTTGGACCAGCAGAATCCAACGCTGTTCTGGGTGAAGAATGAAGACTGGAACAAGTTGACTGATCCAGATAGAGAGCTGCTTATTGCGAAGAAAGAGCCCGACACCACAGATTTTCCATTCACTGCTGTTACGGTGAAGATTGAAGACAACGATGAGAATCTTCTCTCATCAGAGCGTCGACACATCAAATTGGAAGACAACAGGAAGGCAGAATCTCCAACCAGCTGCTCACATGAACAGATGGGAACAGAAAGTGGCAGAGAGGAGCGCAGAGGACCAGAAGCAGACAGAAATACTGAGTGTTTAAATCCAAACACTGATGAAAATGCTTCCGCCTCTTCAGAGACTGAAGTCAGTGATGAGTATGATGATGATGGATGTGATGACAATCTGTCAGGTTCTGGATCTGAACAGGAAGACAGTGACGAAGACTGGGAGGAGACCAGGACACATCAGGCAGGAGGAAAGTCCTCCAGCCGCTTGGATGACGCAAACCGTTCTAAAACGGAGCAAAATTCAGATTCACACAAAGTCCTCAATGAGAGTAAAGTATTTGTGTGTGACGATTGTGGTAAACCATTTTACTATCTGTATCACCTCAAGCGTCACATGGCCCACCACAAAGGAGAGAAACCATTTCAGTGTGACGAATGCGGTAAAAAGTTCACTTTGAGGGGAAATCTGAACCAACACATGACGATTCATAGAGGAGAAAAACCTTTTGCCTGCAACTTCTGCGACAGACGCTTCAGACTGAGCAGCCTTCTGCAGTCACACGTAGTGACACATTTAGGGGTGAAAGCCTTTACCTGCCAGCATTGTGGAGAAAGATTCTCTCGAGAGGGAGCTTTGAAGAGACATGTTGTACGGCACACCGGCGTGAAACCATTTGCTTGTACTATATGCGATAAACGATTCTACAGAAAGCCCGATTTAAAGTGTCACATGCCGGTTCACTCGAGAGAACAAAGAGTCAACGCTGCACCGAGGAACTTTGCTTGTGACGAATGTGGAAAAAGATTTATCCACAAGTGTCATGTGACCAGACACATGATCACCCACACTAGGGAAAAAAACTTCAGCTGTGACATTTGCAGTTTGATGTTTAAGTGGCAGAGTGCTTTAAAGAGACATGAAAAGAGATTTCACAACCAATAGAAGCTGTTCAGATGTCTTGGCTAGTTAATTAATGTTTATTAGGACGAGCTTAACTGTGGGGGTCTTTTTGCTGAGTGATGATATTATTGCTGAATTAGCTCCAGTGTATGCCGTTAGGTCCCGCACAAGCCTGGTAATACACCATACATTTCACTCATTTAATATTTTTCCACGTCTAAGTAAGACATGGTCTATCGTTTCTACATCTCTTTCACAGAATGAGTATTTATTTATTAAATGAGAGAAACTATTTGCTTGCGGCAGTTGTGACAAATGTTTCAGGCTTCATTGTGATCTCCTCAAACACATGGTCATCCACACAGGGTGGAAACCATTTGGTTGCAGTTATTGTGGAGCTTCATTCACTCAGCAGGGAGTTATGAATAGACACATTAGACAAAACGCATAAGAAACCGTTTTTCTGTGACTGGTGTGATAAGAGGTTTTCTGAAAACTCAGGTCTGAAGCGTTGTATGTCAACTCATTTCAGAGAACAAAGGGTAGCCTCTGGAATAAGAAGGCATCCCTGTAATGAACATGGTAAAATATATACTGGAAAGGCGCATCTTACAGCTCACAGGAGTACCCACTCAGGAGAAAAACATTTCAGCTGCAGTGTTTGTAGTGCGAGTTTTCCATGCTACAATAGCCCGAAGAAACATACAGTCAGAGTCAACAGTCAATAGAAACGGCTCATTTCAGTATTTGTTCAAAAATGTTTTACAATGCACATCTGGACTGGTGTTTGTTCTACTGTATTGTCATGTTTTCTGTCATTTGTACATGTATTCAGTTTGAGTGATGGATTTGAGTTTTCAAACTTTTTGACATAAAGCAATTTCATATTAAAATTTTAGTTTGAAACTTTATTCACGAACTCTTTTTGCTTCATTTGTTGTTTCTGAACATAGAAATGTCACCACCACCTCAAGTCTTTCTCTCGCTTTTTTTTTTAATAATCTTGATCAATTGTTTCAAAAGTTTCGTTGAATTCGACTTTATATTTTGGCTGCTTTTTTCATCATTTCCAACACAGTCCTGATTAAAAAAAAAAAAAAAACAGTGACTGGGTATTGCAGGAACTAACTGATGCCAGAAGATGGCAACAGTGAGACTGACATTTACCAAACAAAAGAGTCAAAAGCAAACAAAATGTATAAATAAAAAACAAAGACGGAAACTTCACCTCAATAGATCCCAGATGATAGTCAATCAAACTAAAATCCTAGATGGGAGTCTGGAAAGAGAATTTAATTTTCATAAGGAAAGGTCTTTGGAGTTTGGATTAGTGTTCGCGACGATGATTGAGAATAACATCAATCTTCTGAGACGGCATAGATATTTGTGAAATCATTTCATTTACGTACTTTTATTATGGAAATGTAATGTTTGAAAGCGGAAGTTGTCATCCGAGTCAGCGCTTTACTCGTCATTCATTGGTCGGTAAGTAGGAAGTTACTGAATGTAAAACTGAAAACTTGACTGGGGAGGTCCAGACAGAAAAAACGACTTATTGTTTGTTGTGGACGTCTCAGTCTGGCTCTCAGAAAGTCTTCATTGAGGACCCTTCCGCAACATTTATTTTTTTTAAATCGCCGGTCATCTGTAGCTGACGCTTCCTATACAGAATGTCTGTAGCCTTTATCAGCAAAGTATTAGCCACCGTGGAGCTAAACCAGCTAATAGGAGGGAGTTAATCAGTGTTTCCAACGTGGAAGCTTGCAGAAGAAGTTTATGGTTTAAAGCTTCACGTTTGTGATAGTATGTGAGGAAGACCACGCCGTTTGCATCGTTTAGCATCGTTGTTCAGGTGAGGATCGAGAGACTGGAGAAAGTTAGAAAGTGGACCCAGAACTGTTGACCAAGGTAGGAGACTTGACACTGCTGCTTCAGCTCTGCTACACTTTCTGTTCTCTCTTAATATAACTCAATCAGATACTGATTGGTGTCTGATTCCAGCTTCAGCAGAAAAACTGAAGATCCAGGTTCTATGGCTGAAACTTGACCTAGGCTGAAGTCAAATACTGTACAAAGGGAAATCCCAGCTCCAGTGAGGATGACTGAGATGATGAAGGTTGAAGCAGATGAACCTGGAGGGTTCAGCTTGGAGTCTCCCATCCCTGCAGCATCCACATCAGAACTGGAGGAGGAAACACAAGACAGCAAAGATCTCAGTAAGTTTTCCGTGATTAAAAACAGCTTTTGAATTGTGGAAAAGAGTATAAACAAACAACATATTCTGAGCCAATAAAATGAAATAAATCTGCAGTTATTCCATCAGTCAATTCAGCACAGGCAGAGTACATTCTGAACAGGTTCATTTCTAACCACTTTGTCACCAAAATAAATGTAAGTTTAATTTTGGCTGTGTTTGTTCAAATAAGAGGATGGAATATAAAGCATACCAATAGGGGGGGGGGAAGACAAAAAAATCATACATACAGCATTACATGCAGTAATCAGGACTGCAGGCTACATTGCGTAGGAGGTGATGCAGGGATCTCACTGGCACTTACCACGTCACAATTTGAATTAAAGCACTTTGTGTTATGTCTTTGTTGAAATTTAGTGTTGAATGATTGCTTGTGGTATAAAGTTTTCAGATAATTGCATTTGTTAAAAAAAAAAACTAACTTTCCTAACTGTTTGGGCCTATGTGAAAAAACTAAGTGTTCCCCTTGTTAAATCAGGAATAAACTGTGATTAACCTCATTGTTTGAATCGCTGTGTTCAGTTTCAGGAAACCCACACAGGCCTGATTACTGCCAGATTTGTAGAAAGAGAAATCTCTTGCACAGGGCCTGTCTGGCAACATGTAGCACAATGCATCATGTCCCAGTCTGAAGAAATTTGTAAGCGGATAGGACACAAAGTAACTGACATCTTTCAGTCTGGAACGGCTTAAAAAGCCATTTCTAAGACTTTGGGACTCCAGGGATCCGGAGAGAAAACATGGAAAAGTGGTTTAGCTTCCCTTGAGAGACCGGCCAAACATAATTACTTCAAGACCACACGATTACTCACCCAGTACCTCACAACCCCAGAACAGCATTTATAACATTGTAGGCCTGTCTTACCTCAATTAAAGTCAGAGTTCATGTTCAAGAAAGACACTCGTAAATCCATAACAGAGTTCCAAGAGAAAATCCACTCTTCACCAAAAACAAGATATTGGCTGGTCTCACAGTGGACAAACAATGTGTATTTTTAAGATTTCCAAGTCATTTGGGGAAGTATTCTTTGAACTGAGACAAAAGGGGAAATTTTAAAACTAATAGAGCACAAATGGTTGACACCAGTTGTTCCCAAGTGTGGCACAACTTATTAGAACTTGAAGGCAGCCACATTTTGACTTTCAGCCAGATTGGTTTTATTGCCTGTTTTCACTTAAAAAAAACAAACAACAAATCATCAATTCTAAACTGCTTTTTGTACACAGATTATCTGTCTGATACTAAATTTATTTACAGACCAAAAGCAAAAACAGAAAATGTATCACTGTAAGTGGTGAGCATTTCTTTACAGCATTTAGCTTGTCGGTAAATGTTGACATGAGATCAAGGTCATTTTTGGCAGATTTTGGATAAGCTCTCTGCTTTTTTTTTTCCTCAGCAGTCATGTTCACTCTCCATTGGATAATTTTTTTTCTTTATCAGCTCACAGACTTTGACCTTGAAACAATTGAGGCCTGACATGCTTTAAATGTTTTTCTGGCTTTTTTTCTGGCCTCTCGATGAGTCATCACTGCGCTCCAGGAGTAATTACGGTAGCCCAGCCAGTCCTGCGAAGGTTCACTGCACATTTTCTCCATTGTGCAGAAATTCTTGGTAACGGCTTTCACTGTAGTTCAGATGCCGTTTTACCCTTTTCCAGACTGATAAGAAATAATCAAAAAAAAATTCTCATGTATTCCAGGTTGTTGTTTTTTTTAGATTTTTATATGTGTTGCTTTTTGATATTTATTTTAGGCTGGATAGAGCCGTCAAACAGGTTTTTGAGTTTTGGTCCTGCAGATCTGGTAATAATCAGGCCTGGGTGTGGTTAGAGAAACTGAACTCAGCTTTCCAAACAGTGTGGTCATTAATCAGAGTCATGTCATGATTCATTCACTCAGGGTGGACAGGTTGGTTTATGCATCTCTATCATTATTTGGAAACAGATTTTGACCTTGACTGAGATTATAATGATATTAAAATATTGATATTAAAATGTGTTTGATCTGAAAAAGAAGAAATCTTATAAATTTTGTAGAAAATCTTTGTACCATCAAGCAGCTGTTTCTGTGGCAATTATTTTATAATAAAAATGGAATAAAATTTGTATCTATTCCGCATGTTTGATGCCTATCTAGATCAAGAACAGAATCACTGATAAAAATTTGTCTCTTGGATAAGTAGTTCTTTACATATCCGAGCGAACCCACCTTTATTAATAAATGCAGATGTTTTTCTCCATTGTTTAATAGTTTGCAGGCAGTTACTGTCAGTGTGTGTTTCTCTGCTCCCAGTCCAGACGGTGGTGATAAAGGAAGAGTTTGTCCATGACTGGAGCTCCAGTTCTGACCAACAGGATTCAGAGACACTCGATATAAAGGAGGAAGAGGAGGAGCTGTGGATCAGCCAGGAGGAAGAGCAACTTGTTGTGAAGATTGAAGATGTAGAAAAATCCCAGATGTGTGAACTTGATGGAATCAAACCTCTTGCCGACAGAGAGACAGAAGCTCCAACCAGCAGCTCTGCTGATCTGTTGGAAACAGATCCTGATGGAGATGACTGTGGAGGAGCAGACACAGACTGGAGCCCAGATCCATTTTGTTCTTTTCAACAAAATGACATGACTGTTCACAAAAGAGGTAAAAAGTCTAAACTGTGTTCTGGCCTTATGGCTCAGATTGAAGTCCATACAGGAGAGAAGCCTTTTGGCTGTGTTTTTTGTGGCAAAAGATTCAAGCATAAAACGTCTGTTAAATTACACATGATGACTCACACTGGAATAAGAGAACATAGCTGTGATCTTTGTGGTAAAGGATTCAAAGAAAAACGTTTTCTTCAGACGCATATGAGACTCCACACCGGAGAGAAGCCGTTTGCATGTAATATTTGTGATAGAAGGTTTCATGCAAAGAAGTTTCTTAAAACTCACCTGGTGGTTCATTCAGAAGAAAAACCCTTTTCCTGTGATATTTGTGGAACAAGATTTAAGATAAAGGAATGTCTTAAAAAGCACATGAGAATCCACACAACAGATAGACCATTTGTTTGTGGTGTTTGCAATAAACGGTTTTCACTGCAAGAGACGCTAAAGAGTCACATGCGGGTTCACACGGGAGAGAAACCGTTTATTTGTAGTGTTTGCAGCAAAGGCTTTTCACGAAAAGAGAGTCTAAAAGGACACATGCGTGTTCATACAGGAGAGAAACCGTTTATTTGTAGTGTTTGTAACAAAGGATTTTCACGACAGGTCTACCTGAGAAAGCATGTGATGGTTCACACAGCACCATTTAGCTGCAGTGACTGTGATAAACTCTTTGTGGATGAAATACAGTTAAAGCGACATGTGAGGCTCCACACAGAGGAGAGGCCGTTTGGGTGTGAAGTCTGTAAAAGCAGGTTTAATCAAAAGCGTCATCTTGAAAATCACATGAAAGGCCATTCGGGAGAAAAACCGTTTGTTTGCAGTGTTTGCAGTAAAGCGTTCTCACAACAGGTATCGCTGAATAGACACATGCGTGTTCACACAAAAGAGAAACCGTTTGTGTGTAGCATTTGCAGTAAAGCATTTTCACAACAAGGGAATCTAAAGAGACATATGAGTGTTCACGAGGGCTGCGACTTGAGTCAGACATGATTTCGTTTTTAGAATTATTGACTAATGTGGGAATATATTCAGAATAACTGCTGGTAGCACACCTACTCCTCTCTTTACCAGTGCATATTTGGCACAATTCTCTCCCCCCAGAAAACCAGTGCATATCTCCCTCATATAAAGTCTTTTGATTCTGAAAACGTTGGCTTATGGAAACGAATTGGCACTTTATAAATAAACTGAATCAAACTCTCTGGCTGCCTTTAAGCATTATTTAATTGTGGTTGTGGAGGTTCTGTCTCACTATAGACCTTTCCACACCAGTGGGCCTTAATTGGAGATAAGTCTTTATATATTATTTAACAGGAGACTCCTGCTGTATATACTAAATAAATGTATTTATAAATGTTCTACCTTTCCAATATTTTGCATATTGGTAATATTTTTCTACTTTTTTGTCAAGATTTTGAGAACAAAGGAGTTTGAAAGTAATAAATGTAAATATCAAGTTGAAAGCAAGTGTTACTTGTATAAAACTGAAAGTGGAACTTTCTTACCAGACTTGCTGGGTAAATTTTATATTTTATTTTAATTGAATAGACCCATTCAGAACCATCCTCTAAAAGTAAATTAAAATGATAGCGCTGTAATTTCTTGGTTGTAACTCTCGAGATATGCCTGAGTTATGTCATTAATCTGTGAACATTTCACTAACAGTCAACAATTTTGCTAATGTTTGAAGCTTCTTCATGTCTGTCACTCCTAAATTGGTGGTGAATTAATTATGTTTTTCACTCATTTGTTTTTAAAGTTACATTTTTTTGGTGCTGCAGATTAATGAAGTCCTACCATTAATATTTTTCTGTCCTTTTTGTTTCGTTATTACGTCGATTTTTTTTGGAGAAGTGTTTAACAACTTACCACTAAACCTTCCCATGCTAAAGTGTAAATAAGTTTTTGTGTGTGTATCTGTGTGTACTTGTATATACAACACACAGAAGACCAATTTTATAATACAATGAAGGGTGCCCATTTGTGGAAAGTGAGGACCTTTTCCTGGTGCAGTGCTAGGAAGAGACAAGACTTGAAGAAAATGACTGTGGCATAAATGCAGTTACTAAAATCAATGGAACTCAATAGAAAGTCCTCAGTTTGCATAGAAGTACAAGTATGTTTGTGTGGTCTGTCCTAAAATTATATGCTGTAAAGTAGTATAAAACAAGCAGTAAAAATGTGTTTTAAATAAATGTATATAAAAGCTTCGATTAGACTGATTTGTATTGTTTTTTTAACTACATATAACCAAAGTGCTGTACAAAAATAAGACAAATTAAACAAAACTTCATGAAATAAAGATAAAGCTTAGTATTTATAAGCTGGACCTATTTCTACTGTAAAGTGACTTACCCTTTCTTATAAACTGGTGTCATATAAATGATTAATTCAATATTTATGTTTATGTTTACAAATGGTAATTTAATAACCAATTTTATTATAAAGATTTGGTCAATTCTGAAAACCTGAAGACTGTAAGAGGAAGTAGTTTTTTGAACCAGAGCTTTACTTGTCATTCATTGGTCAGCATGTAAAGTAACCGGATGTGACAACGCTACATTCGTAGGCTGTAAAACCGTACAAAAAATTAGTGCGTAACTGAGATTGTACACTCTTGACTCGTCCGTTTTTGTGACTATTTCAGTTCTGTTTTAACCCACTGCTGTCGTTTGACCAGCATTTTCTTTACAGAATGTAATTAGACTTCAATAGCAAAGCGACGTGACATTTTCCAGCGGGAAGCTAACGCGGCTAACAGCGGAGACCTAATCTGTGTTTTTCGAAGCTTTATTTAGTGCACAGAGACAAGCTACAGATGGTAACCAGAAACAACTGACCAAGGTATCAGACTCTGCAGCATCGCTTCTGCTCTGCTAAGCTTAATTTATTTTATCAATACACTTTATTTGATCAGATTCTGATTTGTGCCTGATTCCAGTTTCAGATTACATGGCTGGAAACTTGCCCCAGTTGAAGATGTGAAGGCTGCAAACCAGAGTTTTGAAAAGGAAAATTCAGAGTAAGAAAATGCTGACTGTAACCGTAAATAGCTTAAGATGATTTCCAGATAGGGAGGTGGATTTACTTTAATGAATATTGCCCCTCACTGGAGTACCATGGTGTAAATATGAACTTAATATATGCACTTAATATTCACGTATTGTGTTTCCACGTGAAAATGTTAAATCTGCTCTTACTTAAATACAAATGACAGGTATTTAAAGAACATTGGCTTTTTACAAAAACAGCTTCACATTTCTGGAAGTACCTCCAGGTGAGTCCTGAATGACATATTAGTAGGTTTCTGGTTAAGATACTCTTCACTGACAAAGAAACTCGTAGAAGTTAAAATATTCACATCTTAAATTTAACGAGCAGTCAGTGATGAAATAAGTCTCAACATGTAATTAACTTTTTCTTTTTTTTTTTTTTCTTTTTCACCAGTCACCTATATTTGTTGTGGGGTTTTTTTTCTCAATAGATTTTATTTTAATTCAGCTATCGGCAAATGTTCAATTATCAATCCAATGTAATGAAATACAATAATAAATGAATAAATCTGTGTGAAGTTTCAGTTCACGTGCCAGCCTTACTTATTAGCTGGTCTCATGCTGCCATCTAGTGGTTATAGAAACTTTCCGCAGCATGCTTTTCACTTTTTGTTTTAACATCAAACCTGGCTGCTTGAAAAACAATCTTGCCTTCAGGTTTTGGATGAAAGAAATGGCATAATACAAGGGGATGGATTTACTGACATCTTTACACTGTGACATATCTCTAAAGAGTGTTTCTCTTACTTCCTTTTGTTACAATTTCAAAACCTTTGTGATATTTTACTTGTAGATGAATGTGATATTTTACTTGTAGATGTACCAGTAGTAATTCAAAATGTTCATGTGTTTGTCAGTGTTCCCTGTCCACCAGAACATCAGTTTGGACCAGCACACCCTAGAACTTCTCCAGATAAAGGAGGAACAGGAGGAACTGTGGATCACTCACACGAGAGGCCAACCTACTGCGAAGGGGGAAGATGATGAGATACCTCAGTTGTCACAGCTTCATCACATTAAAACTGAAGACAATAGAGAGACTGAAGCTTCAGCCAGCAGCTCAGCTGAACTAATGAAAACAGAACTTGATGAAGAGGAGTGTGGGGGACAAGGACTACATTCAAAATGCTCCCTAGAGTTAAAAACTGACGAGATTACTTCGGATTCTTCTGTGACTGAAGTCACTGATGACGATGATTGGCAAGGTCCTTTGTCAGGATCAGAACCTGAATATAAGGATCAGAGCTTCAATATTCAGAAGACCACAAAGCCTCAGTTAGAGTCTGGTAAAAAAATTGTCTCCAAGTTGTCTCTTCGGGATGGAAAAAGCTCTTCCCTCTGTTTGGTTAACCAGAAATGTCCTGGAGTCAAAAAAAACGTGGATTCTCCACCAGTCCATGGCAGTTACAAATTGTTTTGTTGTGATGTTTGTGGAACACAATTTACCAAAAAGGGAAATTTGGAGAAACATATGTTGGTTCACAAACAAGAAAAAACATTTACCTGTGAAGAATGCGGTAAAAGCTTCAAACGACCTTTACAGCTTACTGTTCACCTTAAAATTCACAGAGGTGAGAAGCCTTATTCTTGTGAATTTTGCAGTAAAGGGTTTATAGTAAAAGGTGCTCTGCAAGCACACAAGAGGCTCCACTTAGGAGAGAAGCCATTTGGTTGTGATATTTGTGGTAAAACCTTTCATTTAAGGAGCATTCTGAAAATGCACATGAAGGTGCACTCGGTGGAGAAACCCTTTCATTGTACAGTGTGTGAAAAACGATTCAAATGTCCATATATTCTTAAAAAGCACATGAGCCTCCACTCTGGACTGAAGCCATTTGTTTGTGGTGTTTGTAGTAAAGCATTTTCACAAGAAGAAACTCTAAAAACACACATGGTCGTTCACACTACAGAAAAACCATTTCCGTGTGATATCTGTGGAAAAAGCTTCAAATATATGTCCTACGCTCGAAAACACAAACTGTTTCACAGTGATGAGAGCAAACACAGCTGTGATATCTGTGGTAAAACGTTTATTTTAAAGCCTGCACTCAAGGCCCACATGAGGAGTCACACTGGGGAGAAACCATTCTCCTGTGATGATTGTGGAAGACAGTTTCATGTTAAGGCAAACCTTAAACAGCACATGAGGGTCCACACAGGCGAGAGGCCATTTGCCTGTGATGTTTGTAGTAAAACATTTAGTAGAAAGACCCATCTTACAGTGCACACACGGATACACTCGGGAGAAAAACCGTTTTTCTGTAACATTTGTGAAGAAAAATTCAGATTTCAGCACAATCTCAAAACGCACATGAGGGTCCACACAGGAGAAAGGCCTTATGTTTGTAGCTTTTGCTCTAGAGGATTTTCACGACAAGAGCATTTAAACAAACACATTGCTATTCACACAGCGGAATAAGTTTATCTTTTGTCATTGTGGCCAAAATCTAACGGTGTGAAAATAGTTCCATAGATTGTTGGTTAAAATTGCAGGAAATGCTAACTAAAACCTTAAATTATTCAGGAGAGATTATAACGAACTGATCAGGTGGTTATATTTAAGCAAACTAAAGACAGCTAGACTGTCTTTATTTAAGCAAACTAAAGACAGCTATATTTATCATAAACAAGGTTTATGATAAATATAATTCAGCCATTTTTTTTATTTTACTGTTTTAGACATCAACATTCGACATAGGTTGCATGTGGGCAAAAAAAAAAAAAATCTGATTTAGGTTGCATTTACCTGTTGTGTGAAATTGGCCTCAGATGTCTTAAAAGCACCTCACTGATGTTATTTCAACTACAGGGGCTAGGGCTGTTTATTTAGAGGTTAGAGATCTAAACCTTTCCTATGCTAGACATTTTTTTTGTTCATCTTGTTTTAATGAGTAAATTATATAATTAAATTATATTCTGTTCCAGTGGTAAAAAAAAAAAAAATAATTTACACCTTAATGCATCCATCTATTTTTAACTAAAGTAACATTTAATAGCTTTCATGAGCTTAATATTTTCACAACTGTTTATATTATTGTTTCAGAGTGATTTGTATGTGGGATAATGAAGACATGATTGGTGAAGTTGTGTTAATTCAAGTATAGCACCTTCGATTCAGCTCTACAAATTTATAAGATTTTATCCAGCTTCATAGTAAGGTCCGCTGGCTATCATGATTCACAAACCTGCAGGTTATACATTTAGTCAGTCTTTTAAATGTCAGCTTCAAAACTAAGTTCTTCAGTGCATTACAAGGTGCTATTGAAGTAATTTATTCCTATATATGAAATATGTTGGAGCAGAAACGTTTCAATCATGCATAGCAGAATGTCCTAGTGTTTCTCAGAAGGTGGACGTTTTGCTCCTTTAAGAACATTTTACCTTTTTACTTCAGTGAACCATATATGAAATGAGTGTTCATTTCAATTTTTAAATCTGAAATGAATTTGTATAAATTGCAAATAAAACATTTTTTGTTCAGTGTGGTAATGCAATGTGTATCTGTTTCAATGCATTAATTGTGGAGAAACATGAGTGTCATTTTTAAAATTAAGTAAGCAATGTCAGAAATATTTTCAGGCTTTTCAAAGCTTATGCATTGAGTGACTCTAAACTCAGAAAGTTAAAAATTGCATGTTTAACTTTTTTTATATAGTGGATTCATAATTTGCTTCAATCTGTGCAGTGATACCAACCAAACTTAAGATGGATTAAAGTTCTGTGATAAGACAATTTGGGTGAATTAGAGAAATCATCTTGTCACGGTCATGTATCATTTAATTTTCTGTCAAGCGATTAAGGTTTGCTACCATTAAAGGATTTAGTAAAAAGTTTTCTAACTTTGACTCTTGTTTCAGATTTTAGCCACATCCTAAGATTTATTTAGACACATTGGGAAACTCCTTAAGCAAAATAAAGGTGAAATCAACACGCCTGAAAAAAGCCCATCAGAAACAAAGTAATACAAAAAATAATAATAATAATCACAAAAAATTAAAATCTGAAATAAATCAAATAACAACCTTTAACCAAAATACACAGGAAGAGGGTCACAATGTGCAGTTTTCTTTTTCTTTTTCATGAGGCACTGACAGAGCAGGTTAAGTGAGCTGAGTGGCACTTTGATGAAATAGTGAACCATTTTTACACCCTGTTGTTTTGATTTAAAATGCACGCAAAGAAAAAGCATGCATAGTTACTCTTGATGCTGTTTACTGGGAACATTTTTGATTTAAGTTGCTGGCATAAATCCACGATACCTTGTAGATTTACTCCAATTCAAACAGTGAGAACGTCTTGAAAAATAAATGTATGAAGCATTCACGTTATTTTATTCTGAAAAGTCTCATCTTAGAGAGAGGAAGTGCTCTTTCCGAAACTTGTCTTTCATTGGTCAGCGAGGAGGAAGTGTCCGCATCTGACATTGTTAGCTCGAATGGCTAGTTACCGACTGAAAAATATATTTACATTTTGAGAAGAAAATACAAACAAACAAAAAACACGTCTGTTGATTATTTTCGAGACAAAGTTACAGCCTTCGTGAGGATATATCACATGTTTTATGGGTTTCGGTTAACAGTATTTACGGTCCGAATTTAGCAATACAATAATGTAATTATCCTTTCTTAGCAAACTGAGGGGAGCGTGAATCACCGTGGAACTAAAGCAGCTAACAATAGAGTCTTAATCAGTGTTTCCAACCAGGGTTATGGTGGCCCAACTGAGGAAAGTTACAGAGTGAAGGCAGAACTACTGACCAAGGTATCGGGCTCTCTGTGCTGTAGCTTCTCTTCATCTCTGCTACACTTTACATTTCATGTTAACACACTTTATGTTGTCATATACTGATTTGTGTCTGATTCCAGTTCCAGGCAGCAGAAAACAGAAGATTCAGATTATCAGACTAAAACCTTGAATGTGTAGACGAGGTTTGTGAAAAGGAGAATCCCAGGTGGACCGAGGATGACTGACATGATGAAGGTTGAAGCTGATGAACCTGGAGGGTTCAGCTTGGAGTTTCCCTCACCTGGAACAACCACATCAGAACTGGAGGAAATACAAGAGAGCAAATATCTCAGTAGGTGACGCACATTGGTTTGTCTGTATTGGATCAAATTACCTGTCTGTAAGTGCAAAGGGTCTGATGTAAAGAAACATTTATGTTTAGTTTGCCAATATGTTAATCAGTTTAAATCTACAGTTTTAATTGGATAAATTAGAAAAAAAAAAACATTCTCAAAGTTTAAGAAAGCAAAAGCTTTTTTTTTTATTTTGAAAAATAAAGTTAATATATTTATGACATTTTCATCAACCATTAATATGTATATCTGTCAGATTTACCTGTCTATGAGACAACAGTGATCAAAGAAGAGGTTCCCGGTGATTGGAGCTCCAATTTGGACCAACAAAATCCACAATCCCCCTGCATAAAGAAGGAAGAAGAACAACAGTGGATCAGTAAGGAAGAAGAGCAGCTTACTGTGAAGACTGAAAATGAAGAGAAGCCTCTGTTATCAGAGCTTCATCAGACTGAAACCGAATGTTTTAGAGAGACAGAAGCTCCAACCAGTAGCTCAACTGAACAAATGGAAACACAATCTGAAGAGGACTGTGTAAGACCAGAATCAGACAAGAATCCAGAATGTTCCTCTGGAGAAAATAAAGTAACAGTTCACAAAAGAGGAAAACGATTCAAACTGTGTTCCAAATCTATGGGTCAGATTGAACTCCATGATGGAGAGAAGCCATTTGGTTGCAGTATATGTGGCAAAAGATTTAAAAGTAAGAATCATGTTAGATTACACATCATGACTCACACTGGAAACAGAGAACATAGCTGTGATCTATGTGGTAAAGGATTTCTAGCGAAGGGTCATCTTCACACTCACATGAGACTCCACACTGGAGAAAGACCATTTGCCTGTGATGACTGTGGTAAACGGTTTCGAGCAAAGACAAATCTTAAAACTCACATGAAGGTCCATTCTAGAGACAAGCCCTTTTCATGTGATGTTTGTGGAACAAAATTTAAAAGGAAAGAAACACTTAAGAAACACATTTGGATCCACACCAAAGAGAAACCCTTTGTTTGTAATGTTTGCACAAGAGGATTTTCACGTCAAAAGAGTTTAAAAAGTCACATGTATCTTCACACAGGAGGAAAACCGTTTATCTAGTATTTGTAGTAAAGGATTTGCAGTGCAGGAGAATCTAAAGAGTCACATGTGCGTTCACACTGGTGAGAAACCATTTATTTGTGGTGTTTGCAGTAAAGGATTTCATCGACATGGAGATCTAAAGAGACACATGCGTGTTCATACAGGAGAGAAGCCGTTTATTTGTACGGTCTGCAGTAAAAGATTTTCACAACAAATTCATTTAAAGAGCCATATGCTCGTTCACACTGGAGAGAAACTATTTATTTGTAGTTTTTGCAGGAAAGGATTTTCACAACCAGAAACTTTAAGGAGACATATGCGTGTTCATACAGGAGAGAAAGAGTTTATTTGTAATATTTGTAGTAAAGGATTTTCACTAAAACAACATCTGAAAAACCACATGGAGGTTCACACTGCACCATTTAGCTGTAGTGATTGTGGAAAACGTTTTGTTAGGGAAATCCAGTTACAGCGACATGTGAGACTCCACTCAGAAGAGAGACCTTTTGGTTGTGATGTCTGTAGGAGCAGATTCAACCAAAAGTGTCAACTTGAAAATCACATGAGAGTCCATTCAGGAGAGAAACCTTTTGTGTGTGAGGTTTGCAGCAAAGCGTTTTCACAACAAGGAAATCTGAAGAAACACCTGGGTGTTCATGAGGGCTGTAATTAAATATTTTAACGTAAGACTAGTCTGCCAATATTTAAAATATCTATTTAATATAATATGGATAATATCTATTTGCATAAAGTGCAAATGGATCGTACTGGTAACTATTTGTAGCCTCTTAATTTTTCTCCTAATGCCTCCACTTTATTGCATAGATTTTTAGATTGTCTTGCTATGAATACAGTATTTCAGGGTCTCCGTTTTGACAGTTAAGCTTTTTAAGTTTGATTAGATTGGAACTTGTGCCCATTTGATTAAAGGATTTTCTTTGTTATTGGTCATATAAATATATTTCAGTGAGTAAGAAAAGTCATTTTCAATAAGTTGAAATATAGCTTCCAATGAGGCTTGTTTGTGAGATTGAAGTACATTTTGAAAGCAATATTGAACATGTATTAAACATACTTTTTGTATGAAAAACGTGTTTTAATTAGTCTGATGTATAATTCTTATCTTAAATGTCAAGTTTTCATCAGCTGTAGTGAAAAATCCTCCTGGTTAACAAAAACGAAGGTTTGAAAACAATCTGTGTTTACAATATATGGCTTTCACTTGTAATATTGAGTGACTGAAATAAATAATATTGAAATTTATTGAATGTCTCTAAGAATAAAGGAAATAAAACAAAACTAAACTCTTAAAGTGAATTTCCATGTGAAGCAAAAATAAATGTTTAATTTACATTATTGACATTCTGACAAGGTTATGCCTTAACCTTGTCAGAATGTTTGACTCTTGAAGGATGTTGCATTTACTTAAATCTGAGGGAAAAGGAGGGAATGTGTCCTCTGTGGCAGTGTGGCTCTGAAAACTGTTCTCTGAGTGAGGCTCCACAGATTTACTATCACAAGTGGAACATTGAGGCTTTTGCTATAATGCCGCACTTGATGTATAAAAGTTTGTTTGGGTGTTTTTCAGTTATAATAGAGAAGAAGGTGGAAAAGAAAAAGAAAAAAATAAAGTGAGACGGCGGGGCAAAAAAAATTTAAAGGGATAGAAGGAGAGAAAGGTGAAAGAGCTATTTACAGAACAACTGCAAAGTGAGAAACTGGACTTTAATTGAAATAACTTAAGGAGTTATGTTACATGAACTTATGGGTATAAGTGACATAAATATGAAAACAAAGCTGTCACCCCACTGACAGAAAAACAGATGTATTGTGTCAACTTATGACTTTGTAATTTTTTATTGGTAATTCATTAAATAATTTGTTATATTGATTACTATAATGAAACAACACATGTTCGCTATATTTGAGTATTTTGTAAGAACATAAAATGTCTTCTTGTAAGACCTGAAAATGTATTGTGTCTCTCTTCTGTATGACCTTCATAAACTTATGGGAATCCGACTTCTGGATCCTGTTCATCCATCTATATTTCATACAGTTTAAGGGCAGCACCTGTCAGGAATTTATGAGAGCTTCAATGAGACTCCATGAGCTGCAAGAGGCATCAGGGAAACTGAGGGCTACAGACATAAATGCCATAAATGGCGCATGATACAAGATATCATGAGCCAAACACTACTAATATTCAGCTACTTAATTTAATAGTTGGGAGATGATACTGATAGCTTGTTCTGAACAAGCTGTGTGCAATAGTTTATTTTAAAAAACAGTCAGTACTTGAAGTTAATTATTTAATAATTGTTAAATAGCTTATAAAGCAAAAATATTGCTGCTAGTTTCTTGCAGTGTAACTTTACAAATGGCACCCTATTTAAATCATTATATGCATTAGGATGTATATAGTGATTTAAAAAGTGTAATAACGCAACGCTTCCTCTATCAAAAAATATCTTTATTTTTTGTGTAACGTTTTATTTGGAAAAGCCAATGAAAGGAAGTAGTTTCTGGAAACGGAACTTTCCTTGCCATTCATTGGTCGATGAGGAGGAAGTCACCGGATGTAGCAATGTAGCTTGACTGGCTAAGTCCCGAAGCGGAAAACCTCGCAAGAGGTGATGTAAAACAACAATTGTTTATGCCTCTGATTCACTATTTATCAGTCGCAGTGATTACATCGCTCCCATGCTATTGTTCTAAAGCGTTGTGATATTTATTGCCGTCTTTATGTGCAGAACGCCATTAGCCTCCACCGCAAAGTGGAGCTAGGGCAGCTAACAACAGAGACGGATGATGCTATTTACGTTGTTGAAGCTTTTAAGTGTTTGTGATTTAGTGCTACAAGACGAGTCTATGCTCCACCCTCTGGGGATTCTAACCTCGTCCGTGGACACCTCTGTCCTTTTCAGCTGAGGACCGAGGGACTTGTGACACCCAGCGTGGAGCCAGAACTACTGACCAAAGTATCAGACTCTCTGCTGCTGGTTGCATGTTTTATAAATACACTTTATCTGATCAGATCTTGATTTCTGTCAGACAACAGAAAAAAAGAAAAGCCACGTGACATGGCTGCAACCTTGATTTAGTAGAATGTGTGGAGGTTGAAGACGAGGATTGTGAAAAGGAGAATCCATCCCATGTGAAGCGAGGATGTCTGAGATGATGATGGCTGAAGCTGATGAGCCTGGCAGGTTCGGCTCGGAGCCCCTCGGCTCGGAGCCCCTCATATCTGCAGCATCCACATCAGAAGAGGAGGAGGAGGAGGAGACACAAGACAGCAAAGAGTTCAGTAAGTGACACACACTTTTGTTTGTCTTGACTGGAGCAAGCTGCTTAAAAACAGACGTTTGATTGTGGAAAAGCATGTTCAGTTATAAATGAACTCTGTGTCTGTAAATAAATACCCTGCAGCAGATGCAACAGAGTTTGCGCTGGAGAGGTTTGCTGTCAGTCACAGGTCTTTGCGTGTAATACAAGAGATGTATATTTAATTTATAACTGTAGTCTTGAGTGTAATATATATGTTGAAAACAAGCAAAAACTTCTCCATCATTGAAAATACTTTTGACCAGATATAACACCATCTCACGCATATGCTGACTGATGATGGACCAAAGACAATGGAAAGCAGGAAAAAGTCAAAGACAATTCTTGACCGGATGCCAGAGCAGTAGAAAGAAGCAGCACAGAGAAGTCTCATCTTTGACTAGGTGCAGTGGTGCGTCCTTAGATATTGTTTAGGTGCACTGTTGAGAAATCAGTTCACGTTTGCGACCAAATTGGTTGGACTCTAATCTTCAATCAGCCAGGTGGCATTTAGGAAATTTTATTTATTTAGACTATATCAGGTTGTCGTTGATTTTCCATGTATCTTTCAATGTTCTCAGTTCATCAGATGTTGGTGATTAAAGTGGTTCCTGATGATTGGAGTCCCAGTTCGGACCAACCCAACCCAGATTTCCCCCCCATAAAAGAGGAAGAGGAGGAACTGAGGGTCAGTCAAGAAGAAGATGAGCTTACTATGAAGAGTAAAGATGAAAAGAAACTTCAGTTATCAGAGGTTCGTCAGATCAAAGCTGACAAAAAAGACATTATGGAGACAGAGGGTCCTGACAGGAGCTCAGCTGAAGAGCTAAAAATGGACTCTGACGAAGACAACTGTGGTGAACCAGAAAGAGACGCCATTACAGATCCAGTGTGTTCTTACCAACATCGTACGATAACAGTTCACAGAAATGAAAAAACATCTAAATTGTGTTCCAAACTTATGACTCAAACTGGATTACACACTGGAGAAAAGCCCTTTGGTTGCAGTGTTTGTGGCAAACGATTCAAACACAAGACCAATTTTAAACACCATATGAAAATTCACTTTGAAAACAGAGAACATAACTGTGAACTTTGTGGTAAAGGATTTAAAGCTAAGCATTTTCTACAAACGCATATGAGGCTTCACACTGGAGAGAGGCCGTTTGCATGCGATGATTGTGGGAGAAGGTTTCACGCTAAGGCAGTTCTTAAAAGTCACATGGAGGTTCACTCTGGAGAAAGGGCTTTTTCCTGTGACATTTGTGGCTCAAGATATAAAAGGAAGGAAACTCTTAAGAAGCACATGTGGGTCCACACGACAGAGAGACCCTTTGTTTGTAGTGTTTGCAGTAAAGGATTTTATCATCAAAACAGCCTAAGGATTCACATGAACGCTCACACAGGCCAGAGACGGTTCATATGCAGCATTTGTAGTAAAGGATTTGCAGAACAAGAGACTCTGAAGAGACACATGCGCGTTCACACGGGAGAGAAGCCGTTTATTTGTAGTTTCTGCTGTAAAGGATTTTCACAGCAAATTCATTTAAAGAGACACATGCACGTTCACACTGGAGAGAAGCAGTTTACTTGCACTGTTTGTAGTAAAGAGTTTTCTCAACAGCATCATCTGAAAAACCACATGGGAGTTCATACCGCGTCATTTAGCTGCAGTGATTGTAGTAAGCGTTTCGTGAAGGAAATCCAGTTGCAACGACATGCCAGAGTCCACACAGAGGAGAGGCCGTTTGGTTGTGATGTCTGTAAAAGCAGGTTTAATCAAAAGTGTCAGCTTGAAAATCACATGAGAGTGCATTCGGGAGAGAAACCGTTTGTTTGTGATGTTTGCAGGAAAGGGTTTTCCCAACAAGGAAATCTGAAACGACACATGGTTGTTCACAAGGTCTGTAACTAATGACTATTTTCATAGTTGAACAATATGCCAATCATTTTCAAGTTTTCAGCAACTACCTTTGTTTTGCAACTTATCGATGCTCCATTGCCTCTGAATTTCTAAACAAAAATTATTATATTAAACTAAAATTGACTTGTGAATCCCTATTTTGCTTCGATCAGCTGTAGGTCAAAATCTTAAAGTCTTAAAAACAAGTCAGAACTTAATTAAATGTTTTTACTTGTTACAGCAAAAAGATGAAAAAAGTAAATGGGTTATTACTTTTTACTATGACTGCCAATCACAATATTTTTCCTTCCTGTACAGTGTAATTCAATATATCACTCTTTATGTACCTCAGAATGACATGTAAATAAAGATTTGCACTTAAAAGTACAAACGTATTTCTATCGCTCCATTGCTGCAAAGAAATTATGTATTTCCACATAAAAAGCCAGAGTTCTCAGAATCTCAAATATTAAGAGATAGAACTATAAAATCCAAATGGACCTTGATATTGTCATGAGCAAAATACCTAAGGAAATTGATCTCTTTAATACCCTCTGTGGCGACTGTCTTATTGGACTTGAGACGATTCTTGTCCGTGATTGGTGGAGGCAGAAGGCAAATTTGTGACCTGAGAAGAGGATTACTTTATGATGGTCCAAAAATATGTAAATGGTTTTTATACTGGTTTATGATCAATTCACAATCTATGATCACCATCCTTGTGTTACAGGTGGAAATGTGCGTTTTTTGCTACAAACTGTTGCCATTCATCTTTCCTTTAAAAAGATTAATTAAACACTGTACGCTGTGTCTGTGAATAAAAAAGATCTAAAGGGATTGATTCTCTGTTATAAACTAGACACAAACCAGAAAAGTGCCTTTGGTTAAATAGGCATGATTGTAAGTAACTGTTAGCAGACTGTTGGGTGGAATTGCTCTTTTTGGTCAGAAGGGCCAATGGCACAGGATTTGCAGCCTTGCTTCAGGATTTGTAGCTAACACTACCATTACATTGGAAGGAAGTTGTATTAATTTGCTCAGCTACACAAAGTGCACATTAACACATGCAAGCACATCATTAAGTCAATGCATTCATGAGAGTTTAAAAATACCTCCGTTGGCTCCTCAGTATCTGGGTGCCTCCGACTGATACTTACCCATGGACCTTAAGCTGCTTTGGTTTGGCATTAGAACTCATTATCTACATGCTCATCTATTATCTGCCATGTTTGCTTGAAAATTATTAGCAAGTCACGACAGCTAAAAATGACATTATGTACGTGCAAACATTGTCAGAGACACAAACCTGTAATTTTGCAGACTGTAGCCAGGGAACTCTCCCCACATACACACTAATGTAAGGGGAATTTTTTTCCTTCTTCATTTTAGAAAAATAATCATAAGTTTATTATCAAAACTATTAATGTTGAGAAGTTAAAATCTGTTTGTATGCCAGTAGCCATGGCAATAATAGTTTTCTTCCTGTAGGATAAAAGATGTATTAAAATTCAAACTGCCTTATCAATTAAAAATTACATCTCGTTAAAAATACGTTATTAATGTATTACGATTCATATAACTAGCGTATAAATTACATACTAATTAATATATCTGGAACAATTCTAAACGGAATAGAGCATAAACAATTGTGTAATATTAGTACCTTCACAGTAACATTGTTTTAATTTGGCAGGTTAATATTTGGAAGAGGATGTAGTTTCTTCAGTCAGAACTTTACTTCAAATTCATTGGTCAGTTAGCAGGCAGTAACCGGAAGTAGCAACGTTAGCCTGACTGACTAATCTCACCGTCCCCCGATAAGAAAAAATAAAAAAAATAAACATTTTTATGTTTGTGTAAGAACAGGTGTGTGTTGTGTATTTGATATTCTAGTCTTCGCGATGACGTAGCTTATTTAAGGCTTAATAAACGGAGGGAATGAGTGTTTGACCGACCGTTAGCAGCCATGTAGCTAAAGCAGCTAACAACAGAAACTTAATCAGTATTTCTGGCTCTGACGCGTTTAAAAGTTTTTGCTTTGAGACTACAGGACAAGTCAGTCTGTACCTCTTCTGACCTTGTTGTCAAGCTGAGGACCGAGAGCCTGGAGACAGAGTGGACACAGAACTACTGACCAAGGTAATAGACTCTACTATTACACTTTATTTGATCAGATACCAAATTGTGTTTGTCAGGAGAAGATACAGAATGTCTGACTGAAACCTATATATTATAGAACATATGAAGATTGAAGGCAAGGACAGTGGAAAGAAAAAGTCAACTGGATTGAGGATGTCTGAGGTGATGAAGGTTGAAGCATATGAAACTGGAGGACTCAGGATGGAGACCCCCATACCTGCAGCATCCACATCAGAACTGGAGCACAATGAAGACAAGAAGGATCTCAGTAAGTCACACACATTGGTTTGTCTGAGGGAGAAAAGTACACGTAAAAAGGTGTATCACCTTCTAAATGACAGAACAATGTCCTATGAAGATTGTGTTGGATGTAGAATAAAGCCAGGGCTGTGAAACTGCAAGCTCCTCATCGACCCATTGGAAAACATGCATTTTTGGGGTAACAATTAAGGGGTCCAGAGCTCATCCATTTGTCTCCTAAAGCCAGTAACAAAAAGGGCTTTACGGTTTTTGAACAAACACTTCAGGCGGCAGACACTATCAAAATATCTCATGCATTTTGGGGTGTGCACCGATTAGTTGACCTTGTTTTTTTGATTATGGGTGATCAGCAATCAGCTGATACATGTGAAACTGAACTTATCCACTGATCTTATTTACCTCTGCCATGGGAGAGGACTGCCTGCCCAGAAAACTGCAATTGCTGCACCGCTAGTATTTTTATTTTCATCTTTTAATATTTTCTTACGTATGATGTTTCATAATTTATATTTGGTGCTTGTTTACATCATTGGTAGGGTTGCTATCCTTTTGGCTAACATGAGTAAATGTATATTTAGCTTACTTATGATAAATATAAATATTTAGTAGATTTTGTTTTGTGTATTAGATTTCATTGTTTTACTTTTATGATTTGGAGGTAATTGTAAAAAAAAAAATTCTGTGTTTCAATGATTTCAGATGTTCACATGATGGGAGCTAAAGAAGAGGTTCCCCATGACTGGAGCTCTAGTTTGGACCAGCAGAACTCAAACACCGCCCACATAAAGGTGGAAGAGGAGGAACTAAGCATCTATCTGAAGGAAGAGCAGCTTACTGTGAAAAGTGAGGATGAAGAGAAACAGGTCATGGAGCAGATCAAAACTGAAGAAGAAAGTAAGACAGACAGAGCAACCAGGAGCACAGCAGAGAAGAGAAAATCAGATTGCTGTGGAGGACCAGAACCAGACAGGAACCCAAATCCAGCATGCTTTTCTCAACAAAGTGAGATGATGATTCACAAAACGAGCCAAAGTTCTCAATTGTGCTCTAAACCTGCTGTTCAGAGTGGAGTACAATCAGGAGAAAAGCTGTTTCGTTGCAGTATTTGTAGCAAAAGTTTCAAAAACAAGAAATGCGTTAGGTTGCACATGATGGTTCATGTACAAAGCAGGAACCATAGATGTGACCTTTGTGGAAAATGTTTTAAAAAAAACAGTTGCCTTCAGGAACACATTAGAGTCCACACTGGAGAGAAACCATTTGCCTGTGATGTTTGTGGTAGAAGGTTCCATGCGAAAACAATTCTTAGAGATCACCTAAAGGTTCATTCAGGAGAAAAACCATTTTCCTGTGATACTTGTGGTGCAAGATTTAAAAGAAACGTCTGTCTTACGAAGCACTCGAAGATCCACGCTGCAGAGAGACCGTTTGTCTGCAGCCTTTGCAGTAAAGAGTTTGTGCACGAAAATAATTTCACGAGACACATGCGTGTTCACACAGGGGAGAAACCGTTCATTTGTGGTTTTTGTAGTAAAGGATTTCCTCTACAAACTCGTCTTAACAGTCACATGCGCGTTCACACAGGAGAGAGACCCTACAATTGCAGTGTATGCAGTAGAGCATTTTCATATCAAGAGACTCTAAAGCGACACATGTCTGTCCATACTGGAGAGAAACCATACACCTGCAGTGTTTGCAGTAGAAGCTTTTCACATAGTGATACTCTAAAAACCCACATGCGTGTTCACACTGGTGAGAAGCCATTTGTTTGTAGTGTTTGTAGTAGGGGATTTTCACAACAGAGATACCTTAATGGTCACATGAGTGTTCACTCAACATAGAGTCTTGTTTAATTTCAGTGTTTGTAGTTGACAAGCAGGTCTAAGAAATTGATGATTGTATTTTAAGGTCTTGGAAGGAGACACAGATCAAGCAGCAACAGATCTCCACTTAACAGAGGTTTGAGAGGGTAGATTTTATGAAAAGTATTTTGCTAAACGCTCCTTCAGCTTTCTTCAAATTTTCAGTTGGAAAGACCGGAATGAAGTCATAATTCCTACTAGGAAAGTTGGAGCTCACCAGGCAACTCCATGTTTTCCGTCAGCCGTATGTGCATGTGTAGAATCTAGTGAAAGTTGTTAAAATAGACTATTTTCACTTAACAATGTGTGTCTCATTTAATCAGTGGTGCTCACAAAGCTGTAGGATATTTACTGAACATTTCTTAGTCTGTTTCAATGTATAAAATATGGAGAGATATATATACTAACCACCTTGTACTTTTAGTTGGCACCAATACAAATGGCAAATCTCAGTTTTCTAGCCTGAGACCATAATGCTGTATTAAGGTTTGAGGTCCAACTCTCTCAGGTTTTAGTTCCTGATGGATCCCCACCTCCTTTGGGAGGAAAACCCTCAAAAAGTTTGTATTCAGGGTGGTGAAGGATTTGACCAAACCCCTATATATTTTTTTTCTCTTAATGTCTTGCAGGCATATGGGTCCTGTAAAGAGAGCAAATATCTACAGACTGACTGGTGCTTCCTGTCAGACAGGAAGTCTCTGTGATCCACCTGCAGATGGATTCAGAGATGTAGGTGCCTGGAGAGTTCAGATGTTGAAATATGAATTAGCACAAAACAGAGCATGCTAAAATATACTCATCTGTGATGGCACTGAAATAATCTTAGGGGCAACCTGCTAAGGCAAATATCTAATAGAAGACATTATATGATGTAAATCTAAAGAAAATATGTTGTAGTCAACTCTAAAAAGGATTTGTGCAATATTTTACATTTCCACCAGGCAAATAGCATTTGATATTTGTTGTTTCAAAGCAAAGTATTTAGATAAGCTGAAATTGTTATGCTGCCTGCTAATATTTTCTCAAAAACCCTAAGCTACTTTTTTAAACCATTCAAAACAGTGTAAGAGAAAGGTCAGGATTACAAAATAGATTGAACCTACTGACGGACACTCTTTTAATTCTGTATAACAGTCTACACCCAGCAAACCCAGTAAGTGCTTTATATCCTTGTTTATGGTAATTGTTTCTGTATTCCAGGAAATGGTGTATTTCTGCATAAAGTTTCAATTATCTCAATACACTCATGCATTTTGTAGAACCAGCACTTTTTCCACAATTATGTACTTTTTCTTTTTGACATTAACATATATTCTCAACTTTTACATGATATCTGTGTTAATTCTTATGTGCCTCTGTGCGATTTCAACATTGAGAAATAAATGGTAATTTTATTGGCTGCTTTATTTGTGAATTAAATACTTTCTTCAGGAAGTATTAGATATGCTTAAAAACATTCATTTTTAAAACTGACTTTCTATAGACTTTAAATTGGGAGATGAATCAATTATCCCAGATTTTATTTTGAAATCTGGGCGATTAGGTTTTCTCAGCAACTTGTTCAGAAAAGCAATTTCTCAACTAATTGCACATAAGAAAGCAGGTGAGATGAGAGGTGAGTGGAAAAAGCAGGAAAGAAGCTGCAATAATATCAAGACTCAATTTCAATTTAGACACTGAATTGAACAGTTCACTATTTAAAAAAGTAAAAGCCGACATCAGTGGTGTCCAAAGTCATCCTGCATGTTTGGTCTTCAAGAATATCAAACAACGGAAAAAGATAATTAAACACAACTTTATTCAATTGTTTTGAATTTATTTTTATTTTATTTTATTTCCTTGGAGGAAATAAAATCTCAGAAGTGTTTTTTAAGTACAGAATGATCGGTTAACTTTGAGCAATGTTTATGTAACCCAACATGAGCTCTTTACAGCTAAAAAAAAACATTAAAAATTAAATTTTTGATCGCAGTAAGCATCTAAATTTACCCAATATTTCGAAATGCAATTTAGTACTGTTACTAAACAAAACTGTGCCCACATAATGCAGAAATGGATTAAAGACAATCTAGAAAAATTAACTGATTAACCGACTACCAGCACATTTAGTTGTGAACATCCATATGTTTCTTCAAATTTTCTCAGTGTGAAAAGGCTTCACTGCAAAAGGTCTGTTTCACATGTGAACATATGTGACTCTTTAGTCTGACTGAATGTGAAAATCCTTTGTGGCAAAAGCCACAAATCAATGGTTTCTCTCTTAATCATAAACATCTGATGAACTGGAAATAATGAAACGCAGAAACACAATTTTATAAATGAAATTACATAGACTGTCAGCGTAAAAAAAAAGAAATATATTGAACATTTTCACAATACATATATTTTTTAGATCAGGTGTAGTGATTAGAAGACCATCAGCAAAAAGATATCGTTAAGGACACTTTATGGGGCTGATTTTATTTTTTGAGATATCAGAATAAGTTAAAAAAGACAAAAAAATCAAATCAACCAGTAACTCAGTTCTATCCAAACTCCTTAATCAAACCATGTAGGAACCCTGGACATAAAACTGTTGGAAGCTTCATTCCAGTCTGTAAAAGACCTGGTTGAGCATATGGTGTCTGTTGGAATACCTGAGTGGCCCTAGATGGACATCTGACATTTTGAAAGAGTGCCCGGTCAATCCATGATTTTTGATGTCTTTCCATCTCCTCCAGTTCTGATGTGGATGCTGCAGACATGCTCCCACCTGAACCCTCCAGGTTCATCTGCTTCAACCTTCATCATGTCAGGGATCCTCACTCCACCCCGGACTCTCCTTTTCATAATCCTCATCTTCAAACATCACATGTTCCAGGAGGTTTCTGGTAATATAACCTGGATCTTTTGTGTTTCTGCTGCCTGAAACTGAAATCAGACAGAAGTCAGCCTCTGATCCAATAAAGTGTATTGATAAAAAAAATGTAAACGATAACAGACCTGAAGCTGCAGAGCTTCATAAGAAAATAACTTAAATTCGCATTTCAATTCCAGTGTTCAGAATCGAATAAGCAACAATGATTTGTCTTATTGACTGGTGAAACAAAAGATAGTAGAGAAATGCATTTGAAAATTGAGCTTTATTGTGAAAAGCGGAAGTACAAGAGCTTAACTTTTCATTCACTGATTCGTGAGGCGGAAGTAACCAGATATAAAACGCTAGCTTTAGTTTTTAATTCCCGTTTGATAAATGGCTTAAAGTTTCTGGAAGGAAAGTGTAGTGCTGATGTTTCAGACCATATACTCGACATTATTCGTGAGGATATTGCGTTGATATGTTTGCTTCGCACATTTCTAGCCTTTGTTGCAGTGCATACTGTAAAATAATGGGCCGTTAGCTACCGTGGAGCTAAAGCAGCTAGCTGCAGAGACGTTTTAGGTGACTTGTCAGGGTTGTGCGACTGAAACATTGATTTACTAAAAAAATGTGAAGATTGAAAATCAAGGAATGTAAAACGAGAAAATCCCAGGTGACTGAGATGATGAAGGTGGACGCAGATGAACCTGGAGGCTTCAGCTTGGAGCCTCCCAGACCTGCAACGTCCACATCAGAACTGGAGAAAAAGACACAAGACAACAAAGATCTTAGTAAGTTAGAAAAACAGGTAAAGTTCTCTCTTGTGGTCAAAAAAAAAAAAACTCTTGCCACTCTACCTAATTGTCAACAAATTCACTCATCCATACAATTTGCCAGCACTGCTACATTGATGGTTAAAATGAAACTTGCACAATTTAACTGAATTCAAATGTACATTATTTCAAGCTTAGGCAAAGAACTTAAATGTAGACCATGATGAGCAGTAGTTTAGGTTTTCCAGATTAATTAAACTATGTTTATAATCGAAACCGCTCGATTCTAACTCCTCTGATGTTCATCTCTTTCTTTTCAGCTCTAGAAGATGGAAGATGGTTAGGTTGGGGAAACCATCATATAAATCTTTATTTCCTGACCTCAATCAGCAGAAACGAATTGACCGGCTGTTTAAAAAATTGAGTTGCCTATTTTCTACAGAGCTTCTACCTTACAAAAGTGCAACGATGTACATAACATCCTTCTCTTTAAAGCACTGTGCGACTGATAAGAAATATATCAGAATATATTTGTGGTGGCCACTCTCAGTCTAGTGGTTGGTGTAGGCATCCTAAAATGGGTTAATGCTGTATATTCTTGGGATTTTTATGAGTTCCTTTTGTTCCCTGCAATAGAGAACATCCAACTTTTTAGTTAACTTTCTCATTTCCAAACATTTAGACTTTTTAGCAATGTTATTTAGCTGTTGCTTTTTAACTCAGATGTTAAGAAGAATGTTGTCTCTTTATCTAAAATATTAAATTTTTGTAAAATTGTCAGCCATAATTAATGCCCATCAATGTTATATCTTTCCCAGTCCCTGAAATTTTGGAGATTAAAGAAGAGTTTCCCAATAACATAAACTCCACTTTGGACCAGCAGAAACCAGAGCTTCCTCTCATAAAGGAGGAAGTAGAAGAGGAGCAGCGGATCAGTCAGGAGGAAGAGTTCCTTAATGTGAAGATTGAAGATGAAGAGAAACCTCAGTTGTCAGAACTTCATCAAATCAAAACTGAAGATGACCTAGAGACAGAAGTTCCAACCAGAAGTTCACTTGAACCTGTTGCAGAGAACTTTAGACAACCAGATGGTGACCCAGAGCCTGTATCTCCCTCCCAGCAAAGTGACATGGCAGATGGAGAGAAATCATTTGGCTGCAATCTTTGTGGCAAAAGATTCAGACGTAAGCATTCTGTAAAATTACACATGATAACTCACACAGGTAAGAGAGAGCATAGTTGTGATCTTTGTGGTAAAGGATTTGTAGAAAAGCGTTCTCTTCAGACACACATGAATGTCCACACTGGAGAGAAACCTTTCGCCTGTGACGTTTGCTGTAAGAGTTTTAAGTCAAAGCCGAATCTTAGAGCCCACGTACGTATTCACATGAGCGAGAAACCCTATACTTGTGGCGTTTGTAGGAAAGGATTTTCAGCCAAAAACAACTTGAACATACACATGATTGTTCACACGGGAGAGAAACCATTCGTTTGTAGTGTTTGTAGTAAAAGATTTCCAGTACACGCTTATCTGCGGCGTCACATGTGTGTGCACACGGGAGAGAAACCGTTTATATGCAATGTATGCAGTAAAGGGTTTTCAGAGAAGAACAAATTACACAAACATATGGTTGTTCACACAGGAGAGAAACCGTTTATTTGTAATGTTTGTAGTAAAAGATTTGCCCGACAAGATTGCCTGCAACGTCACATGTGTATTCACACAGGAGAGAAGCCATTTGTCTGCAGCATTTGCAGCAAAGGATTTTTACAACCAGCTCTTCTACAGAGTCACATGTGTGTTCACACAGGAGAGAAACCATTTAGTTGTGGTGTTTGCAGTAAAGGATTTTTATCAAAGAAGACTTTAAATAGACACATGGTGGTTCACACAATAGAAAAACCATTTTCTTGTGGTGTCTAGTAAAGTATTTACACGACAGGAGACTCTGCAGAATCACATGTGTGTTCACACAGGAGAGAAGCCCTTTACTTGCAGTTTTTGCAGTAAAGGTTTTCAGCAAAAAAGTGAATAGCCATGTGGTTATTCACACGGGAGAAAAATCATATTGCTAGTGTTGACATTAATGGGTTTTCACACTGACTTTAAACTAAAGTACTTCACAAAACGTGTCATCTGCCATTCTATTTAAAACAGTAGGTAATGCTGGACGTGGCAGTTTTTTTGTCTTGTTTTTGAGGCAGAGAAATTGATTTCATCGACTGTATTTTGATGTAAAAGCTGAACTAAGGAGATGATTTGAAAGTTAGAAACGGCTAAAAACTGCACAACTCATTTGTTACATTATATGTTTTGGAACTATGTCATACGGAGCCCCCGAGGGGATATGGGGATTTTTGTTTCTTTTGCATCCCCTTGCAAAACTTTTGCATCCGAGGTAACGCAAAAGTACTGCTAGGGGACGGAAAAGTATTGCGAGGGTACACAAAAGTCCCCTAGGGGGCTCCGTAATGTCAAACTATATTGACCCTGTGTAAATAAAATAAATATTCTAAAAGATCTTAAAAGCTTGAACTTTTGTCTGTTTTGTGGGGGGGAGCAATATACATAAAAATCACTAGGAATGATGCAGATGAATCTCCAAGCCTATATTTAACAGCATTCAAGTAAAATGAATTTTTAACGATCAGTACCCTACATAGCTTTAGTATATAATTTTGGAGTATATCTTCTACTGAAGAACTGAATCAAAAATAGAGGTCAAGTATGACATTGATGACAGGATGTATAAAAGACAGTAGTATTAAATGTTTTTACGCAGACATATTAATGGTTTTCAATTAACTAGTATGGAGCACAATAACTACTAACTTTAATGCATAAATTTCATATATGAAATAATATAAATCAAAGACTCAGAGGCTTACCCATTTGACAGCAAGTTCACAAAAAAGCTCTAAAACTCCAAAGTTTTCAAGAAAAAACGATCACAGAATAATAAAAGAACTCAAAACACTTCAGAGTTACAACCAAGAAATTCTTTTATATTTATTTACCCAAGTTATCATTCCCATCTACAGAGGACGGTTTTCTATGACAGACTTGAACAATTTTGCTTGCAGCAAAATTAGCGCAACACTTTCTCTGCACTAGTTACATAAATACAACTCTGATGACAAAATAGAAAGATGTTGACAAAGCAAGAACACCAACCTGAACACGCTGCATGGAGTGAACTCTGCTGGTTGGAAGTTACGTGGTTTTGTAGTTTGCAGACCTGCACTTTTAGTCCATTTAATCCAGTTTATTAAACAAAAAACATCCTAATAACAGACTACATGTTATATTGAACAAATATAAATAAATAAATACATAATATTTATTATTTAAATGTATTCACATTTTAGACTGAACACTAATAATGTCTACAATCCAACATATATTCTATTCAAAAACACGATAAATGGGGAAAAGAAGACAAATATGTTAAACTGGGGATTTTGGATTTTATTTTGTACACACATGGGTCATGTATAGTTTTACGTCTTATTTGTTTTTATTAAGGTAGGCACTAAGTATTAAATTGTATTGCTAGCTTTTAACACCATTCTTGAACAAAACATTTCCCCCTTAAAAGTCCTACTTTTGTGTTCACAGAAAACCAGTTTCACAAAGCATGCCATGGCAGGTGGACAATTCTGAGAAATGAAATACAATTAATTAAAAAAAAGTCATAAAACTATTTTATGACATGTTATTAATTCAAATATATCTAAACAAAAATTCCGTTGTACTGAAGATACTGATGAAGTAGCGTGATCTCCTTTCAGGAGACAACAAGCAGCAGAGGGTAGCTGTAGCAATGACAACATGACAATCAGACATCTGATGATTTACTGAATACAGTTTTTTTTTCAAACATTGTTAAATAATTTCATGTTTGGTGGACCTCTGCTGTTGTTTCCTGCCAGTTTGATTAAAAATACTCATTTTTATTTTGTAATAACTGGACAGTATTTCATGCAATTGTCTTGTACAGTTTATTATTATCATTGCTGTTGTTAATTTTGATTTTTTTATTTACAGTGGATCCGTTTCCACTTTGTAGCAGTTCAGAGCTCTGCCACAGAAAATCTGCAGCCTCTTACTGAAGGCTCTCTGTGTTTTAGTTGACTTCTTCAGCAAATGTATCGCTGCCATTGTGGTGACATTAATGCACTTCAGTCATGTCTAAAAACACAACACGCAACGATGTGAGGGTTTTTATTTGAACTCATTTGGACAAACTGTGCTCATCTCAAGTTTTATGTATTCCATATTTACAGCTGATCAGAGAAGTGAAATATTTTCAAGAGGTTTCATCAAACACTGTTAATTTCAGAGGATAATTCTCCAGAGAGCAGGGATTAAAATAACAGTTGACTGTAAAAGCATTTGGACAGATTTCTCAATCATAAGCTACAGCCCTTATGAACACCCATGTGTCTGTTCAGATCTCCAGGTCGGGAAAACGCTTTACTGCAAACACTGCAAACAAATGGTTTTTCTCCTGAATGGACTCTCATATGACTTTCAAGATGAATCTTTTGGTTAAAGCGGCTTTTACAGACATCACAGCTGAACGGTCTCTCCTCCGAGTGGAACCTCACGTGCCGCTGCAGCTGTATTTCATTCATGAAACATTTACTGCAGTCCCTACAGCTAAACGGTGCTGTATGGACCTTCGAATGACTTTTTAGATACACCTGCCGAGAAAATCCTTTACTACAAACACCACAAGTAAACGGTTTCTCTCCTGTATGGACGTACATGTGACTCTTCAGATTCTGCTGGAGAGAAAATCCTTGACTGCAAACACTGCATATGAACGGTTTCTCCCCTGTGTGAACACGCATGTGACTCTTCAGTGTCTCTTGCAGGGAAAATCCTTTACCGCAAAAACTGCAGATAAATGGCCTCTCGCCCGTATGTATGCGCATGTGCCTTTTTAGATTCTCATGTCGGGAAAATCCTTTAGTACAAACACTACACATGAATAGTTTCTCTCCCTTGTGAGCGCGCATATGAGTTTCAAGCCTCTGCTGCAGTGAGAATCCTTTGCTGCAAACACTACAAACAAATGGTTTCTCTGTCGTGTGAATCCACATGTGCCTCTTGAGATTTTCGTTTCTGATAAACCTCGTACCACAAACGTCACAGGAAAAGGGTTTTTCTTCTGAGTGGACCTTCAGGTGACTTGTGAGATTACTCTTTGCATGGAACCGTCTACCACAAACGTCACACGCAAATGGCTTCTCTCCAGTGTGCCGTCTCATATGCGTCTCAAGAGAACGCTTTACTTTAAATCCTTTACTGCAAATGTTGCAGATGTGTTCTATTTTTTCATTGTGAATCACCATGTGTAATTTAAAATTCGTCTCACGTTTAAATCGTTTGCCACAAACATCACAACCGAATGATTTCTCTCTCGCGTGGCCCTTAGGTGAAAGTTTGGAGCACAGTTTATGTCTTTTACCTCTTCTGTGAACCATTATCTTACTCTTCTGATTGGGACATACTAGATCTGGGTTCCTATCTGGATCCAGTTGGGTTTCCAGCTGTTCAGTTGAGCTCCTGTCTTCGGTTTTGATCTGATGACACTCTGATAACTCAGTTTTCTCTTCATCTTCCCTCTTCACGGTAAGATGTATTTCCTTATGACTGATGCATTGTTCCTCCTCTTCCTCCTTTATGTGGGACGGCTCCAGGTCCTGCTGGTCCAAACTGGAGTTCCAGTCATGGGGAACTTCTGCTTTGATCACCAGCATCTCATGGAGTGGAAACACTGACAATCACATGGACATTAGTGTTAGAAAAAAATTATATCTGCACATTCACACACATGTACATATATACATAAATATCCCACTAAAAGCTAATAAAAAAAATGTTTAGCAAAAATCTAAATAAACAAACTGAGGTGAAAGAAGATCTGGAAATAAAAAAATATTTCAATACCCTGGGTTTCTTTTCATTTCTGACCTCTCCACACTTGAAAGCCTTCAAATCAAATTTTATATTATTCCATTCTTTTAAAGACCATAAAAGAAGCTAGCATAAATTAAATAAAATAAGTACCTTCTACTACTGACTGTTTCCTTTGGCAGGAAGTAACATGTAGTTAGAAACGTGTAGCTCTAATCACTGGCTACTAAAACTTTAGCCTGACATGTCAGTTCTTTCAATCATACTGTGACAACTATTGTCTTTTTTTATGACCAAATTTGGTTGTTGTTTCTTTTTCTTGTGTCTGTAATTTGCTAAATTGAAACTACAGTTTTGCTTTGGAACTGCAAAAGTTAGACGACATTCCTTCTGTTGGATTATGTGAGAAGCTCTGTGACGGACTGCTATCTGTGAAGAGAGTCCTCTGAATCCAGACAAACCAAAGTGAGCCACTTACTGAGATCTTTGCTGTCTCGTGTTTCCTCCTCCACTTCTGATGTGGATGCTGCAGGTATGGGAGGCTCCAAGCCGAACCCTCCAGGTTCATCTGCTTCCACCTTCATCATCTCGGTCATCCTCACCACATTTGGGATTCTTCTTTTCACAATACTTGTCTTCAGTCTTCACTTGCTCTTGAAGTCATATGATCTGGATCTTCTGTTTTTCTGCTCTCTGAAATGGGAATCAGACACAAATCAGCATTTGATCAAATGAAACGTATTAAGAGAATATCTAAGCCACAGGGTCTGATACCTTGGTCAGTAGTCCTGGGTCCACTCTGTCCCCAGCTGGACAACAAGGTGAGTCCACAGCCAGTGTTTTCCCACAAGCCCGACAGTGAACTCCAGCACTAAAGCATTAACTTTTAAAAGCCTGAACGTTGTTATTAGTTGATTTATCGCTAATACGTACAGTTAATGGGTAACGGTCCATTAACTGTGCTAATGAAGGCTAATTACAACACGTACTGTTCAATCAGGATTGGTCATAGTGATCAAGGTTTACAATACACACCCAGCAGAGATATCTGTCCAGCAAAGAGTTTGAGACATCAACTATATACCCAGCTTTCCCCCGGTCTTAGCAACTCAAGCTAACGCTGTTACATCCAGTTACTTCCTCCTCAGTGACCAATCAGCGACAGGTAAAGTTCTGCGTTGAAAAGGTACTTCCGTTGTCAATTTTAGTATTTCACAATAAAGAAAATAGTTTTTTTTAAAAAATCCATGATAGACGGATGCTGATATTGTTGTATTTTATGTTTTTTTTTATTGACTTATAAAAACATAATCAGAGAACAGGCATGTCCAGTCAGATTGGATTACGCTTAGCCGTGTCTAAGTACCGTCTTTGATTTATTTTTTAAAGGATGAAACATAGAGACTCCTGAGGATTGCTTTAAAATGCTGCCTAATCAGTCATTCACACTTTGCCTGAACGATTTGTACTCTTGCTGAACAATACTAACTCTGCAAACTAATCCCACCAGCTCCTCCCTGTCTCCTCAAAGACATGGGAAGTCCTTCTGCTGTCTGCTAAGGCCAGCACATCTTTGGTGACCCCCTCACTGCCACCTGAACACCTCTCTCCATTGAGGAGAAAAATGTACACAAACTGTTCAAAGGACAAAACCACCAAAAGATAAGTTGGAAATTATATTTTTCTGTGACTTCTGGCTCTGATCCTATGAAGCTAGCTAAACGCAGAATCTTACTCTTCCAATGACTTTCAGTCTGTTTCTCTTGTGTGAGATTGATGTTGGTTTGCTGATCTGACAAAAAAAAAAAATGTGTACATTTCTGTTAAATTTCTGGAGGGTTCATTATTTCTATTTAAGAACAGGACTTTTCCCGTTATTTCTGCTTCAAGATAGTTTTTTTTTTGGCTCCCCAGCCTTGGAAAACACATAACGATGAAAAAAACTCTTTGTGTCCAATGTGGCGTCATTTGTCATCTATCATGTGATTTTCAGCTGGTAGAAACAAGGATTCAATGGGACTTTGGCTGACAGGTCTTTGGTAAACCATTGTAACATAAAATTGTATTTGTCTGATGATCTGATTATGTTCTCGATGTCTAAAAATGAGTTTTGACTAGATTCAACATTTTTACTGTCCTGAATTGTAATTTGAGATATATGAATTTACTTTCTGGGAAGTAAAAAGAAGAACTGAAGATTTCTTCAATTACTTTATGAAGGATCAAATGTCTTTTAAGATATTTCAAGTATCTCAATTTGTAATTTAAAGCCCCCTACACATTTGCCTAAACAGATCAATTATTTAACAAATCAGTAATATCATTTTGACTAGTCATAATATTATTTCATGACATGAAATTGAAAAGGTGTAGATTTTAAAATATTCAAGATATTCTGTAATTTATTAATCTAAAAAGACATTTTGACTAGCCAAAATGACAGTTCCAGATTGATGCAGTCTTACAGAAATATCTCCAGGTGCAGTGTGGGTGGATTCATTTGTTTGGCAAACTTCCCATTACATTATAAACCTGAAAAGAAGAGAAAACTTTTTATTTGGAAATGAATATGTTGGAAATGAAATTGGAAGCTGTGTTTTTCCTCTAGTCTCAGTGAGTCTCCATGAACTGAACCGAAGATGTTCTGTTCTTTGCTCACAGGAGCTATACTGTGTGTAATTTGTCCTGTTGAAATATACATCCATTATAGTTTACTTTTTAACATCTTTTGTTTTGTTGTGAAATGTTAATTGGTTGAAGAGGAAGTGTCTTTCCGAATCAGAGCTTTTGCTTGTCATTCATTGGTTAATGAGAAGGACGTAACCGGAAACGGAAATGATCGCCTGACTGACTAGTTTCCGAAACAAGAAATATTTCAAAGTTCGTTCTGTGTTTGTAACAGACTTGTGAGAGTCTGTGTGAGGATTTCGCTTTCACGTGTTAGATTTGAACCGCTGCGATTATTTCCAGACGAAATTAGCAGTACATAATGTAATTAGTCTACATCAGCGAAGCGAAATAACTATTAGCTAAAGCAGCTAACAGCAGTGAGATAATTAGTGTTTGTGGCATTTAAACCTTTTACATTTCATAATGTAGTACCACAAGAAAACTTACTGTGAAGGTTGAAGACAACTATTACGAAGACCTTCATCGTCTTCAGCCTGAGATGATGAAGGTAGAAGCAGATGAACCTCGAGGGTTCAGCCTGGATCCTCCTGTTCCTGCAGCATCCACATCAGAACAAGTGGAAAAACAAGACAGCCAAGATCTCAGTGAGTGACACACATTTGATCGTCTGTATTGGAGCAAATAAGCTCAGGCTGGATGTGTTATTATTATATATTTTTTAAAGTTTAGTTTCAGTTCACAGTGTGACTGTTTATATTTCTATTCTCATCACTGACTTCTTCAGATCTGTTTACTAAAGCCAACAGAACACACTGTTTCATTTTTAATCTTCTGTCAGTCCTTATGACACTATCTGACATCCGGTGACTCACATTTACTGTGCTGAAAGTATATTTGTATTTTCTTTTGAAAGACTTGGCTATGTAAAATCTTGCAATCATTTTCCATCTATGTCGCAAGTACTAGTATTCACTTTTAACCTTTAAATCCTCAAAGAAAAGCCCTTGGTTTATGAATCAGGAGAACAGCTATTTCTCTTAGTTTTGTCAACACATTTAACTTGACCTTTTTGGAGGAACAAAACCTTACAAGCTGAAATATGAACAGGTTATAGCCCTGCTCTACTTTGTATTTTTTGCTATAACGCAAACTATTTTCTTTTCAAAACGGCAACATTCATGTGTGTTTCAGAGACAACAGTCCAAATGTTGATTAAAGCAGAGGTTCCCCATGGTGGTAGTTCCAGTCTTGACCAGAAGGATCCTGAACCCCACATAAAAGAGGAAGAGGAGGAACAACTGATCAGTCAGGAGGAAATGCATCTTTCCGTGAAGAGGGAAGATGAAGAGAAAACTGAGTTATCAGAGTTTCATCAGATCAAAACCGAAGACGACCTAGAAACAGAAGATCCAACTAGCAGCTTAGCTGAACAGATTGGATCAGAACCTGATGAAGAGGAGTTTGGAGGATCAGAACCAGACAGAATCCAAGATCCAGGAGGCGTTTCACAACAAAGTAAGATGAGGGTTCAGAAAAAAGGCATAAGATCTAAATTGTGTTCCAAACGTAGGAGACAGATTGGAGTTGAAGATGAAGATAAACCCTTTGGTTGCATTGTTTGTGGCAAAAGATTCAAACGCAAGACTCACATTAAATTGCACATGATGATTCACTCTGGAAAGATAGAGTACAGCTGTGACCTTTGTAGTAAAGGGTTTAAAGAAAAGACTTCGCTTCTTACACACATGAGACTCCACACTGGAGAGAGGCCTTTTACTTGTGATGATTGTGGTAGAAGGTTCCATGCAAAGAGAATCCTTAAAACTCACCTGAAGGTCCATTCAGAAGAAAAACCGTTTTCTTGTGATGTTTGCAGTTCAAGATTTAAAATGAAAGAAACTCTTAAAAAGCACATGCGGATCCACCTCAAGGAGAAACCATTCGTTTGTAGTGTTTGCAGTAAGGGATTTTCACAACAAGAGAATCTAAAGAGTCACATGCGTGTTCACACCGGTGAGAAACCGTACATCTGTAACGTTTGCAGTCAAGGATTTTCTCTACATCAGACTCTAAAGAGACACATGTGTGTTCACACGGGAGAAAAACCATTTGCTTGCAGTGTTTGCCATAAAGAATTTTCGAGACAGAATTGTCTAAAGATTCACATGCATGTCCATACAGAAGAGAAGCTGTTTAGCTGTAATATCTGCAGCAGAGGATTTTCACGACAAGCCTATCTAAGAAAACACATGAATGTTCACATGGCAAGATTTGGCTGTAACGACTGTAGTAAACATTTTGTGAAGAAAATAGATTTGCTGCAACATGTGAAGGTCCACGCAGAGAAAAGCCCATTTGGTTGTGATGAAAATTTGATCAAAAATGTCATCTAGAAAACAGTGAGAGAAACTGATGGTAAAACAAGAAGCAAATGTATGAATCCACTACAAATGTTAATCCCATTTGACCTTTTTCCTGTAAAAATTCCAACACATTTAAATCTTTCCCTAGGATATCACCGCTATCATTCATGTGCTCAGTGCAATTTCCCTTACAAAGATACTGCAAATAGACATCTAATCACCAGGAAGTTAATAAGAGAAACAATTTCAAAACATGTTACCCATCTCAAAAATATGAACAAAAAAACCTTAATAGCAGGCCACTGACATTGCATGCAAGCCACAAAACTCATTATCAACACATTTTAAAGAGTCAAATCATTGCTCTTACTCACTGAGATAAATTCGATCAACACCTTGGAGGTTGAGATGTAAACAAAAGTTTTTTGCAGACATTAACCCCACAAGATCTTTTGTCAAGAGCATGATACAGAATCATCTTGTAAATAACTTGTCATGCAAAGCTGACAGTACTATGCTTCTGTTGAGTCTGATTTAAATGTTTTTAAATAATTAGGAATACTAAGAAAGTGTATAAAATGGCAACTAGAAAATAAATAGCAAACATGACAAAACTTTGTGGTCGTTTTCTTTTAACCATTTTGGATCTATTTTGACTTTTTATATGCATTGGAGAAATGTTTAAAGTAAAAAGAATACATTATAAACAAAATATCAAAGTTCTTGTGAAACACTTCCGTTTTAAACAGGAAGTAGGTTTTACATCTCCCTCATTGGACAATGAGGCGGAACTAGTCAGCTGGTTTGTTGTTAGCTTGACTGGAAGTCCCAATAGAAAAAACGGGATTATTCAGTAAAACAAATGCATAATTTATGTATCTGTCGCTACTCGAGAGTCTTCGTGGGGTTACGTGTTGTAGATGTTTATTTGTAACCGCAGTGATTATTTCTCCCCTCGGTATAAAATGTAGCTAGGCTGCATTAGCAAAGCGAATGGACTGTTAAGCTCCGTGAAGCTAAAGCTGCTAACAACACAGACCTCGTCGGTCTGAGGTAGACGCTGATAAAGTTCGTGGTTTAATACAACAAGACGAGTCCATTCTCCGAACTGGTGAGACTGTGGGGAAGACGGGATCAGGGGATACTTCCTCTGCCTCGTAGTCCAGCCGAGGGCCGAGAGGCTGGGGAATGAACCCAGAAACTGACCAGGGGGTCTCGCTTTGTTTTCTCAGTTCTCCTTTTTGGATCGGGTGCTGATTTGTGTCCGATTCCAGTTTGAGGCGGCAAAACGGGATGCGAATGAGACCTTAATCTACTACAACATGTAGAAGGTTGAAAACAAGCATTGTGAAAAGGAGAATCCCAGGTCCAGTGAGGATGACTGAGATTATGAAGGTTGAAGCTGATGAACCTGGAGGGTTCGGCTTGGAAGCCCCCATCCCTGCAGGTTCCACATCAGAACTGGAGGAGGAAACACAAGACTGCAAAGATCTCAGTAAGTGACACATTAGTTCGTCTGCATTGGAGCAAACAAGCTGGGTGAAAGTTACGAAAGGGCTGCTGTGCTGAAGGTGTAAAAGGCAAAGCATCAATAACCCTAAGTGATGAATATCCCAGGAGCCATTGCAGCAGAGGTAGAATGCGCCTTGAACTTCTAACACCTACAGTTGTAATGCCTCCACTGCTTGGCCTAAAAGTAACCAGGCATAAATTAACTAATTATGCAAATACGCAAACAAAAGGTCAGCCAAACTCTGGAAGAAAGCTGGATATATTTTTATAAAACATACCAAAGGCAACAACGTTTTAAGTTTCATTCTATTCACACTTCACCTGACTAAATCTGAATCTGGTTAAAATGTTTTAAGAAATTTCTGGTCACCACCAGCCCAGAAAGTTACTTATTATAGCTTGTCAATTATTCCTTTTTTATTTTATTTTATTTAAGATTCCCTTTATGTTTTGGGTAAACAGAACATGTGCATTCATATATTCTAATCATTCATTCAAACGCATTTTGTTTTCCTCCACATTGATATTTTTGTCAGTTGTGACGCAATTGATAACATTTTGACCTGAGTCTGATCAGAACGCTTCTGTCCAACAAGGTTTCTTTTTAAAGCACCACTATAGTTAATCTCAATTTTTCTCCAAACAGATCAACAGTGTCTTGGCATTCTCTGATAATAAGTCCTTATTAAAATTTGCTATGTGTTTGTTGTAAATAAAGCAACTGTTGGAGCAGGTTATTTAAAGTGACCAGAGGCAAACTTCCTGGTTTTTGTTGATTTATTTCTTGTTTGGAATGATGAAAAAGGTTTATGTCCTCAATTTTTAAAGTTCTGACATCACCTCCTCATCCTCATGTTCTTTGTTGCTCCTCATTGAACAGTCCCCTGCTGTTCAATTTAAGGACATAATTTTACAGGATTAGAACCCACCATCCACAAAAGTTTAAGACTCTCCTTCACTCACTTCAACATTGTCACCAATCAGTCATGTCTGTGTGTGCTCCAGTGTTCCCAGACCTTCAGATTGTGGTGGTTAAAGAAGAACTTTGTGATTCATGGAGCTCCAGCTCTGACCAGCAGGACCCCGAGCCCCCCCACATAAAGGAAGAAGAAGAGGAGCAGTGGATCAGTCAGCAGAAAGAGCAGCTTATTGTGAAGACTGAATATGAAGAGAAACCACAGTTATCAGATCTTCATCAGATGAAAACTGAAGGCAACACAGAGACTGAAGGCACGAGCAGCAGCTCAGCTGAACAGATGGAAACAGAACCTGATGGAGTCGACTGTGGAGGACCAGAACCAGACAGGAACCCAGATCCACAGTGTTCGTCCCAACAAATTAAGATAACTGTTCACAAAAGAGGTAAAAGATCTAAAATTAGTTCCAAGCTTACAACTCAGAGTGAAGTCCAAGCAGGAGAAAGGCCATTTGGTTGTGATGTTTGTGGCAAAAGATTCAAATGTAGAATTCATGTTGATTTCCACATGAAGACTCACACTGCAAAGAGAGAGCATAACTGTGATTTTTGTGGTAAAGGATTTCAAGACGACCATTCCCTACAGACGCATGTAAGGGTTCACACTGGAGAGAAACCTTTCGCTTGTGATGATTGTGGGAAAAGGTTTCATGCAAAGAATATTCTTAATAGTCACATGAAAGTCCATTCAGAAGAAACATTTCCTTGTGAGGTTTGTGGCTCAATATTTAAAAGAAAAGAAAGCCTTAAAAAGCACATGTGGACCCACACTTCACAGAGACCGTTTGTCTGTAGTGTTTGCAGTAAAGGGTTTTTGAAACAAGATCATCTAAAGGGCCACATGCGTATTCACACAGGAGAGAAGTCGTTCATTTGCAGCTTCTGTAGCAAAGGGTTTTCACTGCAACACAATCTGAAAAGACATATGGTTGTTCACACAGGAGAGAAACCACTGATTTGTACTGTTTGCAGTAAAGGATTTTCACAACATTTAGATCTGAAGAGGCACATGCGTGTCCACACAGGAGAGAAACCCTTTGTTTGTAGCGTTTGCAGTAAAGAATTTTCAAATCCTGGAGGTCTGAAAAAGCATATGAATTTTCACACCGCAGCGTTCAGCTGTAATGACTGTAGTAAACATTTTGTGGATGAAATGCAGCTGGAGCGACATGCGAGAGTTCACATAGAGGAGAGACCATTTGCTTGTGACATCTGCAAAAGCAGATTTAATCATAAGTGTCACCTTAAAAAGCACATGCGAGTCCATTCGGGGGAGAAACCGTTTATTTGTGGTGTTTGTAGTAAAGGATTTACACTGCAGGAGAATCTAAAGAGACACATGCGCACTCACACAAGGGAGAAACCATTTGAGTGTAGTGTTTGCGGTAAAGCATTTTCGCAGCATGGGAATCTGAAAAGACACATGGGTGTTCATGAGGGCTGCCTCTCATGATTATTGTGATGGTTGACGAATCACTCTGTAATTTCCCAACAAGTCTTTATTTAGCAGATTGGGAGAAAGCTGCTGTCATGGGATTTTTCTGGATGCATCTCTGATTCAACACCCTCATCATTGTGGCATTCAGCTCCAGGCGTTTTGGAAAAGAGATGCAATTAAATTAGGCACTCCGTCTCTACAGAATGATATCAATTCTTACAGTAAGTTGAGACATGTTTTAAAAAATATATTTGAAAATACAATTTTTCTGTAGCTGTATTTTAAATTATGGTTAGGCAAAATCCATTTTTAAAATCACAATAAATCATTCATTAATACGAGAAAACACAATAGGAGATTCAGAGCCAATTTCTGATCTTTGGGTTCAGTAAAGTATTTTATGTGAACCCATAATCTATTCATGTCTTTCACTCATTTTTTTTTTGTCTTAAGCAACTAGTGATGGTGCTGTTGGTTAAATCATTGATGTCCTTTGACTGTTTCTCCTTAAAAAGCCAGTTTGGTGATCTTGTTCTTTGTTGCTTCTGTCTTTGGTCACATTGTTCATGTCTGTGTTTTGTTTTTTTATTGTATGAGAATTGTTGTCAATGTTCAACCAATGAGTGATGTTTAGTGCCTAACCAACCTGAAAGTTAATCCTGGTTTCAAAGGCACCGCCTCTCTATCAGAGCTGTGTTTTCAGAAAGTAACGGCTATGCCTTGTAACTCTCTGTCAGCATAAATTATTTACGTAACTACAAAACGTTTGGCTTATTTTTGTTAAAATAAGCACCAGACGTTACAATGCTACATGGAACTTGGTTCCCAATAGTGTCTCTTTAAGGTAAAATGATCTGCATAGTAAAGTATGGGCACTAGATGTTACCTCTTCATTACTTCCTGCTGCCAGTTATTCACTTTCTAACTCGCCTCTCTGAAATATTAGCTTTTATTTAATCTTGTATAAAAACATGTTGTCTTAAAAAGTTTATAAAAAATCATGTTGCTAAATACATTGAAGTGTGTATAATAAACATATTTAAAAGCTGAACTGAATTCTGTTGAAATTGATCTATTTGTTCAGTAAAATGCCTTTAGATGACGGTTTTAGTGAATTATTGTAATTATAACCTTGATTGCATCGTTGCGTGTAAAGCATATATTTATGCTATCACTCCATGATATTTTGAATTGACATTAAATTAAGTGAGAACACCACCATGGGAGTGTGTGCTGCAGAGGATGACAAACATCAATGCTGATGAACAGCCATACTGCAAAATGAACCAACCTATTGAAACAAGAAGAGCATTTCTATCTGTGGCACCTTCTATAATTTCCTTGTTGAGAAGGACAATAAATGACGCTAAATAAAACTTAAAACTGTATAAAATTATGTGTGCATAAAGCAAATTATAGGCAGAGGATTTTTGTTCAAACTTGGCTCCATCGGGAAAATTGTTGAAATATAAGTATAAATTCAAATGTAATAATCTAGACTTTGGAATTGTATTTTCTACTTAATTTTTACTTGGGTTAAAAATATGTGTCCTCTCTGGTTTGTATCCATAATCCTCGTTGCTTACAGGTGATTCTTGTACTAATACTAACAGTACAGTAAACAGGGGGGGAGTGGTCACGTCTTTCCGGAAGTCAGCTGGGTTCCTTTCCTTATCTCTGATTGGTCAGTGAGGAGGAATGGCCCGGATGTAACGATGTTAGCTTGACTGGCAAAATCCCGACAAGAAAACGTGTTAAAATGTGTGTGAAACAAGTCCTTGCGTGACACCCTCGGTACATGGTAGTTTCTAAACGATGTTATTGTGTCTAGTTTGCTGTACAGAATTAAATGAGCAATGAGCTACTCTTATTTAATCGCAGAAATTAAATAAGCGACGTCCATCCTTGGACTTTATGAGGCTGTGGACGCCTCCTTGTGCAGCTGAAGACCGAGAGCTCGGGGATAATTACAGAGTGGACCCAGAACTACTGACCGAGGTATCAGACTTTCTGCTCTGCAGCATCTCTCCAGCTTATCCTGACACTTTCCTACATCAGATGATTTGTGTCTGATTCTACTTGCAGGAGACAGAACAACAAAAGGTACAGCAGGTTATATGACTGTAACCATAACCTACTCGAACATATAAAGCTTGCAAACAAGAATGTTTGAAAGAAGAATGGGCTAAAGATGTCTGAAATGATGAAGGTGGAAGCAGATGAACCTAGAGGGTTCCGCTTGGATCCCCACATACCTGCAGCATCCACGTCAGAGCTAGAGGAGGAATCACAAGACAGCAAAGATCTCAGTAAGTGACTCATATTATCTGGATTCAAACTCTGACTGGACGTCATAAATGTTTGCTAGACTCCAGAAAGAATTATAGTAATAAATGTAAGTACCAGATTCAGCTTTGATGGCTAACATTGTGTGCATAAACAAGATGTTTTTTAGTTTGTATAAATATGTTTGGCAAGCAGGCTGGTTCTACATACATTTATGAATACTATAATATTTTATTTAAAACCAACAAACATAATTTTCTTTCTGTTAAGGAAATCTTTTTGTCCCTCGGAAATATTTTCTGCAGAGAAAGTCTTAAATGCTGTCTGATTATTATTAATCCAACTTACATGATGTTTGCATTAATTGAAAGCCCTTTGATCGTTTTTTTTCTTTTTCTTTTTTCAGATTAGAGTATAATGAAGTTAGGAGTTCTTCCTGCAATCAGTGGATTGCTGGGTCCCTGTTTGTTTCTCTTGTTGTGTCCTTGGGCAAGACATTTCACTCACTTTATTGATGAGGAACTCTTTTAGAAACTAGGATACCTGACAATAGCCATGAACCAATGATTGTAGGACAGTAGTTTGATGTCAGTCCAATAATTTGAACAGCAGCCTATTAAATGCAGGCCATATTTTGTCAGAGGAAACAGTCAGTACATCCTTCTTAGTTTCATCTGAACTAATAATAAAGCTTATTTGGCCTCCATTTATTGGAGTGACAGAAAGGTGGCCATATGATCATTTTTATTCTCATTTTGGGATTGACCATTTCACTAGATTATATTTTGATTAGCTTATTTGTTTTCTTTTATATAAAAAGTAGAAAAAAACTGCTACAATTGTTCTTCAGTTGATTTTAGTTTATCTCTTGTGTGTTTCATTGTTCCCAGTCCATCAGATGTTGGTGATTAAAGAGGTTCCTCTTGACTGGAATGGCGGTTTGAAGCAGCAGGATCCAGAGTCCCCTTCTGTAAAGGATGAAGAGGAGGAATGGTGGATCATACAGGAGGAAGAGTTGCTTACCGTAAAGGTTGAAGATGAAGAGGAAACTCAGTTATCAGAACTTCACCAAATAAAAACTGAAGATAGCAGACAGACTGAAGCTCCAACCAGCAGCTCAGCTGAACAGACGGGACAGACACAGCATGATGAAGAAAACTTCGGAGGACAGGAACCAAACAGAGATCCAGTTGCTCTTTGTTACTCTTCCCAACAAAGTAAGATGACACCTAAGCTTTGTTCAAAGCTTACCGCTCCGATTGGGGAAAAGCCATTTAGTTGCAGTCTTTGTGGCAAGAGTTTTAAACGTAAGACATCAGCTAAATTACACATGATGACTCACATTGGAATGAGAGAACATAGCTGTGATCTTTGTGGGAAAGAATTTAAAGAAAAGATTTCTCTTCAGACTCATATGAGTGTCCACAGTGGAGACAGACCTTTTGCCTGTGACGCTTGTTGTAAAAGGTTTCATACAAAGAAACACCTTAAAGCTCATCTGAAGCTCCATACAGAAGAAAAGCATTTCACCTGTGATGTTTGCAACAATAGATTTAAGGTTAAGGAGAGTCTTAAAAAACACATGAGGAGCCATACCTCAGATAAACCATTTGTTTGTAGTATTTGTAGTAAAAGATTTTCTCAACAGGACCATCTAAAGAGACACATGGGTGTTCACACAGGAGAGAAACCATTTATTTGTAGTATTTGCAGTAAAGGATTTACACAACAAGTCAATCTAAAAAGTCATATGTGTGTTCATGCAACAGACAAACCGTTTATTTGTACAGTTTGTAGTAAAGGGTTCTCACAAAGAGAGAGTCTAAAGAGCCACATGCATGTCCACACAGGACAAAGACCGTTTATTTGTAGTGCTTGTGGTAAAGGATTTTTGCGGCAAAGAAATTTAAAGAGTCACATGAATGTTCACACTGGAGAGAAATCGTTTGTTTGTGGTGTTTGCAATAAAGGATTTGCTATTCAAAAGAATGTGGAAAGACACATGCGTGTTCACACAGGTGAGAAACCATTTGTTTGCAATGTTTGCAGTAAAGAATTTTCACTACAAGGGAATCTAAAGAGACACATGCAAGTTCACACAGGAGAGAAACCATTTATTTGTTGTATTTGCAGTAAAGCATTTCCACAAAAAGACACTTTAAAGAGTCACATGCGTGTTCACACTGGAGAGAAACCATTTATTTGTAATGTTTGTGGTAAAGGATTTTCATTACGAAAGAACTTACTGAGGCACATGTCTGTTCACACGGGTGAAAAACCATTTGTTTGTAATACTTGTAATGAAGGATTTTCTTTGAAAATTCATCTAAAAAGTCACATGCATGTTCATGCATAACTGCCTATTTTAAGAGTTCGCACAATGGTAAATTCTTGTCTTTATTAAAAATAGAAAATGTTCGTGTAATATGATTGAAATGTGTTGTAATAAAAGGGGTGTTGTAAAATATGTTAAAACTAAACTAATAAAAGTGCTTCAAAGCTGTTTGTATTGACGTGACTAGTTTCTTGTCAATAGGACCTGCGTGTCCTGTGTAGTTTAACAAATTTGCAAATATGTAGTCATAAAAATATCTTCAGTTTATATGACATGTTTTGTTGAGGATATATAATAGCTAAAATTCAAGCTGTAAACTGAGAATATCCTGCAGTATTGTTTTTTTATTTACAATATTTTATCGAAGCTTCTAATTTGACAGCTCTAAACCAATCTGTGGTCAGCAGGAAAGAACAGTTAAGACCTTAAAATCCCATTTCAGAGTGACTTTGAGTACCAAAACCATCAAGATATCAATCTGACTCTGAGTGTTTTCATCCCTTAATTGGCTTTTTTGTGGTCCTTTATTTTCTGACTTACAAGCTAAATGTTTGCTGCATTACATGATTGCAACAATAGGTTGATTTAAAGTTTATATTTTACTTGTTTGACAGGATTAGTAATCACATTCTTGAATGACATGATCTGTGTTGGTCTGAACAGATTGCAGCAGGTTGTAAACTACAGGTGGCATTGTGATACTGATGAAGAGGAGAAGAAGTATGAACTAAACTAAGTTTTGGCTCACTGTAGAAACCTGGACAGTTGGATTTGGGAGGAATCTGAGCCGAATGAGGTCAGTGATCAACTGAAAAACAGGAGTGAGAAAACACAGAAATAAGGATCTTCTTGCAGAAATAAGGATCACAGAAATAAGGATCTTCTTGCAGGGCTGTGGTCACCACAAACCAACTAACAGCATTAGATATTTCTGCAGCAAATGCACAAGACCTGAAAACATTTTAATTTCAAAGAATGTTTTGTTTTTTCTTTATTTGGATAATTTCCAAAAATATAAATGAATTGGTATTCCTGTTTGTAACTACATTCTATACATGCAATTATTGACCCTAAAGTATCTAATTGTACCTCAAAATAAAGTTTCCCCAAATATTAAGTTTATTTTCTGTTTAGTTGTCAACTGTTATATGGAATAACTCCAACAGTTGAAAGTGAACAAAAATAAAATTTTGTCATTTTTGTCAAAATGGCTCCCTCTGGTGGTAAAAGTGTCAAACTTTCACCTTCGCAATGGGGTGTGATGGGATTGTGGCTGTTTTCTTTGTATTTTTTGCTTTTGACCTTGTCATGTTTTTGATCCCGAAGGGGGAATTATAAATCTCTCTCTGAAGCTTGGCCATATTTGGACCCAGAAGGATGGTCTGTTTTGAAGAGCTACAAGCTGAAGGAGGAAGTTGTTTTCCCACATCACGCTGCTCTTTAGCTGCCGCTGATTGGTCAGTAAGAAGGGAGAAACCGGATGTAGTAATATTAGCTCGTAGCTAAGCCCTGCTAGAAAAAAAACGATGTAAAGTTTATGTTAAACAAGTGTAAAATTGATTATTCAGACTCTGCTCTTCGCGAAGAGACCGCCTCCAAGTGTTTGTTTCGAGTCGCTCTGATTATTTCCAGTCGGAGTTTGCGGCACAGGATGTAATTAGCCGTTACTAGGTACCTGAATGAACCGTTAGCTTCCGAGGATCTAAAGCAGCTAACAGCGGAGACTTCATTAGTCCCTAGTGGAGCTTTTTCAGTTTATAGTTTAGTATCTAAAACTGTCCACACTCTGAGATTATGACACCGTGCGGAGAAGACCACATCATTTGTGGACACCTCGTCTAACCTTGTTAATCTGAGGACTGAGAGACTGGAGACAGTATCCGAGTGGACCCAGAACCACTGTCCAAGGTATCGGACTCTGCTCTGCAGCACCGCCTCAGCTCTGCTTCACTTCATATTTTTTGATCATACACTTTGTTTTAGCACATGCTTGTCTCCCATTCCAGTTTCGGCAGAAAAAAATACCCTAAAGATGCCCGCTCTATGACTGAAACCCTGCTCTAATAGAGCATGTGAAGGTTGTAAACGAGGGTTGTGAAAAGGAGAATCTCAAGTGGAGTGAGGATGTCTGAGATAATTAAGGTTGAAGCAGGTGAACCTGGAGGGATCAGCTTGGAGCCTCCAATTTCTGCAGGATCCACATCAGAACTGGAGGAGGAAACACAAGACAGCAAAGACATCAGTAAGTGAATGTACTCTAACGTATTTCCACTCAAAATGTTGTAATTGGATTTTGCGTTTTCTGTGATTTAAAGCACTTTTTACTGACTTGTTGCTACAATGTGATATATATATATATATATATATATATATATATAGTTTGAAAATATATATATAGTTACCTACTGTGAGCTTAATGCATGTTCAAGAATTAGACTAATTCTATTCTTAGATAATGCATATTCCAAGTTATCTATAACCTAGAGTGTGATTCTTTTTACAATTTTAAGGAGAATATTTGCTATTATTTATTATTTTTATAGCTTTTTACTTGGATAATTGGTTCCATGTCTGTGTAATGTATTGCTTTCTTGGTCTATTAAGTAATTTTATTCTCAAAATAAATAAGCTAACAAACGTATATCTAAACATAACTGTCTATATCAATACTGAATATCTATGAAAAAGGATTCTTAATGTTTATGTTTGTTTCTGTGTCTAAAGTCCAGCAGATTGTTGTGATTAAAGAAGAGGTTCCCCACAGCTGGAACCCCAGTTTGGACCAAGAAGACACAGAGACCCCAGATATGAAGGAGGAAGTGAACAAACTGTGGATCAACGAGGATGGAGAGCTCCAGAGTGAAAATAAAGAGGAATCTCAGTTATTAGAGGCTTCAAGCAGCAGCTCAGCTAAGACGAAAACAGAACCTAATGGAGAGGACTGTAGAGAACCAGAACTTGACAACAACCCAGATCCAACAGGTTCCACTCAACAAAGTAAGATGTTGGTTCCAAAAAGAGGTAAAGTATCTAAACTGAATTCAACACTTATGGCTCAAATAGGAATCCATGCAGGAGAGAAGCCGTTTAGTTGCAAAATTTGTGGCAAAAGATTAAAACATTTGACTTCAATTAAACTACATCTAATGACACACAATGGCAATATAGAACATATCTGTGATTTTTGTGGGAAAGGGTTTAAAGAAAAGAGTTCTCTTCGGACACATATAAGACTTCACACAGGAGAGAAACCATTTGCTTGTGATAATTGTGGTCGAAGGTTTCACGAAAAAGCAAAACTTAAAACACACCTGAAAGTCCACTCAGTAGAACAGCCATTTTCTTGCGATGTTTGTGGCACCAGATTCAAACGAAAGGAAAATATAAAAAAGCACATGAGGATTCACACGGCAGAGAAACCCTTTGTGTGTAGTGTTTGTAGGAAAAGATTTTCGCGACAAGAAACTCTAAAGAGACACATGCATGTTCACACAGGAGAGAAACGGTTTATGTGCAATGTTTGTAGCAAAGGATTTGCTCTGAAACATCACCTCAAGAACCACATGGAGGTTCACACTGCTCCGTTTAGCTGTGGGGACTGTAGCAAGTGTTTTGTAAATGAAATCCAGTTGGAGCGACATGTGAGAGTCCACTCAGAGGAGAGGCCGTTTGGGTGCGACATCTGTAAAACCAGATTTTATCAAAAGTGTCAGCTTGAAAATCACATGAGAGTCCATTCAGGTGAGAAACCGTTTGTGTGCACTGTTTGCAGTAAAGCATTTTCCCGACTTGGAAATCTGAAGAAACACATGGAGGTTCACAGGGGCTACAAGGAATGATTAACACGATGGCAATCTAAACAGTCAGTATTTTTCCAATCAGTCTACGGCCTCTGCTTTCTGGGGCTGCTGGTAAGTGCTAAATTACATTATTTCACATTTTTGATGTCAAATTGGCTATTCAAAGCTTAATGATTTGAGTCCCTGCTTTAATTAGATCAATTCAACCCCCTTTTTTTCTTAGCTATTCAGAGTTGGATTTGCTGTTCTTTTTTCTCTGGATCATTGCTCATGTCCATAACTCAAACATGTTTGGACTTGGGGTCATGATTTGAAAGCCAATCGGTTTCTGGTAAAGAGCAAATTTTCTGGCTCCATTAGTTTTGCCAAGTCTTCCAGGCAAAGAAGCCCAACTTCATCACACTGCCACCACCATGTTTAACACTCATTTGTTCAACTCTTTTCCTGAACATATCTGGAAAATACCTTGCTGGACATCCTGCCGTTGTTCCCTCCATTTTAAAAAAATTGGACATTTAATTGCTTGCGCGAATGAAACATTTGTGTGATGCTGAAGTAAATTATAACACAGCGAATGTGTATCCAGTTACAAGTACACTTTAGGTTTGCGTGTGTCAGGGTTCATCTTCCTCTGAAGCAGAAGACTTTCTCAGCATTCCTTCTGTAAATAAGTTAACAGACAGTATTAGGAGCTGTAGGACTTCAGCTTTACAATAATCCAGTGTTTAAAATTCTGAAAACAAACTCAAAACTTTTAACATTTGTTTTGCATGTAATTAGTACAGACAAAACAATGTTTCCTGGAAGTTTACGTACATTTTAAAATCTCAAGGAGGCATTTGACAACAGGAAATGGATTAGCGTAAGCATGGTGATGAGGCATTTATTATTTATTATTCAGGTTAATTTACAAAGTTTTTATTTTCTAATGGATTGTAAATAATGTAAATAACTTCATTTTACTTGTCATCCCCAAGAACAGTGCTTCCCCATCTCATTTCCACTTATTTTTCAGGTATTGGCAAAAGGTTTGATCAAGTTTTATTCAGTCTGAAACATAAAAATAAGGTACAATCAGGGCAAAAACAACAGTTTTGTTCATTTAAACAAATTGGTCTCAGCAGACGTGCTCTGAATTATCAGTTTAAATACTTACAAAACTTCCTCTGGGATTTTTGGTAATGCCATTGGAACTGTGAGTACTCCCTCTTTTGGATGCGTAAAGTATTTTTTGTTTATGAATTGGGTAGATCAGAAATTAAAATGTATTAGTTGGAACTAAAACGTGCCTCATTTCTTTTATAAATATGATCACTCCAATTGTCTCTTCTCACTACAACTTTGCTAATGTTTGAAGCTTGTTCATGTCTGGTTTACTCATCGCCAAATTGGTCAGCCTTTCAGGTTTTGATTTTTAGTAATTTTTACTATTATTATTTTTTATTTTATCTTAAGTAAAAGATGCAATTGTTTTGGTGCCATTTATTTCATTTTTTCCCCCTAAAATCTTTATTTTTGGTCACATTTTTCATTCTTATTATTTTGGTTTTTCTCAAATTTATTTTAATATGTAAAAAACAGTGTTAGAAATTAGCAGCTGTGCTTCAGACCTTTAAAAAAAAGTTCAGAGAACACTGTGTTCCACCTTTGTGGGAAATGATTCCATAGGATAAGTGAACTAAAGAGGCCTCGAAGTCATGGGTGTTCACCGAATACTACTTTCTTTGTTACACGTTGTACTAAACGACGTATACAGAGTAATACGTTGTGAAATATGTTAAAACTTATCTAATAAACATTTTTCAAAGCTGTTTGAACTGAATTGAATTCTTTAATTGTTGGTCATTGAAAGTGTCTTGAGTATTTTCAAAAGATGTTTAAGAATTTAAAGTTGCGGTGTCTTATGATAAAAAAATGGTGATGGAAGTAAAAATGGAATAAAATTTTATCCACTCGTTTAATGATAAAGGAATCTCCATTTGTTATTTTATTCTGAAAATGAAGTAAAGGAAATAGCATATCGAATCATCTCTTGACTCCTCATTGATTGGTCAGTGAGGCGGAAGTAACCGGATATAACAGTGCGAGCTTGACAAGCTATGTCTAGAAACAAAAACGTCTCAAAGTTAGTGTAATTGGTGTTTTATATTGTTAGCTTGAATGCATTCGTGATGATAGGGCTTCCTCGCGTTTGTTCTGAACCACTCTGGTTATTTCTAACTGGTTTTTGCTGGACGGAATGTAATTATTCTGTATTAGCAAAGTGAATGGGATGCAACCCACCGTAAAGCTAAAGCAGCTAATGGCAGAAATCAAATAAGCGTTTCTGAAGTACAAGCATTTAAAGTTCATAATTTACAGCTACAAGTCGAGGTGATGAGACTATAAGGAGGACAACATTGTCTATGGGCACTTCCTCTAATCCTTGTCTAGCTGAGGACCGAGAGACTGGGGACAAAGTGAACCCAGAACCAAGGTATGAGACTCTGGAGCATCGCTTCAGCTCAGCTACGGTTTACATTTTCCATTGATACGCTTGATCTGATTTGAGTCCGTTTCCTGTTTCAGGCTGTAGTAACACAGAAGGTCAAGGTCATGTGACCGAAAACTGAAGCGAGAATGTCTGAGATGAAGGTTGAGACAGACGACCCCACTTTGGAGCCCCCCAAACCTGCAGCATCCACGACAGAATACGGCAAAGATCTCAGTAAATTCTGTATATCTGAGCAAACTAATTTTATGTCAAACCATCAGATTCAAGTGACACAATTGAATTACAGCCAAGCACAAAACGTGAGCTTTTTTAGCAAGGTTACTGATCTACATGTTGCTTTTACTGTGCAAAGTTAATGTGGACTTGGATTTTAGGACCATATGTGTCCTTATCAGGGTCACCTTGAACACACCATGAATAACCTGAAGAGGGGGCACCAGATCATTCAAGACTTGAATTTTACAACCATATGTGTCCTAAAATGACAATACGCTTGAGTCAGAGGGACCAACAATTTTGTCCATATATATATATATATATATATATATATATATATATATATATATATATATATATATATATATATATAACAGCTCTTGGTTAGATTCTTTTCCTTTATGCCTAGAAGCTAACACAACCAGGATACTCAAATGCTCCACCACCCAAGGATTTTTTTTTTGTCTAAATGTGTTTTTTTTCCTGCTTATCTTGTTATAACATTGATATTTTAAGCCATTTTTATCAAACAATCTTAAAAAAAAAAAAATATATATATATATATATATATATAATATATATATATATATATATATATGCCATTATTACTTTGAAATTTTTTTTATATTATTATGATTTGTTATTATGATAATCACAGAACAATCAATGTCCTTGCATGTTTGTTTTATTGTTCAGACTATCAGACGTTGGTAATTAAAGAAGAGGGTACCCATGATTGGCGCTCCAGCTTGAACCAGCAGGACCAAGAGCCCCCACTCATAAAGGAGGAAGAGGAGGAACAGTGGATCAGTCAAGAGGAAGAGCAGCTCATTGTGAAGATTGAAGATGAGGAGAAACCTCAGGTATCTGAGCTTCAGCATATCAAAACTGAAGACCGTAAAGAGACTGAATTTTCAACAAGCAACACAACTGCGCAGCTGGAAATGGAACCTTGTGGAGAGGACAGTAGCGAACCAGAACCAGACAGAAACTTAAATTCACTTTGTTCTTTTCAACAAAGTAAGATGAAAGTTCACAAAAGAGGTAAAAGATCTAAACTGTGCTCCAAACTTACTGCTCAGATTAGAGTCTATGCAGGAGAAAGGCCGTTTGGTTGCAATGTTTGTGGCAAAAGATTCAAAAATAAGACTCATATTCGATTACACATGATGATTCACACTGGAAAGAGAGAATATTGCTGTGATCTTTGTGGTAAAGGATTTAAAGAAAAGCATTGCCTTCAGATACATATGAGACTTCATACCGGAGAGAGGCCATTTGCATGTGATGATTGTGGTAGAAGATTCCACGCAAAAACAAATCTTAAAACTCACATGAAAGTCCATTCAGAAGAAAAACCATTTTCCTGTGATGTTTGTAGTACAAGATTTAAAAGGAAGGAGACACTGAAGAAGCACACGATGATCCACACTACAGAGAAAACCTTTTTTTGTAGCATTTGTGGGAAAGGATTTTCATTGCAAAAAAGTCTGAGGACTCACATGTGTCTTCACACAGGAGAGAAACCATTTGTTTGTAGTGTTTGCAGTAAAGGATTTGCATTACAGGAGAATCTAAAGAGACACATGTCCTCTCACACTGGAGAAAAACCGTTTGTTTGTGGTGTCTGCAGTAAAGGGTTTTCATTACGACAAAATCTAAAGAGCCACATGCACGTTCACACAGGGGAGAAGCCATTTATTTGCAGCTTTTGTAGTAAAGGATTTTATAGACACGGAGATCTGAGGAGACACATGAGTGTTCACACAGGGGAGAAAGCATTTATTTGTAGTGTTTGCAGTAAAGGATTTTCACAACAAATTCATTTAAAGAATCACATGCGTGTTCACACAGGGGAGACGCCATTTGTTTGTAGTGTTTGTAGTAAAGGATTTTCACTGCAGGAGAATCTAAAGAGACACATGCATGTTCACACAGGAAAAAAGCAGTATATTTGTGACATCTGCAATAAAGGATTTTCACAGCAAGGGACCTTAAAGAGGCACATGAGTGTTCACACTGGAGAAAAACAGTTCATTTGTAGTGTTTGTGGTAAAGGTTTTTCGAAGCAAAATTATCTAAAAAGCCACATGGAGGTTCACACCGCACCATTTAGCTGCAACGAATGCAGTAAACGTTTTGTGAATGAAATCCAGTTGGAGCGACACGCAAGAGTTCACACTGAGGAGAGACCGTATGGTTGTGACATCTGTAAGAGCAGATTTAATCAAAAGGGTCAACTTCAGAATCACATGAGGGTTCATTCAGGAGAGAAGCCATTTGTTTGTGATGTTTGCAGTAAAGGATTTTCGCAACACGGAAATCTGAAGAGACACATGAGTGTTCATGAGGGCTGCAAGTAATGTTTATGATAGTCGACTAGTTTAAAAGTGTCAAGTGATACAACGTATTATGAAATAATTGCTTTGTGTATTCATACATGTCCTTAGCACATTGTGCTTCTCCATCATCAAATAAATTCCCACAGTAGTTTTTTTTTTTAACGGTTTTCTTCTGCTTGGATCAGCTTCAGTTCAAACTTCAAAATATTTGAGCAGTTGGAATGAGAGCTAAGCAGCAAAAGGGAAAAGTCTAGAATTGACTCTCTCTTCCACTTTCTATTTCAGCCTTTCATGGTATTCTCGCTGTGCTTTTAGCCCCGCCCCTTTTTATGAATAGCTCTTAAGAGACAGCTCTATGATTACTGCTTTAAAGGTTCCCATTGAAAGGTAAATGGAAGCACACATAGTCACACTAGGTGGAAAATATACAGACAGAAAAATAAGAATACTGGACTGTATAGAAAGGACAAATTTGCAACATACAGAAAATAATACTGTACAGTTATTACAAGCATTATGCTTAGATTAGAATAAATGTGCAAATGAGTGAGTTAAAAATGATCAAAAGCTACACTACAGTTAAGGTAAACTGGATTTTCCCCTCAATGTTTTGGGGAGGAGCGTATTCTTGCAAGCTCCAAAATATAATCTGTCTCACAACTTAAGTTATGAGGTCCTGAATGCTTATTTATTATTGCAGCCCATTTCTTCTCATTCATTAGTAGAATAAGTAGTGCAATATTGTATGATATGTCTGATATTTGTTGGTTATTTTTGTTCCTGTTATGTTTCTGGTGACAATAAATTGCAGTCCTGAGAGATGAACAACAGTGACTGTTTTGTTTTAATTAATCTGGGTCAGTCAACAGGTATTTGAATGACATCGATTATTCATGCCTTCATTTTTTTGTTTACATATTTTAGTGAGTGATGAGTAAATGTGATCCACAGATCTATAATAATTGGATTTTAACACATACATATATATACATGCATACATACATACATATTCCCACTCTATACAACAACTTTAGCCTAATTCATTATTAAAGTATTTTTCATTTTGGATGAGGCTATGCTATGTTTAAAATGTATCTCTTGCCAGGACAATATGTGTAAAATAATTGATTTATTGAAAACGGTGAAATGGAAAAAATGACTATAAATGTGTAGTTGTATACGTTTGGCTTATACACACGTCTTATTCTGAAGTGCCAGTGGTTTAAAGAGGAAGTGTTTTTTTTCGAGCTACAGCTTTACTCGTCGTTCATTGGTCAAAGTTGTGGAAGTGACCGGATGTAGCAGTGCTAGCTTAACTGGTTAAGTCTTGATCGATAAACGTCTTAAACTCTGTAAGACAAGTGTTTAATTTATGTCAGGCTCTAGGTTTAACAGTTTTTATGAGGAAACTCCTTCTTTGTGTTTGTTTTGAAGCCACTGTGATTATTTTCTAGTCTGGGTTTGCAGTAGAGCATGTAATTAGCCCTCACCAGCGAAGTGAATGTACCGATAGACTCCGCGGCTAACAGCAGAAACTTTGTCAGTGGTTTAGACGTTTGAGCTTTTACTGTTTTCATTGTAATATGTACGAATCCCCTCCGAGGTTGTGAGACTGTGCGGGATCGTCTCAACAGAGTGGATCCAGAACTACTGACCAGAATTACTGTATTTGTTAGTTGTTATGTCTGACGGCAGTTTCAGGAGGAGACAAACAGAAGATCAGGGCTGAAACCTGGTTCAACATGTGAAAGTTGCAAGCAAGGAAAATCCCAGGTCCAGTGAGGATGACTGAGATTATGAAGGTTGAAGCAGATGAACCTGGAGAGTTCAGATTAGAGCCTCCCACACCTGCAGCATCCACATCAGAACTGGAGGAGGAAACACAAGACAGGACAGATCTCAGTAAGTGACTCACATTGATTTGTTTGGATAGGGAAAAAATCAAAAATGGGTCAAGGTCTGAAGAAAGAGTTCTCAAGTGATAAATGTATTTTTCCACCACAACCTGGAGGCTTTTCCTAAACTGACATCTACTAAATTAAACAGACACCAGGACCAAAAAAAGAATCTGTCAGCATTACTCAATACTAAGAACATTTTATATTTGAGAATGAAATATGTTTTCATCTTTTTGAAGTTGTTTTGATATGTCCCAGAACACACCTGTTGGGATATCCACTCTCTCCGAGGGAATCCTGCTGACATGTTTGCTGCTATGCAACATTTCAAGCCGACTGAATGTTCCCACATTGTTAAAATTCGGCATGAAGCTGTTTTACGACGTGAGTAATTGTTTAAAAATGCTGACAATCCTTTTGTGAAGATTTAATTTATTTCTCAATTGGTAGAGATAAATAAGAAACATACATTTTCCTTGAATAGCAGAATTTGGTGACAGGTGGGAGATGGCACCATTTTATTTCAGTGATGCGTTCTAATATTTTTTGGAGAAATTGTGAATTGTTTGGATCTGAACCAGGTTTTTTTCTCTTTCAAACAGTAGTATGATAGTACTCAGCTACCTATGTCACTGTTTACACATAGATTGTATTACCTCTACATTACTTATGTTTAGTTCTGTTTCTCTGTTTAACAAGCCACTAACAAAATCAGATTCTTAAATTGACTCTCTAAATTTTACCAGAAAGTCCACCTCTACCAGTAAATCTATGTTTGAGATTTTCCTTTTTTGTATATCTCTTTCCTGTCCTATCTATCACATTTTGAGCCAGGTTCTCCTAGACCAGGGCTTCTCAGATCCAGATTTTGGCTTTGTTTTACATGTAAACATTTTGAGGGTGATAATTAAGTGGTTAACAACTATTTATATGATTGGATTGTAATGAATTGATTACTGAGCGTGTATGTGAAGTGCTTTGATATGGCATTTATTGGAAAGTGCTGCTGTAGAAATAAATTGGAATTAAAAAAGGGATGCATTTTTATTTTGGATAAATTATGTGTTTTAGAGCGTTTATCAATACCTGTGTGTTTAATTGTTTCTAGTCCATCAGATGTTGGTGATCAAAAAAGAAGTTCCTCATGACTGGAACCCCGCTTTGGACCTGCAAGACCAAGAGCCCCCCCACACTAAGGAGGAAAATAAGGAACTATGGGTTCATAAGAAGGAAGAGCAACTTACTGTGAAGAGTGAGGATGAAGAGAAACCGCAGTTATCAGAGCTTCATCAGATTAAAACCGAAGACAAAAGGAAGACGAAAACTGGAAGGGAGAACTGTGGAGGACCAGAATCAGGTAGAAAAGCAGCTGGATTACGCTCTTCACAACAAAGTAAGGTGATGGTGAACAAAAGAGCTAAAAAATTTAAACTGCGTGCCAAACCTGCCTGTCAGATTAGTGTGCACACAGGAGAGAAACCATTTGGTTGCAATATTTGTGGCAAGAGATTCAGGCACAAACCTTATGTTAAGCTACACATGATGATTCACACTGGAATCAGAGAACATAGCTGCGATTTTTGTGGTAAAGGCTTTAAAGAAAAACGTTGTCTTCAGACACACGTGAGACTCCACACTGGGGAGAAACCATTTGCCTGTGATGATTGCGGTAGAAGGTTTCACGCAAAGACAAGTCTGAGTAGTCACTTGGAGGTCCATTCAGAAGAAAATCCATTTTCTTGTGATGTTTGCGGTTCAAGATTTAAAAGGAATGGAAATCTTAAAAAGCACATGAGGATCCACACTGCAGAGAGACCTTTTGTTTGTAGTGTTTGCAGTAAAGGATTTTCACAACAAATTCATCTAAAAAGCCACATGACTGTTCACACGGGAGAGAAACCGTTCATCTGTAGGGTTTGCAATAAAGAATTTTCGCGACAAGGAAATCTAAAGAGGCACATGAGCGTTCACACAGGAGAGAAGCAGTTTATTTGTGATGTTTGTAGTAAAGGATTTTCAAAACAAAACTATCTCAAAAATCACATGGAGTCTCACACTGCACCATTTAGTTGCAGCGATTGTGGTAAATGTTTCATGGAGGAAATGCAGTTGAAGCAACATATGAGACTTCACACTGAAGAGCGTCCGTTTGGTTGCGACGTCTGTAAAATCAGGTTTAACAAAAAATATAATCTGAACAGTCACATGAGGCTCCATCTAGGAGAAAAACCGTTTGCCTGTAGAGTTTGCACAAAAGTATTTTCACGACATGGAGATCTGAAGAAACATATGTGTGTTCACGAGGGTTTTAGCTAAAAATTATTTTTCATTGTGTTTTTATTTTTGTCTATCTATCCAGTGTTTCTGAGGGCACAATTTTATTTCTGTTTCTTAAACATGTACGACTATGAAGCGAAAGATGTTTGTAGGATCCCAATTGCGGTTCAGATCACATGACGTGCAATAAAGTGAATCACTGGGTCATTATCATCAATTCCACTTGAAAGAGCAGAACTTAGACTCTGAGATTCTTCTAAAACCAGATGTATGATTAAAGGTTAAAAATTTGATGAGACGTGCATAATTTTATTTTATTTTTTTTCCCCAAATTGTTTCCCCATTTGAAACGCCTGTTAGATAAATCATAAGTTATTACTCTGTGATGAAAATACCCAGCAGTTCTGAAGTGGACCAGATGGGGGCGCCAAATATTATCAGGCCGGAGGTCAACCCAGTGACCTGTTACATATAGATATGGGTCTGTATTTATCTGACATGTCAGCCAACTTTCATATTCATTTCAAAGACACTGATACTGACTTTTCCAATCTTTTATTTTTGATTATATTGTATTTATTTTGTTTTGAAGTGTAGATAAAATAAATAAATAAAATTCAGCTTCAAATACAGTTTTTTCTTGGAAATATTTCTCTATATTTATTGTGTGTTTTAATTTAATTGTCCACATGTTCATAATTTGAAACCTGTTTACTTTTTCAAGCAATTTTTTGAGTTTTTTTTTTAAAAATTCTTTCTGTAATAAATGGCTCTTGTTTTTGCAGTTTGGAGTCCTGTGTATATGAACAGGATTAATGCAGGAATAAATGTTCATACAAATGGAAGTTGTACTGAAAATAAAATACCAAACACTAAGAGATAAAAAAAAAATCTAAATCATAAGTAAAATCAAACCTGACTTGGATCATTATTTTTTGCTAATTAAGCTTCTTAAGGAACTTCAATAATTTTATTCTTTTTCTGAAAACAGGATGAGTTTGGATGCTTTTTGGCAAATGGACTTGCATAGAATGAAAGGTGTGAAGAACCTGATCAGAGTTGAGCTGGATTTGTCCTCACTGAGGAGACTTATGGTTTTATAAAGGGTTTGATGAATCGGGAACTGAGCCTTGAAGAAAACCTGTTGAATGATCGAGTCCCGGTTTGCTCTGTTTAAGTGTTTAAATTTTTTTAGCTGGAGTTGTTTAAAAAATGCATCTTGACAAAGAACATTAACTGCTGATGTAAGCTTGTGTTAACAGAGCCTAATGAAATCTTGTTCATAAGAGCTTCACTAAAAGTTCCTTAATGTGCTGAAACTTGAAAAACATTTGTTTCTTATCTTCTCTTTTTTTAAATGCATTTTATTAGTAACACCAAGAAGAAAAGTGTTACTAATAAAGTCCAGGTAGATAAATAGATAGATAGAAAACATCTAAAAACATTCAGGCTTCTTTTTTTTTTTTTCACACATTTTACACATGTATGAAAAACCAGCTGACACTGCCCTCTGCTGTTTAAGATCTGAATGTGTAATGAGTTTGTCTCATACTGGCAGAAGCAGGAATGACCGTCAGTTTCTGACACCAGCAACAGAATAGCTTCAATTCTGAACCTGATTCTTTTGTTAAATAAATAGTTTTGCAGTTTTCTTGTTACACAATGACGACAGTAAAGAGGTTTTATCCTTACTTTCACATGTTTTACTGGTCAGTTTGCTTAATTTCTTTCTTTTGTTTTCATTTTGGGATGCACCATGTAAAGAAAAGCAAATCGGTCAAATAGTTCTCATCAAATCCATGGCACTCACAGCTTGTCATAACTTACGGTGTTTCCACTGCAGCTGTGAACATTTTTCACTCTGAACTCATTTTTCCCTGATCTTTTCCTTCCCTGTTGTTGGTGTAAAATCCTGCTGCCTGTTTTATCTCTGTCAGCTGAGAAGACTGCTCACCCAGTATAGAGCGGTGTTGTTGCAGACAAACGGTGAAATCAGAGTGGTACGCCGCTGTTACCAGACTGTTTCTCAGCACTGCAACTTAAAAGCCGAGTAAAAACGAGATAAACTTTAAACTGTCCACCCGTCTGAGTGTCTGTGGGAGAGAGGAGAAAGGCTCCTGTCGTGAACCTAAAAAGCTGTTATTTTCAGCATCACATGTGTAACCAATGGTTCCACCTCCAATTATTTCAGATTTCTATTTGGTGGCCCAAAGCTAATAATGGTTCTTGCTCAGCCACCGGGTTGAAGAACACCTCATCAGGGTCCATTAAGTGCAGTTCACCCCTTTGTGGATCAGAGCTCTTTTGGCATCAGGACCAACAGGTTATTACTCATAATAGCATTTTATTGTTATTATTCTGTCTTGTGTTTTATCTTATTTTATAAATAAGATAAAATCTAAAAGATCTAAAGCACTTTCCTTAACCTTGTGATGATGATGATTATTATATATGTATTGTTTATTTATTTATTATTATAACTACACCACACTTGATCTGTGTGTCTCTAGCTATAAGCTAAAAACGTACTGATACTACTAAGTTAAAAAAAAAAGATAAAAAAAAATAAAAGGGGAGAATACTGTATAAAAGTAAATTCAATTCTGCTCTGGACCTCAGAAAATCTTGGACCGCGTCTGCCTATTGTAAAGACTGATAAAATAAAGAAAAGAGAACACAACAAATCTAACAAAGATGTAGGACCAACAAACAATTATATCTAGTTTTTGTTTGTTTGTTTGTTTGTTTTTTTCCACAGCTCATATGAAGAGGGAGAAACTGGGCATGCCCAACCCGACGGAGGAGGAGGAGGAGGAGGAGGAGGAGGAAGAGGCTGCGATCAGAGCAGCGGAGTGGTGGAGTTTTCTGACAGCAAAATGCTGCCGATGATCTGACTGCTTCACTGCATCAAGTCTGTTTACACTTGACAGGACGCGGACCGAAACCCCCCTCGCCCTCCCAACACCTCCTTCCCTGCAACACACACCCAAACACGCGGTGTGACACGCACACACCGTGACTGGGAGCGGATGAATGTGGACCTCAGTGGTTCCGACAGCGTGCCGCCTGCAGCAGAGCGCGACGCAACAGCATCTCATCATCTGTGGCGCCGGGTAGCTGCTGCTGATGCTGAGGCTCCAGAGACGCGCAGCGGCGGGATCTGGTGAGTACGCGTCCCTCGCCCGCCGCCGCGCGGCTCCCAAATGGGGATTATTTTTTTTAATTATTTTGTTACTGGATGACTGTCGCCGCGCCGCGCCGCACCGCTGAAAAACACCGAACCGGACCTGCAGGACACAGAGCTGGCCCGTGAAAAGGTCCTGCACAAACACACGCTCACGCAGCCGTGTCTGTGACGCATCTTGTGCAGAGCCCCGCTCAAGTTTTGTCCTTGGCAGACAAAGTTGGCGCTGCGTGCATTGCCTTATCTAAGGTGAAAGCGTACGTGAGGAGATTCTAGATAACACGGGGAGACGCGTGTCTGTGCACACTGGTCACCCCCCCCCACCCCCCACACCCACACACACACACAGCAAACGAGTTAAAGGATGTTTGGAGGATTTCTGAGGCTTTTCACGAGCATTTCCTATAAAACGAGAAGCTGAAGAGCGTTGACGCGGCGCTGCAGCACAACAATGATCTGATCTGGAATCAGACTTCTGGAGCCATTCACAGATTGTACCTGATGAAATAGTGAATAATACAGCAAGAAAACAGTCAGTGTGCTGTTATGACAAACAGAGCAAAGGGTCCAAACAAAGCAGCTGGAGCAGCAGCAGGTTGTCAGTCCGGATGCAAATATAGATGAACATGAATCAATTAGAATGTCATTGAAAACATTTATTCTGACATTTATTATAATTATCAGACAGAGTGATATAATAATTTTGATTATTTCTTGATTACAGCCAGTAAAAAATAATGTTTGATGCAGAAATCAGGTGTATTTGAAGCCTGGCGGGCCACCAGGCTTTACTTGTGCCCCCACCAGGCTGAGCATTGCTGCTGAGAATGGCTGCCCTGGCGCACAACCACCTGGCTTAGCGAGTTTTCTGGGGAGAAACCTTGGAAATGTAAAACTTTGTGATGGGAAAACTGCTGACTTGTCATCTGTCCAGCTAACAGTCAACGACAAACTGCACAAGTAAGGGAAGCCACAGAATATCTTGCTGTTCAAAGAGTCCTGCATGTGTGCATGGAAAGTTGAGTGGAGTGAAAAACTTTGTTTTAAAAGAGGTGTTCTACCAGGAGGGACTGGGAAGCAAAAGCCCATTCAATGTTAAATGCCAGATGAATTATAAGTGTAGCACCATTTATAGGTTACACAAGTACTTTTTCATCGATATTAATGAATTATTAACTTAAAGAAAACTCCCATATCTTTCTGAAAAGTTAAGTCCAAGTTAGGTTTGTTTTATTTCAAGTGTAGTGAGACATTTGCAGTAGAATGTGGACCAAAAAAACTTGGTACCATGTTGTGCTTTAAACAGAGGTTGGCGACCATTATTTAGCCGGGTGACTGTATTTAGTGAAATTATCAAAACCATGTCTGTCTTTTGTTTTCCTCCTCAGTCATAAGAAGATAAAGATTGTTGTGATTTTGAAATTCTGTGGGTTTGAAAATTCATCCAAGTGAATTTTGGGCATTGCTGAGAAACTGAACAGCATTTGAGCTGCGGCTGCAGGTGAATTTTGATGCTTTTCACTCATAATAAATGAATTTGTAGGATAAATGTACAGATCTGCATGGGTGGCTGAAGACTTTTCGGCGAATGAACACCAAAGGTTCGATCCGTGACGTTATGGGTGGCCAGAAACATTTGTCTTCTTTTGTTGCCGTTTATTTGTCCCTCATCCGGGACTCAGTCTGAACTCAGGTTAATGGGGGGAGAAAACTGCTCCATCTCTCCCACCTCCCCTGAAACACATCCAGCCTTTCTTTCCATCATGTCCACGCTGCTCCACGCGGCAGATGAATGACCTCACGCCACTGGTTTTTATTTCTGCAGATTTTATTTCATCATTTATTGAGAAAATGGTGCTGACAGTGAAATGAGTTTTACAAAAGGCACCAGGACCTGCTCTCAGAACTTCTCCTGTGCTGAAATAACAAAGTAATGTGGTGAATTAGAGTATTTTTATAGATGGGCCTGCTCAGTCTTGAGGGAAGTTTAAGATTGTGGTTTTTAACAAATATCATTTACAGATATTTCAGATTTCTCAGTATTTTTTATTTTTTATTTTTATTTTTATACAGATTTTCTGTTTTTATTTCTGAAAACACCCAGAAATACAATTTTGTTTTTACTATTCAGTATTGTGGATTCATTTTTTCCCGCTCTGCATCTTAGCATTACTCTACTGCTTGCAAAGTCAGACAGATGATCTTGCGTTTGACTCTAGAATACTTTTATATGTAGAGGATTTAATGCTCAAGTCAGTGACTGGTTCTTGTCCCCAATCACCAGCCTTCCACCACCGTGCTTTTACTGTTGATGAAAGGTGTCTGTGTTGGTTGGTTTTCTGCCGACATGATGTCTCTATTTTTGGTCTGATCTGTCCAAAGAACGTTGTTCCATAAGTGTTGTCTTCCAGAGGTACCACAAAGCAACACAGAGGAAATGTTTGTATT